CGATGCCCCGAAGTCTACTGCCCCTCCCATGTATCCTTAGCTAAATCACAAAGCTCTCGAAGAATCAGAATGGTCGTGATGGATTTGAGGTCCTTTGTGATGCAACCTTACTGAAATCCAATTATCCATAAGCAAGCAATATATGTCATAAAAACCCTAACCCAACAAGGAGGCCCCTCAAAAACGTGTTGACATGCAGGTAACATTTCCTGCATTTATATGTAAATGTTTGACAACAAGACACAACACACAGCACTACAAAAGAAGACACTCAACACAGGTCCTGCAAGGTCACTATAACTACCGCACCAAATAACAATACTATATGCGGCAAAAATCATCACATGACCTAAACAAACCAGATGAACAATAACATGCTAGTAAATTGTACAAACACCAGAAATCACTTAGAGAGAAATATGTGCCCATTGAAACCCACTGACTCTCCTTCAAACTGGTACTACCAATCGATATTTTCTACATTTCTCTCTCATCTCTCTCTCTCTCAATCTCGCCATTGAAACAGTATGACAGTACTGTTGAACTTCATAATTTAAATTACATGATACTCTCCATACCCTGGAAAAATAACTTAAAATGCGCAAGATATGCCTTATGCTGCACATTTCTTTCAATAACCATTTGTTTTAAAATACCATATTCCTTTTTTAGATTTTGTCAAAACCAAAAAACTTGCTGCTGTGGATGTGCAGTCAGCACAGCCCCAACAAGAAAACAGTCTCAGAGAATGATCAGGACAAAAACCGCTCATCACAGAAAAACGCAGCGAAAGAAATGTTACAAAATAAAAGCTAGCAAGAAAAAGCAGCAGCACAGATAGCGAGTAGGCTTAAGAAAAGAGTGTATGAATACTATTTTCCAATTCTTTTTCTAAATACAAGCTATTCGTGATTCCGCAACGGGAGGTTCAGTACCAACAACATGCCTGGAGACCGTGTAATAATTACAATAGAGAGGATTATTTATCCATCATTTTATATATTAAACGTTTACACCTAAGACGCACCACAAAAAAACCGCTTTCCCTTTTATCTTATCACCGCACCCCTCGCCCCTGTGGCCCGTCTGCGGTACCCGGGGGCAACGTCACTTCCGCGCGTGCCCACTAGCCGCACACCGCGCGGAGCGCCGCAGAGAAGGTGTGTCGCACGACCCTTGTGGCTGGCGAGCATGCGGCGAGACATGCACACATCACACCTTCCTGTGGGCCCTACCTCCGTCTCCCCTTTCCTGAATCAAGCTTGCATGAAACCATCAAAAATTGGACATAGCCCTGCTAGGTGTGTTGTGACTACTTACTAATTATACCATACAATTTCATCAGTAGCTAAATAGTACTGACTTATATTATATTTATTATGAAATAGAAAAGAAAAATAAAAGGTGGAACTTGTGGGGACAATCACACGAGTGTCCTAATTAGTCAATTTTAGATGGGAGGTGTTTAACTTATTGTGCGTGCTATTCATTTGGGTGAGTCCATTCAAAAATATCGAGGGTCCCTTCTAGGCTGATAATCTTATCAAACACGCCACTGCAGGGAGTGGGTTGCACACAACACCAACAGATTGGTATTTTCAGAGAACTGAGAAAGTAATTGGGTGTACGGTATACCCGGAAGAATTCTCTTAGCCTGGGTCACTGGGGGACTGGTATGGACTGGGACAGATAGGGACTAATAAGTTTACCACTTATGAAAACAACCAACTAATTGATGCTTCTGAATATTGTGGCTGATATTAAAAAAGGGAGATATATGTTATTGGTTTCATACTGCACAGAAAAGCTGTATGTGGCGACAACCTTTGGGTCCCTGGCAGAACGCACAATGAGAGGATATACAAACAATAAATGCTGCCTATTAAATTTTTTTATAATCATCTAACCATCACTAACCTCCACAATACCCTACCCCAAACAAAAACCTCCACTACCCACCCCCCTCATCTCTAACTACTAGAACCAAATACATTTCAACCTGCCTACCCATTCATACCACGGCATATACCCAAAAAGATGATCGAATGAGAGGTCAATTACTATGGCTGTGGCTTAAAAAAACGGATCCTTCCTAGGCGACAAGATGGAATAGATATTTATTGCCTGCAGGTGAGAAGCATAATACAATTATCACACTCACTTTAAGGAATTTATTATGACCGTAAGACAAACCCCAGATGTTCTGTTAAGGTATACACCTGCTAAAATATACTCCCCTCTGTTCCAAAAAAAACGCAGTAATTATTAGCTGTATATATGCACAGTTCATGGTCATCGTCTCATCGATCGCAGCATTTCTATAGCCAATTCCCTGTCTCACACGTGCAGGCATTTGAACTGGCAACTGGTGACTATCTGTTTGAACCTCACTCTGGAGAGAACTACAACAGAGACGAAGGTCAGAGTTCACTCTCTAGCTCCGCCCACTATAACACTTCCAAAAAAACAAAACATTGCCATGAATTTTCAGTTTTACTGTGTGCGTAAGCCCAGGTGCATATTATACTAGTCTTTGCTCTTAGAAATCAAGGGAAAGGTGGAATGATGGTGATTATATAATAATGGGTTTGGTTAAGTGTTTGTTCCAAGTATATAAGTATGGGCAAATTTTTTATTATTATGCACGCATACATCCTGGACACACAGTGTAAAGGTATAATTTCACAGTTTGAGAAACGAACAAATTTTTGCCGGCAAAAAGTGTAAAATGTTGTGTCGTGTTTCCCCTGTAGACCACATAGCACACGTCATTGAGCTGCTGGGACCCATTCCAAGCCACATTGCCCTCTCGGGTCACTACTCCAAAGAATACTTCAACAGGAAGGGAGAACTGAGGCACATTCACAATCTCAGACCCTGGTACGGGGTACGGGGTACAGAGTTCAGGGTACGGGGCGTGGGTATGGGAATAAGGTATACCATCCTTTTCTAATTCTGTGCTGCACTGCTGTGTTCGCTATACTTCCTGAAAGTAATTTCCAGCATGTTGATAGTTTCTGCATGAGCAGGTTAATGGTGCATGACGGTATGCAGTCAGTATGTCTGGTAGAATTGGTATACATTTCCTTCACCCCCCTCCCCCCTCCCTCTCTCTCAGGGGTCTGAGGGACGTGTTGACGGAGAAGTACCATTGGGAGGTGGAAGAAGCAGCTGCATTCACAGCATTCCTGACTCCAATGATGGCCTTCTTCCCTCCCGCCAGGGCCACCGCCCACGAGTGTCTGCAACACCCGTGGCTCAAATCATGATCCTCTCCTCTCCTCTCTCCTCCCCTCTCTCTCCACTTCCTTCCTTCTGCTGTATTATGTTATTGTGTAATGTATATAGCAATCATTGACTCTCCATTCATTCAAAAGCTGGTGTATGTTCTAAATGATGCCCATCACACCATACCGTTGTCCACCATTATGTATATATATTCACTGATGTTTGTAGTCCATTGTCGCTGCAGAATCAGTTAATTCAGGTTGACTTTCTAGAACTTGCGACCATAATATGTTTCATGTGTATAATAATAAAGCTGAAGCATGACATAGGTGAATTGAATGTCACATGACTTGCATGTGATCATCACATGAGCTCATGAATTGGGGAGCAGAAAAAGGACAGACAATTTTTGTGACTACTTGGTGTAAGACGAAGTGGACAGAAATGGGAGTATGGCTTTTATTACTGCAATAGAGAGAAAGAGGAGAGAGAGAGAGAGGAAGAAGTGAGGTGAGGTGAAAAATGGAAGTTCATCGGCAGCATTCCACCCAGTCAGCTGCAATCTGAGACTGAGGTCTCATCCCCATGTCGTCACTGCAGACTGGGATCCGGGCCCACACCATTATCCCATCACCTGCACGTGTCACAAATCCAATTAACTCGTTAACTGCTGAAAATTTTCAATGATCGTCACACACAAAAATGATTACTGTTCATACATCATCCACTGTTCGACAATCATTGAGGCATTCCATGAGGTGATACCGGTGCACCCCTCCTAATTACCATGACGTTTGTCCTGCCTAATATACTAAGTACAGCCATACTTGCAATAGCTAATGAGATTTTCTTGGCACTCGTATTATAATTAGGATTGACCCTCGTCAATGCTTGCTGTGCGCTGTAAGACCAGTTACATACATACCAATAGAACGACTCAAACTGAATGAGGAGACAGTATCACATATCGCTGGGTTGTATATAGGAGAACCTGATATTCTATGTCATAGGACCACTTATGAATGTTGTATAAGCGCTTATATAAGCCTGGGCTTATTATGGCAGCAAACTAATTATGTGTCAACGAATACGTATGTATGCACAGACAAAAGTTGATTTTTTTAGACTTGCTTGCACCTGGCCTGTTCTTCTAGTAGTAGATACAAAACGTACCGTTAGTGTCAAGTCTTTCTGTGGCTGAAATGTCAGCTGCATTGTACATCCAGAGATGTCCGTTGTTACAAGAACTGAGACATGACTGACAGGGGAGAGTTACATGATATCCCACCACTATACCACTGTGGGGAGAGGGGGAGAGCAAAATAGGAGAAGAGGGTGGATGTTTATAAAAAGAGGTATTGACATGGTCACACTGTTTTTGTTCACAGCTGGACTGGCGCAAGCAACATATAAGGAATGACAAATGCACAGGCTCTCCAGAGTTTTGAAAACCATGGCACAACCCCCAACACAACAATGCTGTGGCCAAACGAAACAAAACAAGAGGCCCTCTGCTTCAGTACTATACATCTTTCAGAACGTTGTGCTTTTTCAGGGAATAAAGATCAGCAGGACTAGAACTGGCTGGTTGGCTGTGTAACGTGTAGCCAGCCCTGTTCTATAGTTCCGCAACCTTAGCATTCCTGTCGCCGTGTCTCTCCCATATAAACGGAGTAGCTATCATTGCAAGGCGTATATGGAGCCGCAGGAGATGCCTGCGCTGATAATTAGGCTCCTGAACCGTCTACCCGGGCACTAGGAAGCTTACCACTTTCCACAGGCGGCGTCGCTGATCCTACAGCGGCAGTTCTCTGTCTCGTAGTCACTTCCCAGAACCAGGAGCGCTCTGCGGGCGGGGAAGGAAAGAAAATTCAAAATTTCAAATTTGAAATTCAAACACCGACGGACAAACACACAGCGGGACGGGGCTATGAATAAAGCTCTCCCGACCCGCTGTACACTGTTCTGTGGTAGTGTTTACTCGCTGGGGCCGGGGAAAACAAAGAGAGAGAGGAGGGAGAGGGGAGGGGTTACCCTGGGGGAGGGAGATCCGTGGAATAGAGCTCCACGTTCCTATCGGCGAGGAGAATGGCTCGCATGCCGCGGACACAGAGAAGGCTCTCGCAAACCCGACAACGGAGCTCGTACACGGGCTTCGACTTGAAGGAAGGGTGGACGTTGCAGTGGTCCATGTCACCAGTCTACCAGACGTTCCTCCCAGCCGCTCGATCTCCCCCACACAGGATCGAACGACAGGCCTTAGAAAGGCAGCAGACCTTCTTTTTTGGAGCCGGAGGAATGTGCCTACTGAGTCCGTCTATGTTCGGCTCCGCGGAAATCTCCATGGAAACTACGGTATGGGAATTAAACTTTTCGCGCACGCGTAAATTGTACGCGCATCCACGGTGCTTATTTTGCTTATTTTGCGCATGCGCTTGTTCGTGATGGAGGACTTCGAGCGTCTTCACAGAGCCCAGTTGCAGGCCATCGGCTTCCCTGCTCGTCTCCTGCCTCGTCTCTTCTCGAAACTCACCAGGAGCAAGGCTGAGGATCTAGACAACGCGTTCCAATTAGCCCCCATCGGCAACGGAAACGAGCTGAAATGTTGCCGAAGACTCGGAGCCCAAGAAGACGTCTACGTATTGCGTCACGTGTGTAGCAGCGACGGCGGGGAGGGAGGGAGAGAGGCTCTACTGAGCAATCTGCCACTCCTGGAAGAACTGGCCACGAGTCTGGGTGTTCCTCTGCCGTGGGAGAGACGTAAAGCTGCCATGGAACAGATGATGGAGACAGTGTGCCAGCAAACTGGCAAATCCAAGGTTGTGGCTCGCAAGGCACTGACAGAGACTGGATATGACCTCGTTGGAGCAATTTCTTCACGCCACGGATCTCTCCGAGGAAGACGTCATAGCTCAGAGGGGGGGCAAGGCACCTTCGCTGACTGTGGAAGAATTCAAGAGGGGTCTGGAAAGACTCCGCGGAGATAAAGGAGGGGGAGAGCTGTCCGAAGCTCAGGTACAGGAAATGTATGGCGACTGGAGGGACAGAAAGCTGCGAGAACCGGTGCGGGACTCCGAGGATTGGGTTCAATGTGGCAGGTACAGGTGGAAAGAAGAAGAGGATGGAGTGGTAGCTGTGTCCGTCCCTGTCCCGCCCGACACAAGGAAGAAGGACATCAAATCTGTAATCACAAGTCAGAGGTGGACGTTTGTAGTGAAGGGGGGCGCTGTGATAGAGGGGGAGTTTTGGGGGAGGGTCGTACCCGATGAGTGTTTCTGGACTGTGGAAGGTGGGTGTGTGAGTGTGAGTGTGCAGACGGTGGGGGGTGAGGAGTGTGCGTGGGGGGAGCTGATTTTGGGGGAGGTGCAGGGGAAAGGTGTGGGGAGAGAGGAAATGGCTGTCCCTGTGGAGGAAGTCATAGCGAGGACAAAGAAACTGAATCTATTCTACTCGGCAGTCACCAACGAGGGTAAGATTACCCTGCACCCTCTGATTAATGTCTCTAATGAATGTTGTCTTTGTCTAGGAGAGCAACCGAAGGTGTGGTATCTCACGGAGCCATTTGGTCTGGGTCTTGTACACAGCCGCACTCCTAACTTTGCCTGCCATCCTTTTGCCAAGTCAGTCAGGACTGAGGGAGAAAACATATTATATATAACTTACGGATCTGACCAACTGTTTTAAAATGCTCATTTTCGTACAAGTTACTATTGCTCTCTCAAAAAGTGAAGTCTCTGAATAAGGGGTCGTCAGGGGTGCCCCATTTACTATGTAATACTCTCCCTATCTTTCAGTTGAAGGTGTTGTGTTTGTTTCTGCAGTGCTCTGACAGGTAGGGTGGTCTCTCTACTGTGGCCACTGAGAGAGGTTGGGAATGGGGAGGTCTGTTCTCGTGACTACGCCCTCTCTACCTGAACACTACTGCATAGTCTTTAAACTAGGGTGAATCACATTTTCCTAATCAATTCTCGGTGTTTGTTTTCCCATTCAGCTATAATAGAAATTTGTTCATTACATCAGTCAACAATGAATGCCCAAGAGTGAGGGGAGGTGTATGGGTGTGTTTGTGTGAGGCTACAGCTCCTGGTGTTATCAGTGATGGTTACCTACAAGCCAGCCTGTCTATTCTAACTAGTGTTTAACTGCTCTGTGGTTTACTACCTTTTGCCCACCTAGATCGCTTGTGGTAGGTTGGTTTCCAGAAGTGCTGCCTAGCTCTCTGCAAGCTAGCTGTATATAGCTGCAGACACAAGACCTAATGCACTAGCTATAATATTATAGTGCATGGAGCTAGGATCCAGCATCCAGCGTTGGAGACAGACAGACAACTACTCCGTCTCGCTCAGAGACAACCATCAGTGTTTTCTTGTAGATTTTGTACCTGATAGCTATGTACATGTATCATCTCATCATGTGTTGGACAAGTGTCGTTCATGCGCATAGAGGCTAGATCGGACTGCAAAACTTGCACGCTATGTTTGTTTCTTCAAACACGAGTCTTCTTGCATGCGCATAATCGCTCAACTACCAAATTTGTTTCCTTGAAATCTATGATATCGTTGAAAAGTGGACATGGTGTGTATATAACAATGAAAACTGTGTGTTGTCCAAGACTGTCCAGATTTGACGCACTGGTCTTAGTTGCAGCCGATGGCCATCCACACGTCTGAGCCACAGCTGTACGGATGCTGCGGTGGTGGCGATACTCCGAGAGGGGAGAGTGGCCCTCCAATTGAGGCAGGGGCTGCCCCACTTGAGTGCGTGAGGTGCCCAGCCATTTCTGGAGAATAGACGAGGGATGAAGAAGGAGGAGGAAGAGTGGGGCCTAGACTTCCACTAGGGAGAGAGAAGAGGCATGGGCTGCTCATCACAGGAGGGAAATCAGCTCCAGAGTTGTAGCTGAAGTACGCTGGTGGCAAGTCGTCCGGAGCGACTTCAGTGTACGTCGGAACAATCTCTTCTTGAAAGAAGCCGTCGAAGCTGGTGTTGGTGGCTTGCTGGTGCAGGTCAGCAGGCTCGACTTCCAGCCGCTCGTCGCAATTGAGGTTGATCTGCGGGGGTGGTGGTGGAAGAGGAGGGGGGCTGGGCTCGACGCCAACGGTCCCCGCTTCTTGGGTGGTCTGCTCGACGGTCTGCTGCAGAATTACCTCTTGCAGCTCTCTGATGTTGGCAATGGCGGCCTCGAGCGTTCGCACCTTGCTAAAATGACCGGAGCCTCTTTCGACCCGGCTCCCTAGCACCGCGCGGAGAGCTTCGTATTCCTCCCGGACGTTTTTCACTCTCTCCTTTTCTCGGGCGTTCTTTTGTTCCTTTTTGGCTGTGCTTGGTCCACCTCTGCTCACTGGGACTCTGACGAGGAGTTGCCGTTGACCTCCGCCTCTGCGTCGAGCTCGCCGATCCCTGCTGCGGCCGCCACGAGTCCGCCGCGTCTCCGCCCGAGGCAGACACCAATCTGCGTCTTCTTCTCCGCCGCATCCAGAAGTACTTGAAGCGCCGATACTACTCTCCGTGTCGGAGAGCGGAGATCTCGAGGAGGAGAAAGAAGAAGAGGAAAACGCGGCAGGGCTGCTGCCGATACCGCTGCTCGATCCGCAGTCAGCCGACGACGACTGAAGACTTGCAGCGGCGGCAGCGACAGCTGAGTAGTAGAATGACGACAGCTGCTGGCTAGACATGCCGCTCTTCGTGTGTGTGTGGACTGAGAGATCTCGAAGTTGTTCTTTCTCTTTTTGCGGAACTTTGCGCCGTTTTCGGAGCTTTTCTCCCCCACGCGGAGGTACGTGAGCATGCGCAGTTCGGTATTTCACACACTAAAAATTTTTCGAGTTGGCCATCAAAGTTTGTAGTCTGTCGAAACGATCTGCAAAATGAGAGGAAGACCAGTGTCTGGCTAGCTAGTTATGAATCTCTGCAGTGTTATTGCACCTTGGACTGGAGGGTGCAGGTCGAAAGAAGGCTTGAACCGGTCAAGAGTCGATGCTTTCTTTCTCAACCTATCCAAATTTTACATCTATCATAAAACCAGATTCCCCAACATCTCCCACGACTCACTGGAGTGCCGAGTCGACTTTCATTCTCTTGGCAAAGTGGTCGAGGCCTCCCTGTGCATAGCCACTGCTACACTGGGCTGCAGTCTTGTCTGCTCTAAACTCTTGTCTGTGACCTGGGCACATAAACTTCACCCAAATTTCTTTAAAATATTTCCAGTGCTCACTGAGGGAGGCCACTAGCTGTAGGTACACTGCAAGACTTGCTGCCATCACCAGAACAAACCCAGCCAGCCCGTGCTTAGGAGCGACATCTGTATATAGCGTAAGGTATAAATGATCTTCCATGTGAGATTAATGACACGTTTATAGAAAGACTGACACTGGGGGACAGCTCTGGCCACATGGTAGGCAAGAACTAATGTCACAGGCGGCAGAACAACTCTTGCCATCCAGTCACTGTTCTTCAAATGTGCCACCTCATGCGCTGCAACAGAAAGACAGGGGATCCCCTCGAATCAGGACACCAATGAAACAGATGAATGTCCCCATATGTAGCGTGAGGTGTCCTTATTTATTAGTTACGTTTCATGCAAGAAACTGTTCTTTGGGGGAAAATTAGTGTGTCCTTATTAGAGATGAGTCCCACTGCACATGCACATAATCAGAGGATGAAAAGATGGCACAATTTACCGATTACAAAGTTGATCTGCTGGGTTGAAGGTGTGAGTGCAGCCGTGAGGCTAGTTCCCAGCTCAGAGTCCCAATCAATGGGAGCCCCTACGATGATAACACTATTATTATAGAGGCATAGTTCCTTGGACTTGTATATTATTCATACGTACCGGCTGACTCCAGGAATGAGTTTCTCACATCTTCTGGATTTTGAAACAGGACAGTTCTTGGTAGTCCGATTGCTGCCCCGTTTGGCAGCCATGTTGACCCAAATGTCATGCTAGTCAGCCCTTTGCCGAGAAACACATTTATCTTCTCAGTCTGGGGTAAACCCTGTAATTAAGACTCTAGATTGCCTCTTAGACTGCAGACGGTTCCCTCCTTACCATCACGTGAGCTATCTTGTGAACGTGGTCAACCAACTGAGGTGGAGGTTCATTTCCCACCCACGACAAACTGCGGGAAAATCTTTAACTGAAAATTTCTCCCAGAGGGCTACCTTCTGGCGGGGAGAGAAGGGAAGGTGTGAGGAATGAAGTTGAGACAGAGGAGCCCTCCTGCACAGCAGTAAACTGCATTGCGCATGCGGTATATCCGAGACATGATCAGCTAGCTGGCCGGCTCTGCGCGCGCCGTGTATAGAGAAAAATCTCGTGCGCATGCGCATATGCAACAAAATGTCGGCTGCTGCCGTTTTGCGAAGAAGCCTTCCACTGATATGCTCTCGCTGCAGAAGATCTTACAGGTATACACCGTTTGTTTGGTCCAAACAGCAGTGGTGAATATCTCTATGCAGCGGCCCAGACGGAGATATTTTTCTGCCAGCAGCTCTCAGCAAAGTGGACCCTGTCCAGAATGCTCCGCTGGTGCAGGCGTACTTTACTAATGGGTTCATGATTAGCGGGGCTAGGGTGATGGGCTCGGTGGCTCTGCTGCCTAGAGGCATGCTCCACTGGAGAGTAAGTCTCAGTATTAGAATGTCTGAGTTTTATCTCTCTTTAGGTGGCTAGCAAGGATGATTTGACGCCCGAAAGCTTCTCTCTCTTCCACTTAGTCGAACCAAAGATTGGTGAGGATGAAAATGGAAGAGAGAGAGAAAGTAAGAATTTTCTCTCCGCGTTCTGTAGATGTGGTAGTCTTGGGGACGGGGTCAAAGGTGGAGAGGGTGGACCCTGCAATCAGGAGCTATCTCCAGAGAAAGGGAATAAGTCTTGAGATCCAAGACACTGTGAGATCCTCACAAACTACTGCCTCTCGTGTTACTAAATTTACTGATACACTGAAACCTCTGAATAAAGGACACCTTGGGACATTCATTCGCTGTGTCTCCTATTCAGAGGTGTTAAAACACTGGTGTATTAGTATGGGGCAGAACCATGTGTGCTTTATGGAGAGTGTACTTTATATTTTGTCCTTTTTCGTGGATTTCGCTGTACCTTTCCTTCCCTCCCTCCTTCGCCCCTATAGCCAAATGCCTGTGCTACTTTCAACTTCCTCCTTGACGAGGGGAGACTGGCAGGGGCTGCCCTAATTCCCCCCGACTACGTGCCACCTTGACAACCAAACAACCAACACTCACCAGTCTAATGCCAATCTGCAATACTGAAACTGCCATCACCTGCAATATACTGTGTTGTGTGTGTGTGTGTGTGCGCATTCCGCAGTAACTTTACTCAACAACCATGCCTGTCTGTACCACACACGAATGTGTCAAAATGTTATGAAACACGACTATTCCGTCTTTGTCGTGATCACTCCAAGTCTTCTCAGAAGTCCCTGGACTCTAACTGGGAGACGCCCGGCTAAAAATAGCAACAGTTCTCTCTCGGTTGTCATGACAACGACGATCACGGTTCCCATGGTGACGGCTCCAATGCTGACGTGGAGGAGTCTGTACTCCCACCCTTGATCACAGCACAGGAAATACTGGGGGGAGAGTGTAGAGAGAGAGAAGAGACAGTGTGAGCGTGTGCATAATGTGTAAATCTAAGGATTGGGAATATTATTGGTAAAAAGACACGAAAGAACCAACAGTAGTCTATATACATAGTATGTATGTACCTCAGAGGAAGCAGTGATTGTGAAAGCGGTGAGAAAGGTGAGCCAGGTGGGGAGGGAGGGGAGGGAGGAGGTGAGGGGTGTGTGGGGAGTGTCCTGAAAGAACCTCTGAATGAAGTGGCAGCTGCAGATGGTAGAGAAACAGCATTATAACAACAATTCTCCCTTTTTAGTGCCTCTCTACGATGAGTTCCAATTAGTGCCTCTCTACGATGAGTTCCAATTAGTGCCTCTCTACGATGAGTTCCAATTCGTGTAAAAGATGCTAGAATGCCGGACGATAAGTAATTACCTGTGAAATATGCGGACGATCATGTTGATACAATTGGCAAGAATGAACCCCACGCTGCCCAGCAGCCGCGTCAGCATAAGGGACGCCGCCAGAAACACCACCGAGAACACTAGCATCATCTTGTTGTAGCTAGAGGAGAAATTATTGTCTTAACGTGCCGGCGGTTCCTCCCGTTGATTGCTTCTCCAGCTCACCTGTCAACCTGTGACTGGCTCATGGCGGCAAATACGAAGCATTCGGTGACTCCATTCACTGCCAGCATAAAGACGTAGACACAGTACCAGCGGAGGAGGGTAGGCCCCTCCCCGTCACTCAGTAACGAGCCACCGTATATGTTGAGAGCGAGGAAGGAATAGGAGTAGCCAAAGCAGAGTATTGCGAGGGCCACATGGAGTACAAACTTGAGTAGCATTGTCAGAGTTGTGGCTGATAGCCCAATAGCTCCCTGAAGAGTAAAAAAACACAAACGTTATAGAGACAAAATTTTCAGCATAGAGCAAAGAGCTATATACAATCAACTCACCTCTCTCTGACGAGTAGGGGGTTCCCCTCTGTACAGAACACTGGCAAAGAAAAGATAGAAACTCTCTTCGATGGGCAAGAAGATGAATCTCGCCACCATGGAGCCCAGATTGTGGATGATGTCATAGACCCCCTGCTGAGCAAAGGTGAGGACACCAAATACTGTCATCACGTAGCGCTCCCCTGTGAGAGAAAAGGTATGATGTCATAATTACCTAATGTGGGGAAGTTACGGACCGTTTGTGAGGAATTGTTTGAGAAACGATTGTTTGAAGAAACTCCAGGAGAGAGTCAGTGCATCCTTACTGAACCAAGTCTAGTTAGAGAGAGAGAGAGAGAGGGAGAGTTGAGGAGAGGAGGATGGGACCTTTACTACATAGACTCCGCCGAGAAGATAGCTTAGATAAAAGGTTCAAGGTTCATTTTCTGTGGTTTCATGTAACAAAGAAAAAGTGTGCCATCTGAGTGTGCAACACAGCAGAGGAGAAAACGGGAGGCAAAAACATACTGCCAACGTCGGACCTTTCCTTCCCGAGGGTACGGTATGGGAACAACGAGAATGGGAGTGTGACAGACTGACCTTGTCGGAGGCAGGTGAAGGGAGAATGTGTGACATGGTGCGGATGGGGAGGGAGTGAGGGTGGGAGCGGGCGAGGTGGAGGGTGAAGTAGCCGTAGTATATGAGAGCATAGCTGACGGAGAAGGTCAGCTGGAGATGAAACATTTGGGAAACTCTGCTTTCTGTTCAGTAGCAATAGCAAACAGAATAAACTTTCGTTTGTTGCTTCCCTGATGTACAAACGGCCTCTGCCCACAATATGTTGCTGCTCTAAAAACTGAAACCTTTTTCTCAAAAATACTTTCCCTCTTTAGAATAATAAGTGAGTGCACCCATGCTCACCTGTCCAGCACAAAACACCAGGAGACCGGAGTCAGGGGTCGTTGTCACGCCAACCACTACCACCAAACAGCGACCCACATGTGCCAGAGCCTCAGCTAACACCTGTGGTTAGAGCCTTCTTCACCAATCATACGTTTACTATCAGCACACGTATAAATTTCACTTCACAGCCATGAACAAATGACTGAAAAGTTGGTTTTGGTTAAATGTAGTGAAAAAAACCTTCTTGCCAAGCTATTGTAAAGCTCTTCTGGAAACACTATATTATATATAATATGGAGACCTTTAGTGTGACGTAGTGGTTTAACTGGACTAGAACCCATGCTGGTTCCACAGTCAACTCAACCAGAGCCGAGATGCAGAATACCATGACTCCAAGTCGATCGTGATCCACGTTAGGCTGGTTGATTAGGGGGCTCACCCACAGGGTGCCTAGCAACAAGGAGGAGACGATCCCAGCTGGAACACTGACAAGGTAAAGAGTAAGAGGGGCTTCATTATTCAAAGGCATTAGTGATATTAAACCCTGTGGCAATTTCTGTGCTTCACAAAAATAGTACCATTCTAGCAATGAGTGCAGTTGAAAAACGCTCTCCACGTTATGAATTCACGGCATCTAGCTAATAGTTCTTTGAGGATGTTTTTTTGGGAAGGGGTTACCAACTTACCAGCACCACATGAGGTTGGAGGTGTGGCTCCATTCTGTGTGACTGGTGGTCTGGCTGAGGCCTGCCTTCCGTAGAGCCTCGCGCGAGAGAAACAGCACCGTGTCATAGAGAAGAGTCAACCTGTGAGAAGAGGGAGCTGAAAGAGAGAGAAGGTGAGAGAGCAAAAAGACCTCAAGTTGACCACTCCCAGCAGGTAGGCCTGTACGTAGCGTAGGACCACGCCGTTGAGGACAAAAGTACTCACCCTCAGCAGTACCTAAGGTGAAACCACGCTACTAGTCGTGTGTGGTTTTGGGTATTGTACTGACCTGAAGTAAAACGTTGAGACCAGCAGCACGAGCTGCAACGTCGATGGCTCCCGCCATTGATCGAGAGTTGCAGCATAGATGCCTGGTGGTTGATGGTGGCTGCTCAGTTGCAGGTGCGCACATGCCACGCCTTCTAGCCGAGCTAGCCACGCCTCCAACGTTTACAAGCTCTAGAAGAGGGCGTGGCTGGCCTCCAGCAATGTTGTGGCTCTCGCGGAATGCAATAAAAATGCCGATACGGAGCGCTCCGAGCCCAAACTGCGATCCTGTGCGGTGCTGACCCTGCCGAACAAGCTGTCGACATGGCCAGCAAGAAGGAAAAGTACTCGCTCGGTAACTCTCGCTCTCCCATGATGTTCAGGAAGAAGAAAGAGAATGAGGAGAAGCTGAGTCGCTCGCTGGATGACCTGATCGCGTCCGTCGACCACGACGATGGAGACGTGGGAGGTGCCGAGTGGCCGGAGCTTGCCAGCGTCAGGAAGATGTCGCCTGTAGTGATGTGCATCTTACCTCCCTGCTCCGCCGACTTCGTTTGCTCTGCTCTACTCTCGCTTGGAGCCACGCCACTTCTTACTGAAGGTGGGCGGGTTGAGAATGTCTGGACGCCCGTATTTACTGTATTACATAGAGATTGCAGCCTTACCTACACATTGCAGCCTAGCGATGTCCAAAAGTGCTTCTTAGACAAACTAGCTAGCTATACCACGTATCGATGTGTCTCTGCACAGACGAGAATGACGTGGTGAAGGACTTGCGGAACTGCAGAGCAGTCGTGGTAGACGTCAGTGCTCCTACCAAAGCTGATTGTGGCTCTCATGGAGTACTTCGACCCAACGGGAGACATTCTCATGGTCGTGGCTTCCACACAGGTATGGCACTAGCTATATAGCTATAGCAACCTATTGTTCAATTAGCTAGCATGCACCGCAGAACAAACACACAACTAACCATGGCGGGATTGCAAGCAAAGGCAACACAACTACACGATGATGTAATAAGGGTGTATTTCGGAAAAGGAGCTGCCCTGGGTGTACGTACATATAGGAGAGAGATTTGGTAGGAATTAGGAATGTGTCTCATTGCAGAAGATACCCGTCAACTACATTTTGTAGGTGCCTCTCGAGTGTCAAAATATTCTCCCACAGAAACTGTCCAAGTGCCATCTCTCTCTCCTCTCCCTCTCTCTCTCTCCCTCTCCCTCTCTCTCCACGCTCACAGGTTGGCTCCAACAACAGAAAGAGAGACCTCACCGTGGAGCTAATAGACAAGTGTGGCCCGTCACTGGTTGTTGGGAGGATGGCCGACATCTATACACTCGGTCAAATCGTGGTTGAAAGAGGTATACATCTTATACTTTTTAGATGCTCTCCAACTAAAATGTATCACTATTGCTAGTGTTGTATTCTGCCAAATGTTTCGAGGCACAAGAGAATTTTTTGTTACAGCGCCCACTATACCACAGGATTTTTCCACCAAACTACACAAATCTGGGTCTATAGAGTGTCTCTCTCTCTCTATACAGCTGTGAGCAGTGGGAGTGACGAGGAAGAGGAGGAGGAGGAGGAGGAGAGAGACTCTCACCATCCTCAGATCAGTATCGAACACTCTCCACCCACAGCCACAGCGAGGAAAGCCTCGGCCCCCGCGATCCTCCACTCCCGCATCATGCAGAAGATCCAGCACGGGGGCCCGGCGAGACGACACACCGACCTTAGCCCCTGCATCAGTCCCCAGACCAGTCCGCGGCACTCTGCCATGGGAATGAGTCCCAGCACCAGTCCCCGCGCCAGTCCATCTGGAGTGAGACGAGGCCTTCGGGTGAGCAGCTTGAGAAATGAAAAATAGAGATATAGGTGGAATATTTTTAAAGGAACACTGAGGAACCAGGAAAAAATTGAGTGTGTCGTAATATTATCCACATACTGCTGCTATTGTCTGCGAGGCATTAAGCTAAGGCATATTAGAGAAGGAAAGAGGAGAGAGGGGATTAGTTGAGTGTGTTTATATCTGCAGCAACAGGGAAGGAAGATTGGCAGAACACCAACACTCCACCCTCGCATCACTATGAAAGGTATAATATAAATATACAACTTGGCTCCACAGAATTCACAACTACTCTCTGTTTGTGTGTATGTGTGTGTTACTATCTCTCTATTTGTACTCTCAGGGCAGTTCCAGGATTTTTCCCTTCTGGAAGTGAACGTGGACGACGCCATACAGTACGGCCACAGGCTGGCAGCCCACTCCAGAGCCAGTGTGTTCTTCATGGAGACCAGCCTCCTCACAGACGGAGAGACAGACATAGAGATACTCAACTCACAGTCGGGGACTAAGTACCTCCACTCCCTCCTCCCCTGCTCGGCAGCTGTCGCCGCTGCCTGCGTGTCTTCTGTCCTTCGTGAGACTGGTGAGTCCCCGTGCATCCAATGCAACACTTCAGTGGTTCATTAAGTATAGTACATTACAGTATTGATGAAGAGGCCAGATACATAGAGAATAGACACTACTGGTATTCACGTGTCAAGGTCACGAACTCTGTACTGGGACCTTATATACAGCAAAGCCTCAATGTGGCACATTCCTAGCATTCATTTCAGCTGACCAGCAGGCTCAGGGGCATGTCCTGTCAGGGAGTGTGAGATTAGGTCAGGTCATGCAAAAAAAGGTGAAACACCACCACAGAAACACTCAATACCCTTATCTGACCATGGTATAAGGGCCGGTCATGCAAAAAAAGGTGAAACACCACCACAGAAACACTCAATACCCTTATCTGACCATGGTATAAGGGCTGGTCATGCAAAAAAAGGTGAAACACCACCACAGAAACACTCAATACCCTTATCTGACCATGGTATAAGGGCCGGTCATGCAAAGGAAGAGCTAGGGCGCTTGGGATGTAATAATATATGGCTTCTTCGTCCTTGTTTGATGTGTTGCTCTGTATAATAAGGTGCTATTAGATTCCCGCAAATTAGCTCACCATAAAGGTCACTGTGTGTCAAGAATTGTGGATATATACTGGGACATGAATTGGCTCTAGTGTTTACACCGCTGTGACCGAATGCAGGAAGAAAACTTGGCTAATGTGATGATGAGGCAACAATAATTATGTATATAGAAAGAGGAGACTGAGCGATTTGCAAAAGATCTGGAGGCTGGTGCATACATTATGTTGTCCTACCCATTTTCTCTCTCAAAATAATATAGCACTCTTTTCTCTCCCCAGATGACAGTGAGGATGCCCTCCTCCACCAGTTCAGTCATGCGCTGTCTCTCTGGTGTGTCGCCGTGGAAGAGGCCGGTAGCCATGCCAACCAGCACGGGACCCTCCTCCCGGGGACCATGCGGCAATCTCTAATTGATGCCCTCCACTACCTGACAGAGTCTCATGTCCGATCTGCCGCCAATCTATCTCTCTATTGCATGCGAACTGGAAGACCATCGCAGGGTACACCTCCCATACTTGACTCCACTTGATCCCAAGCTGTTTTGATGTTATTTTATCCAAACATTACGAGCTTTATTTTATCAGTTAATCACGTATGATCTTGTTCTAGAACATGTGATAGTCACGTGTCCTCAGTCAGATAAACTATGAACTCAGATCTGAGATTGCGATGTGGCCTTGATCATGTGATGGTCATGTGACCTTGCGGGGTGCAGAGCTAGAGAGCCACTGAAAGAAGTCGCACTGTGTGTTAGGGTCTGACTGACTCCCAGCCGGTCGGGAGCACACCCAGAACTGCCGTCCCTTCGTAGGCCCAGCCTTCCTCACCGTCCTCAAGATGGTTGGCTCTGCGTGCTTCTTGCAGAGAGGAGGTTTAGGCGGTCCGGAGAACAGGGAGCTCCATTCCGGCTTGAGCTGAGACGAAGATAAAAACGAGGAAGGGGGTTGAGCGGCCAGTTCATTTTCTGTTGTTGGCTCTACTCCTCTGTCAGACTCTGTTTTTTCAGAGGTCAAAGTAGATTGGCCAGAGGTGGAAGGGTTAAAAAAGCTCTGGAGAGTTCTCGGCATTTTTGCTCTGGAAGAAGTTGTTTCAGGTGCTTTTCTTTTAACCCCTTTCCCACTGCTGTTCTTTACAGTTGAGGCAGCAATTTTAACCCCTAGCTGACTGAATTTGGGCTCCATGAATGAAGATAGAGTTGTTTGGCGTCCGAGGATGAGGTGGAGGGAAAGAGAAGGCTCCTGAGGGGAGGGGAGGAGGGAGAGGGAGGAGAATTCGGCCATGACGGGGCAGTGGTCTGAACCAGTGTGCTGGGCCCACACCTCAGCAGACCAGAGGTGAGGTGTCAGAGAAAGACTGCAGAGAATGTAGTCGATCCTTGTGCCGTAGTTTGTCTTCCTGCAGCGAGGATGTCAGGTCACACATGGGGAATTGTACAGCCGTGTTACTACAATAATGTGAGGAGGGGCACTGCACATAATGTTTCAAAATGTTATGTGCGCGAATAATTGAAATACTGACATTCACTAGCCAAAATGCAGTGCATTTGTTTAGCAATCCAAACCCCTATTATATACTTATTGACTCAAACAGGCCTACAATCTCCCCCCTTTGTGAAGCAAAATCATATATTATACCTATATCCAAAGAATGTGGACCAACACGTGTAGGCCTCTGGCTGATCAGGATGGAGGAATCTGAACGTGTCTAGAAGAACGGAGGGAGAGGGGAGAGGGGGGTCAGGGGGAGAAGAGACGATGAATTTTTTCAGCCGCTCTCGCTCGGGACAGCCTTGGAGTAAAGTGGGTGTGTCCTGAATGTAGGCGGAGTCAATTGCGTCTCTGGCACAGTTGAGGTCTCCTACCACAATCACCTCCCTGAGAGAAAACACAACACATTCAATTTCACAAGAACATCGAAAGTTTGGAACATCCCTCAAAGACCCCATTCATCCTGGTTCATTGTCTTGGAGCCTAAACCTTTATGCGTGGTGTGCAATGATGATGAGGTTGTTCTTGGTGCATTATAGTAGTGTCCTATAGGTCACCCACTTTCCCGCCTGCTCGAGCGCTGCACACCTGTCCTGTAGGACAGAGTAGAATAGCATCTTGTAGGACAGCCTGTCTTCCTTCACATTATCTCTATCGACCATCGGCACATAGACGTTGATGACTACCACAGTCTTTCCCCCTCCCATTCCTCCTCCTCCCTCCTCCACATCTCCTCTCACTCCACACTTGTGCTCGGTGACAACCGCCCTCCCTTCCCTGTCAAACGCCAACATCTGAAATCAAACGGATGAACTTCAACGAGAGAGAGAGCTAGGTTTCTACGTACTTCGTCCTTGGTGGTAAAGTGGGTGTGGCAGTCTCCGGTAAACCCCACCCCCTCGTTAGCAGGAGCCAGCGCTCCGGTCAAACCTTCTTCGGCTCTCACTGGAGTTGCAGAGCTGCGGCAGAAAGTTGCCACTCCTGTACCAGTGGAAATGTGTTTTATCAAAAAAATATTCAGTAATTGGACTCTCTGTAAAGTTTACTGCAATAACTCAGGACTGTTGTATGCCCTTTCAATTTCATCACTGTAGGTATGTACGTACCTGAATATCCACCTTTGACCTTGCAGAACGAGAAAAAAGAGGTGTAGCCATTGGCAATGCAGCTACCTCTATCCAGACCCTGCTCTGTGTGGAGATAAGGGGGGAGGGGTAGCCACATCAATGGTGGTGTTTGTTTGACTGCCTACTGGTTGCCTTGGTTTCCTGAATGCAGATGATGTCTGCTTCGAAATCATCCAGAAACGACTTGAGAGGTTTTCCCCTGTTTTTCAGGACTGCTCTGAGCCCGTTCACGTTCCAGGACACGATTCTCATGTCGGATTATTACCCCACCCCAATCGAAAACCTCCGTAATCTGAGAGTATACGGAAAGAGCGGGAATTATTTTGTCTCCAACTTTTCTTCGAAGCCGGTGTGCAGCTGCAAAATGAGCAAACGGCGCGGACCTCAACGGAAAAAGGCGGCAGAGTTCTCCTCGGACGAGGAAGTTATTCGACAGAGCCCGCGGCTCTCGGGAAAACGACAAACGGTTAGTGATGGGCCCGCCGCCCTCTGTTAACCGCGTGCGCGTTCTCTCTCTCTCTCTCTGCAGACAAAGACGGCGTCCCAGACCGCTTACATGGCAGAAGTAGTTCAACTAAGCGACGAAGAGTTGCTGGAGGAGCTCAGGAAGTATGGAGAGAACCCTGGGCCCATAGTGGACTCAACCAGAGGCCTGTACCAGAAGAAGCTGGCAAGACTTGTGGCCCAGAAGACCAAGGGTGTGTATCAGCATGGGCGGAGGACTTGCATTATACCTAGAATCCATTTCAGATTGTTTAGCTGCATGTGGGTAAAGGGTTCCCCCCCAATTACAGCATCTGATGAGGGGAGGAGTCGACCACCGGAGTCAGTGGACTATGGGACAGACCACTTGGGGGAGTGGTCCTCTCAGTCCAGTGAGGGAGAGACTGATGTGGAGGAGACGGAGAAAGACGAGGGGGAGGAAGAGGAGGAGGAGGGGGAAGAAGAAGCTGGGGCTCTGGCAGAGCCGAGACTGCGTTCTCACACTTCCTCAACTTCCAAGGTGCTGATGACTGCGGTGATTCTACCTTCAGTGGTGACGGTACAGAAAATAAGGCCTGGTTCCTCCCCCATAATTTACATCATTGTTCTAATCAGTCTGAGTCTGAGTGTATGTATATATACAGAGGTGACAGTGTTTTCCCTCCACTTGCAGAGTCAGCAGGTGGTGTACAGGACCTACTCCACTCCCACAAGACACGTAGAGTCCAGCTACCTCCTCAAGAAACCAAAGCCCTCATCACCCTCAAAGGTAATACAGGGGGTGAGACCCTATTAATTATCTGTTCTTACGTCATTCCTCCAGACACCAGCTGGTGGTGGAGCCAAGCAATCGGCACAGAAAGGTTCACGGTCAATGGGACGGCCAACGAAGCCACGCCCACCTCCCTCTCAAGGGGATCCCTCGTCTAAAACGCTACACCCGCGGACCCCCCAACCCCCTCCTCCCTCCCCCATCTGGAGCTCACTCCTCAGCTTATGTCTCCTGCTTGTCATGTTTGCCATGACGTTCCTGGTTTACGACCATTACACCAATCCAGAGTCCAGCTTTTTCATCCAGGCCGTCACTTACTTACGACAACTGGATGTCATCAAGAAACAAGAGTAATAGAATTATACTACCAAACTAGACATGTTGTTTGTTTTGTTCCAATTTTTGCCTGCACCGTCATGTCATTTTTCTTTTTTAGTGTAATACGGAACAGAACCTTATAATAAAACCCAAACAGTCGGTGTATAATTATAGTGATATAAAAGATAAATACAAGTTGTGGTTATACTTTGGGAGCACTTCTATCGTTTGTCTCTGCTCTCTTCAGCTTCCCTTTGTTGAAACCTTCAGTCGCGTCAGGAGAAATATCATGCACATTATCAAGTTTCATGGCAGTATCTATACACAAGCAGGAAAATCTTGTGGATTTGAAACTCCACTGTTTCTTATTACCGTGAATAGAAGTAAGGAGGGAACCTCTCTCGGTGCTTGCTGGAGGAGGCTGGGGTGCAGCTGGCTGCGACTGAGGGGGCGGGGCTACATAGAGAAAGGGGGCGTGGTCTGTGACATCATCTTGTCATTAAAACAAACGTCTCAAAACATGGGTACTAAAGAGTGATCCAAGATTCAAAGATTGCCACTTACCGGAGGAAGGTGATTTGGCTTTCTGTTTGGTAGTGGTTGTGGTACCAGTGGCGGTGGTAGAGGAGGAGGGGCCATTGGGTTGTGAGGTCGACTTCTGCTTCGGAGCTTTCACTGACGTCGCTCCTGGTGTAGAGGAACACCACAAGGGGGTGGGCGAAAATGGGTAAATTTGGAGCAAGATGGGGGGAGGACAAATGTTTATAGTGAGATAGGGGAAAATATGAAAGTTTGGAGCGAGCACAGTACCAATGGTGGTGTTGGAGCGAGGAAGAATGGCAGTGGTTGGATAAGCCTCTGCCTCACCTCCCTCGTCCACTGACTTCATCTGCTTCTGTGGGGGTGTGTCTATGACGTCATCAGACACGCCCACCGACCTACCTTGAGTTTCTTCTTTCTCTTCTTCTTCTCGTCCTCTGACATGACTGAGTCCTGAGCCCGCGAGAGACGTCTCTTTTGAGCCAGTCTCCTCTGCTGATCATGGAGCCTCATCTCCGCCTTCTCTACGTGGCCTTTCAGCACCTCCTTCAGCTTACTAGGAACCTGGCATTTGGACAAATTTTGCAATTTTCAAGTTTAAGGGTAACAACATGTATACACTTTCTACCTTCATGGAAGGCTTTTCAATGTATGAGACTGCAACATCTGAGAAGAGACTGTGTGATAGAGACAGAGAGAGGGAGAGAGGGGAAGACTCGAACCAAGTGGTGCTCCCAACTCACGGAGTAGAAGACAGATCTGCAATGGTAGGAAGACCAGCCTTTATCCCCTTGGCACTCAGCAGAGAGTCCAACACAGGCAGGACCGCCTGCGAGAACACAAGCATAAAAATAGACCGTGTTACTAAATATAGGCCTTGCGTCATACGGGAGGGACGGAGATGCACTGTTCGTCCATTAGAGCAGTGTTGAGGCTCCGCCCAGTGGACATCTCGTACAGCATATGACCAAAACAGTAGGCCGTCTCAGCTTCATGGGTCTAGACAACAGTGACATACATGGCTTCATGGGTCTAGACAACAGTGAGGTATACTGTGGCAAAGGACACTCCAAATAAAGAACACCTCTCTATAAAGGACACTTGGTTCTGCCCCATACTAATACAGCAGTGGGAGTCCTGAATTATGATATATTTCGATGTATCCAAGTGTCTGTTAGTCCGAGTATTTTGAAACAAATCTACTGTGCCTCATTTCCAGAGGCATTACAAGGTCTTTCAAACCCACGACCACAAGCACAAACACATGACAAATACAGACAGTAGCATCAGTCAACAGCGACGGAGAGTCTAGGGTTGTTTTCTATTCTGACTGGGGCTACGGAGATCAAGAGGGGAGCAGCTGCCACCGAGACAACCAGTGGTGGCTGCAGACTCACGTATATCTTCCTGATCTCCAGGAGATGGGCTCTGTGCATTGTGGGCACTCCGAGAAGGGAATTTTCTATGTCTACCAGTCTGGGCACAGAGGGAGAAAAAGGGAGGAGAAAAAGGAAGCAGAGAAAGGAGAAAGAGGTGACAAAACCAGGTATTGCTTAATACAAATGCTATGCTATGGTCTGCATGCCCCTCTCACACGTGAAAATGAAAAATTCGCCGCCAATTGCCACATGTATACAGAAGAGGTCCGTATTATTTACACATGAGTCCTGGTTTCTCAATGTTATGTAACCTGGTCTGCAGTATTCTAAATGGCTTACTTGCAGATGTGCTGTGATTTGTCCACAAGTACGTTGCCTGCATGAACATGTCCTGCATGTGAGAAAGTGACAGAGTTAAAATCAAACCCTGCATTATCCCCCCCCACCCACTTACCCATCACAAACCCCTTGTCTTGCAGGAAAGCCAACGCATCCAGAACCTGTCTACCATATCTCTTGATAGTCCCCACGTCCAGAGGTCGCCCCGGGGAACTGCACTTCTGGATCACATGACCTGCGGATGCATCACCATGGAAACACTCCAGGTCATGTGACGAGGGTCTGACCCTGTGGTCTTGAGCCGTGTATGAGATCACGCAGCGATCCAGTGACGCAGAACTGTCGAACTGTCATCACACCGACTCCGTTTGAACTGGCAGTCACGGTGGGCATTATATGGGGATGCTGCGAGGGAGGGAGAGAGCCCACCTTTGACCCCAGGGTCTCATCATCATAGAACTATTACTATCTGCTAAAAATTGGTTAAGAAATGCGGAATGAAGAAGGAAAACCTGCATTTAAATGTTCAATTCAGAGGATATTATGTATGCGAAGAAGTCTCACTCTGATGTCTCCCAACACCTTCAGTGCTGCCTCAAGTTCCCTTTCGCTCAGAGAGAAGTCTGGTCCTGGTTCACACTGGACAGAGTGAGACAGACAAACCATTGAAGAAGTTCACGATATCCGAACTAGACGACTACCGTACCATGTGAGGGTGTTACTATGTATAAAGGTGGGTGTGGCTAACCCAGGAGAGGATGTGTTTCCCTCCGCGAGAGTCCGTCTTGTTCGTGATGAGGTAATACTGTTTCCTAAACCGCCACCCGATGTTCCGCAGCGGCTCCACAACTTGCCAATTCGGCTCCGACCGGAAAAACATAGACACGTTTCTCAACGCACTCTCTGGGGTAAAAATTGTAGGTTCAAACTGTGAGGCAGTTAAAATTTTGACTCACCGTAAAAATTTTCAGAGTATCCATGGGGGTCTAGAAATCTCCGTGTCTCGAGACTGGTGCCGAGGAGCTGGATCTTGAGGATCTCGTCCAGCAGGTTTTGCAAACCGGTTTGCCTCTCCTGAACAAACTGTCGCTCCGTGTTCCCGAATACCTTCTTGGGAGGGAGGGGGAGGGACACGCCCCCCACGCAAAGGGCCTGATGGAGAGCCGCAAAGTCATTGTAGCGATGCTGAACCTGGGGAAATGATATATGAATGAGAGAGGGAGGATGAGGATGATAGGTAGGAACGAGATAGGGGCAAAGACCAAAGTTTGAAGAAATAAGGGAAAAGACGAAAGGTTGGAACTCTAACTACTGCTCTCTAACAATAATTATGAGTTAGTTACCAGCTATGCACTAATAATAGTTTTGACTTTAAGCAGTCTCCCCACACTGCTACAGCTGCACTGGACCACTTAGCCACTCAGCACACACACACACACTAGTTGGCACGCTATATAATCTTGTCAGCATGTTGTCAGTCATGTGATAGTACAAGAAAACATGTAACCATACAGCTGATTTGTGTGTTAATTGAGTACAACTAACCACCCTTGGATCCAGGACCTACACCTCTCTGTACTATAGAGAACTAGTGTGCTCTCTCCAAAAACCCCCATAGCTAAAATACATTGGCCTTACTGTCCACTCGTTTTCGGGGGTGAGCAGCTTGTGTACACGTATCTCGTACTCCTGTAGCAGGAGACATAGAGAGCGGATGTCAAACAGACGGCGCTAGAAGCCAGTTTGTGGTTGGCTTGTCTTACCACATGCGATCCTACGCTCCGGTATTGCACTATCGTCGGACATAGCGGCATCGTATCGTCCGCGTAGAGACGCTTGTCCTGCTTCTCGAGGATCGTGGCCGACATCTTTGCTCCCTGACTGAAGCTGCAGTCAGCACACAACAACACACAACCGTCTGCCTTTTGGGGCGTTCCGGAGACTTATCTCTAAATAGTGCGCACCGCGGGGTCAAAGTGCACAACGTTGTTAGAAGACGGAGCTACTATACTATGAGTCAGGCGAAGAGAAGTGGAAGAGGCGACGGAAGAGGGAGAAAGAGGAGCCATTCTTACACCAGCAACCAAGTAATGCTAGTCTGCAATTGGCAAAAACGGGCGTCAAACTAACGATATTCATAACTGCAGGAGGGGGTGGAGGAAGGGGAGGAGACGAGCCAGACCCAAGACACCCACGAGTGAGACACTCTGCTACAGATTTATTCACGGCTCGTTTCAGCTGTGTAGTGGCTATAGCAACTAGCCATATCTCCACATGCACACACACACACACACACAGCGAGAGACCCTCCGCAGGCAGCAGTAGAGCAAGGAGAGTGTTCAACAGTCTCGACAAAGAGACTGTGGATAGAAAGGTGGGTTGTCTCTCAACAGAGGTACATAGCTCACGTGTGGTTCCCTCCTAATGGTCGTCAGGTGGGGGAGATTGTTCGGTACCTCCTCTGTGCCGAGAGGAGAAAGGCTCCTGTCAAGAAATCAGGTGAGTTCTCCCACTTTTCTTCCTTACCCCTCTCTCTCCTCTCTCTCTCCTCTCTCTTTTCTCTCTCTGACTTTCTTCCCCCACTCTTTGCTCTCTTTCTCGTCTTAGTTTTATTGAAGTACACTACTTAGTACTCGCTATATTCGAAGAAGCAAGTATAATCTTTCTTAATGGATCTGTCCGGATCTGTCGTTGTTTCTTCTTACCCTGCTGTAGAGCTGATAGACAAAGCTATTGGCTCGGAGTTCTCCTCCTGTTTTTCCTGCTTTATTCCGCTGGCCAAGGAAAGGCTGAGCGAGGTAGGTAATTGGGCATGGAGGGAGATAGGAGAGAGAGGGAGTTAGGAGAGGGAGGGATGGGGTTTATCCTCCTCTCCCTCCTCTCCCTCCCTCCTCATGAAGGTATTTGGTGTAGATCTGGAAGAGGTGATACCTACTAAACCTAATACAAAGGCAAAACCAGCCAAACAACAGACGTCCGTTCGCTACTACATTCTGACGAATCAGATCCCAGCACACGCCAGGGAGGCTCTGTTGCCATGGTGAGCCAGTATACACGCGACTGATGTTGTCATAGCAATACCTGTCACAACACATTCAGTTGTTCTAAGCGTGCATTGCTTGCTAGTATTCATAGGCGGTGGGTACATGTACATAATGATGGGATATACCTTAGGACCTCCGACAAGGACACTCTGACTAATATAGTGAAAACTCTCAAAAAAGGAGACACTTTGAGGACCGAAATGTTCACCTTTCTATCATCTTACGTAGTACATTTTGAACCTCCGAAGAGAGGACAACCTCACTGAAAAGGAGAAAATGCCTGGTCCCAATGTGTCCATTATTCAGAGGTTCCACGGTGCTGTTAAGTTGAGTTGTTTGCTGTTTGTGTACCGGTGACACAGTGTAATTAATACTACGAGGTTTGGTTTGCATGTAGTGAGATAACAGCATGTACCCCAACAACGGGTGACACCCCAGTATTGAATTCTGTGAGTGTCAAACTTCGTTGTTTTGGGTGGCATTGCAACATGTGCAGCGTCTCTCTCTAGCACTTCTTTCAATGCCTGAACAAGATTGTGATGATGCTCACAATATCAGTTCTGTCACACTGTTTCACGTCATTCAGGCCTCTAGCAAGTAGGAGTATTCCAAAGCAGGCCGATCTGTGACACTCCAATATCACGACGCATCACGAATCATATTTCACGTCCTTAGGTATCATGCATTGCTCAAGGCCTCTCGAGATGTGGGCTCAACCTCGGAATTTTCTTACATTCCATACCCTGTATAGAGAATGTAATTTGAAACACAGAACACAGAGAATAGAGTGAGAGAGAAAGATATAAATATCATCTGGTGGTCATTGAGTGTGACAGAGAAAAAGAATTCCTACTGAACATTTTCGTCAACACACGTTTGAAATCTTGGTTTTTCACAATTATTAGAGGTTCTAGTACAGGCGCCAGTAGAAAGAGGTTCACGGCGATGAGATGCACCCAAATGGGTATGTCTGTGTAGAATTCCCTTCTTCGCATTACTGCCAGAGCAAACACCATGATCTGAGTTACTACTAAATTTGTTAAAAGGAGTGCAAAGGTCGCCGTTGCACGCGTCTCCCGTTTATGAGCGGCGTTGTGCTGTCTGCTGGGGATGATAGCTGTCAAGGCAGCCCGAGAAAGTACAACAAATGATGCTCGTCTTGGCCCCAGGGGGTTTGAGGAAACCGAACCGGTGCTGCTTTCTCCCGACCCTCTCCGGTGGCCTGCATGCTTGTGCAGCCAGGGATTCCTACAGTCTGTGGGACCAGCATCTTCTTCTTCCTCCTCGGCGACGCAGTGGCGTGTTTCTGTCTCGGCCGTTGTCTGGGTGTTGTTTGTGTCGGACTCAGCACTGGCCGTGTCTGATTCGGCTGCACCACTCCTGAGTGTAGTGACGTCTATTACCGTGTGCTCGTGGGGGGATATCTCCGTCTTGTGCAACGATGGACTCTGCTGCGAGGAGAAGTCTTGCATCGCGGTGCTCCCAGTTTCATCCTCTTCTTCAATACTGACCAAATCGGTTGAGGGTCTTCGAGCTGCGAGGTAGTGCTCGCTCGGAGGGTAACCGTTTGCAGCTCCGTTGCAAGTAGGAGTTTCTTCTTCGGCCTGTGTACCCAGCTCCCTATTCATCTCCCTCCTCTTCTTCTTTCCATAGCAGTAGAGGAACGTGTAGATGACCGTTGGTATGAGGACTCCCAGGATCATGTAGACAGTCAACAAGAACACGTACGTGTTGTAGCAAGTGCCGTTGTTCTCGCAGTTTACGGCGCAGAAAGTGAACGTGGAGCGAAAGCTGTAGGTTTCGTAAATGGCCGAAGGGACGTTAGAGATGAAAGGGACGGTCCAGGCTATAATGCTCATCACCACGAGGACGCGTTTGCCGTTTCGCTCGTACCAGAACGGCGTTAGGATGCAGAGAAACCGGTCCACTGCGAACTGGAATGCGTTCAGCCACCGTACGTAGAAGATGCCGTTCGCTATGTAGCCGATGGTGACGCAGCCGACGTGTCCGAACGGCCATTCGCCTGTCACGCTCCCCGCGACCACCTGCGGACTTGTGAGCAGGGAGAAGAGTATATTCACAGCCACGGCTCCCATGCTGGTCAGGATGGAGCGGTACTGCAGCTCCTTGTTCCTGGCCACCACCCACAGGACGAAGAAGTTGCCCAGCAAGCTGGCGAGCATCAGAACAACTGCCACGAACGAGTGGAGCCAGCGCAGCCACGGCGCCACCTCGGAGTACGGCGGCTCTAGAGTTGGAGTTAGTTCGAACACACCCGAGCCGTTCTCCCAGCTCATAGTCCTCCTCTCTTGGCTAGTTGGTTGCAGTATCTATCTCTGTCCAGCTGTGTGCTCGAGCTGTCTGCCAACCGTATTTCGGAGCGCCGGGAGTAGCTAGCTCAGAGTTAGACAGGCGTCCGTGCAGAAGTCGGCAGTGTGCAGCTCATAATTGCGCACACGGTAGTGTTTGCGTTTATTAGCGAGAGTGGGCAGCAGACACGCGTGCGGAAGGTAGCCCATATTTTCAACGGCTAATCATGAAAGTAGCGCATATTTCTCTAAGAGGCTAATGCCCTCAGGGAGATGGCGCCACAGCAGTAATTCTCCATGCATGGGATGTCATGCAGAAAAAGTAAGCTTCCGCCCTGGTGCATATTTCTGTTGTATATATCACAGTCTTTCCAACCTTCACATAATTTATAGCTCTGAATGGTATGTTCACTGTCTTCTGTTGTGATGAACAGTAATTTAACCACCGAAATAAGGACGCTCACTAATATGGACACTTCTGTTCTGTTAGTGTCTAGATTAGAAAATAGGGACTACCCCTGTACTCAGTAGGTCAAGTAACCGAGTATTATTCACATCCTGTAATGATAGCATAGTGCTCCTCTGGAGAGGTGTAGCACTGTGTGACAGTAGGCACAACGGATGATATTTCAATCCCTCAGCCTCTTGTCTTTCACCACATGTCAGCTATAACACACAGTATGTAGTTGTCACAGGGAGTCTTATAGTGTCTCATATAGTGTCTCATAGAGTGTCTACGTTCTCCAATATAGTCTTATATGTTATAGTGTGCCATACACTCTAATATAGAGTATCTGTATGTGTAGTAATGCTGTGGGTGCATTGCATTCAGTCTTTGAGGTGTACAGAGCATTTCTAGATCTGCTGCTCACTACACAGTTCTCTGAAGAATAGCGAGGAACAAGGTTTGCTCTTCTTCATTCTGGCACTCATCTTGTTGAAAGATGGCTCCATTCAGGAAGGTTGGCCTCTCTCTCTCTCTTCTTTCTCCTCATGTTCTCACTCCCCATTTCCTCTCTCCTCTCCACCACCTCCTCTCTATCTAGAGAGCTTGTTCAAAGTCTTACGCCACGTTGGCATCACCAATGGGTAATAGCACATTGTTCCCATTCCGGTTCCACCACCTCCCATTCCCCCATTCCAGTTCCATCCATTCACGGTTCCAAGACGTGGACACTCTCATTAGAAAAGACTTTGTGGAGGCCAAGTTAGGGATTACGTCATCAATAATGACATGAAACTTAGTCCACCAGTACAATGCTGTACATCCTTTCCTCAGGTTTCTGGACCGAGAGAAGACAGTATCTGGAGACCAGCACAGGTATTTGCAGTGGAACTCCTCTCTAAGGACACTATATGATGTGGGGACCTATATGATGTGGGGACCCCTCTCTAAGGACACTATGATGTGGGGACCCCTCTCTAAGGACACTATATGATGTGGGGACCCCTCTCTAAGGACACTATGATGTGGAGACCCCTCTCTAAGGACACTATGATGTGGGGACCCCTCTCTAAGGACACTATATGATGTGGGGACCCCTCTCTAAGGACACTATGATGTGGGGACCCCTCTCTAAGGACACTATGATGTGGGGACCCCTCTCTAAGGACACTATATGATGTGGGGACCCCTCTCTAAGGACACTATATGATGTGGGGACCCCTCTCTAATAGGGACACCTTTCTTTCCCCAAGAACAGTTCTTGAAAATAATCACTAATATGGACAATTTCTGCTGTTCATTTGTGTCTGGATTAGAGGGGTTCCACTGTAGCTATATCTGTCTGTTCTCCTAGATTTATGTACCACTGGGGCCCGAGAGCACAGGCTAGCGTGGACAAGAGAACTCTGCTGCAACTGGTGGCTGAGGTATAGTCATTATAGGGATGAGGGTGTGCGTGATAGTACCAGACTCTGGAATATGGGGTGGTATTCGTGTCAGTATTCAAACGTCGATTTTGCCAAGGCATTTCCGTTTTGCCGCGGCAAAATTAAACTGCCGCGGCAATTGCCCCGGCAAAACCTGGGCCGAAAAATCCGGGACATTTGCCGCGGCAAGAATAACTAGCTGGGCCATGTTCAATCGTGTCAGTATTCTTGTCGTTGCCGGGCCTTTTGCCGCGGCAAAAGTGCTCTTGCCTCGGCAAATTGCCATTTGCCGCGGCAATAGCAAAAGTATGCATGGCACGTAAAGTGGGCGGAGATAATTTAACGTGACGTCACATCCGGAGTCCCGTTCTGGCTCCAGCAATGTATTGCGTTCTACGGAGAAACTGGTACCGTCCGTACTTAGAGCGGCGCAGCTCTTACGTTTATAAGTTACTTTTGCGATATTACAGTAACTGTAGTATGCGTGAGAAAAAGAACGGACGCTCTAGCTTGTTCCTAAGAGCTACGTGCTGCGCCGCTCTAAGTACGGACGGTTCCAGTTTCTCAATACATTGCTGGAGCCGGAACGGGACTCCGGATGTGACGTCACGTTCAATTATCTCCGCCCACTGTGAAACCGTCTATTGCCGCGGCAAATGGCAATTTGCCCAGGCAAGAGCACTTTTGCCGCGGCAAAAGGCCCGGCAACGACAAGAATACTGACACGATTGAACATGGCCCAGCTAGTTATTCTTGCCGCGGCAAATGTCCCGGATTTTTCGGCCCAGGTTTTGCCGGGGCAATTGCCGCGGCAGTTTAATTTTGCCGCGGCAAAACGGAAATGCCTTGGCAAAATCGACGTTTGAATACTGACACGAATACCACCCCATACTGGAATGACAAAACCTCTTGCTAGTACCTTGTATTGTGTCTCGCAAGACTCAGGCTATTAGAGTTGCATTCCATTCACAGCTCCATGGCGACGGGATCACCCGCTGGGAGAAGCAATTCAATCACATGATGTAATAACCGACAGCTGGGACAATGGGATGTTTTACTTTATCACTTGTCATAATTATCATAAAAATATTATCACAATGTTTTAAAAAAACGTTAACATTGTTTTTGTGTGGTGAGAGTGGCATTACAGATCGTACCACTGGTCATAAATTAGTGGGTGTGGTCAGTTGGCCACGTGATGATGCAGAGCTGGCTGTGGAGGGAGGAGAGCTGTGCCAGGAGGCAGCGGCTGTGGATTAGCTGGCTCTCAGTGAAGTCCACAAGACTCTTCCTCAGAGACACAACTCCCAGTCTACCAAACCTCTCCTCCATCTTGGTGGGAGGAGAGAGATAACTCGGGGGTTACAGTGAAACACTATGAAGGAACCTCTCCTCAATAAACAACACCTCCCCTCATGCATGAGAGACTGTTTACATTAACATCCGACTAAGTATTATCATGCCCCAAGGTGTTCCTTATTGGAGTAAAGAGTTAGCTAACCAATGTCATACCACCCCCTCAATGGTTTGTATCGGATGGCTGCTGGTCGAGGTACTTGGTCATGCACTAGTGCTTCAGCTACCAGCTGGTGTGTCAAACACAGTGGACTAGCATTACATGCTGTCATTGGGGCATGGCAACTTGTGGAATAGATACACATGAGGCAGGTCAACCAGATAGAGCTAGCAAGGATGATGTAACGAACCTCAGTCTTGGCAGTTGAGTTGATGCCAGTGTAGCTGACCATCGCCTCTGCTCTGACTCGCTCCATCTGCAGTGGCAGAGCATTGTCAACATGGAGTCTCATGTGACCCACATGTGAGTCATGCATGTGAGTCATGTGACCCACATGCAAAATGCCTGCCTACACAAACTCCACAACAAAACATCTGAACATTTTGAACGGGTCATATGATCTTTTTCGTGGAAAGAATGAAATGATGTACTGTATATTATACATAATTAACTAGTCACCTCTTCTTTCTGGTCCGGCTTGGCTTTATCCAGCTGTTTGGAGGCTTCAACTAATGCCTGTACCTTTCCTAGTCTCTTGTACAACATGTCCTGTGGAGGGGGCGTGGCTTTGGGATTAATTGATTTATCAGTGAAGCCACACCCACTTTTGCTTGTTTGTTGTATCGGTGGTAGAGGTCAAAGGTGAAGCCTATGGTATTCAGTGCGTCAGTAGATGTTGAATGGTTGTATTTCTGAGAGGGAGAGATGACGTTTAACCCTTTTGAGCCAGAAACAATTGCTCCTGTAAACACGCGATATGATTACATGTTTAACAAATGAGACATCTTGTTCATAATATTACTAAAACTTCTTACAATGGATATGAAATAATTATGTATCGTATCTTCACCACAACAAACATACACTTCCTCTGTGGACGTGCATTTACTCTCTTAACATGGCTGTGGAAAGTAGGTTTCTAGCATAAACACTTAGGAAAAAGCACAGAAGTTGGGAATTGTACCTAGTTATAGCATAGAAACAGATAGGTTGCATATATAGGACGAGCCTGTAGCTCAGTGAGGATGTTGGCAAGGGAGGAGAGGGAGAGAGCACAGAGGTTGTTCCTGCCCACCTCCCACTCTCCCTCCTCCTTCACCACCTCTCCCACCTCCCCCTCCGCACACGCCATCTCTACAGCAGAAAGAAACACTCTAGCTACTGCAGTCAGAGAAACAGGTGTCCTGATGATAACTGTACACAAGCATTCAAAGTACACAAATCCAATGAGCTATCTCCTCTCTCTCCCTCTCTCACTCTGCCAGGCAGTCACAAGTTGGCCAAAGTGTCTGGAGCAAGTCTCCAAAACCGGTGCCCTCTCGTTGAGCCCACGCAGCAACTCCACGAAATCATCGTCCGTGTCCTGACATGAAACACCACATACACTACAGTACATGTATATACAGACAGTGAGACCAAGGAACACTTGGGGGTGTCGAGGTGACCTAATACTCAGCTAATCTATTAGTAAGGGGCAAACCCAAAAGGTGTACTTTATTAGATACTATAGGTACATAGTACACTAGGTAGTTTATATTGCCTATGTTTGTTAGGAGGAGCAACTGTATTACCCATTGCATCATTATGATGTCATACCTGAAGTGAGCTCAGTTGGTAGTTGGTGTATGCGGAGGATAGAGAGTCCCAGAGAGAGGGGGAGGGGAGAGGGTCTCGGGGAGGAAGCTGGGGTGAGGTGAGAAAGGTGTGGACCTCGTGGTTGAGGGAGAAGAAGGGATGGTCTGCCAGAGACTGGAGGAAACTGAGAGAGAGAGAGGGAGCACAATATTGCATTTTGGTAAAGCACAGTAATTGCTGAAAAGGCACAGATAAGAAAGCTCTTGTTTCAACAAATGAAGCTCAGTTCAAAAGGAGTCTGGTAGTTAAAACAACCATTGAAAGTGTATATATATACATGCACACTCAATGCACCACATGTATGTAACACAGTAGTCTATTGTATGTAACACAGTAGTCTATTGTATGTACACACTGACCTCTCTACATCCAGACATGGTAGACGACTGTGACCTCCAAACATTGAGGACTGAGGAACTCCCAGCTGTTCCAGGTGGGCGGGGACTGGTGTGGGCGCAAACGGCAACGGTGGCAGCTGGAGATCACGTGACTGTCACATGATCACGTCACACGATCAATGAATTACTTACAATGTTTCCACCAATATCAACGTTGTTTGCTAACAGACGGTACACCCATCTGATTTCCTCGTATCGGCGATGCAATAGGAGGGGCTTCCCATCGTTAACGATGACCTTTGTTGCCACAACAATCATCAATGTTACCATAGTGACTCTGTCAAGACACGCCCACCTCAATATTGTAGAAGATATCTTCCTCTGTCTTGCTGTAGGCGAGGACCCTCACCGTTATGACGTCACTGGGTCCGCGATCTTCTGTCCCGCCCCCCTCCTCTTCCTCACACACTTCATCCTCCTTCACTTCCTCGCCCTCTTCTCTCTCCTCCCCTTCTTCTAATGGCGGGTTCTTCTCTTCTTCTTCCTTCACGGAGAGCGGCCCGGCCACTTGCACCGCGTCTTGCTCCGTCTCTTCCATAATAGTTGCTTCACCACGCCCACATCGCGAGCACTCGCGCGGAGTGGGAATGGAAAAGAGGGATTTGACCTTTGAACCTGACACAAAGAGGTTGAGGGAGGCGTACTTGACTTGGCAAGAGCCACTGCTGCAGACACGCGAGATGGGTCTCCTGTTCTCGAGAAAGGTAGGAGACGACGCACGTCTTGATACCTCGCTCTAGTAGCTATACTTTCTCTCTGAATTCAGAAGTACCAGACGAGGAAGGAGATACTGGAAGGCCTTGAGCACGTGAGGGGCCGCTGTCACGTATGTCGTCGTCCCCAGCTCCCCTTCCCTCCCCCTCCCTCCCTCTCTGGCAGGACATCAGGCGGCTGACAGACCAGAGGCAGAGGAACGTGTACCAGGAGAAGAGCTTCATTGGCTACCTCCTCATCCTCTCCTTCATCTCCTACCTCCTGGGAGCTCTCCTCTTCTACCTATACTATAGTCCGCAGAGCTGGCTCGAGTACGGTCTCTATTCCATTCCTCTGGTCCTGTTCCCTATCATGTGAGGTCTCTATACCACGTCTATATACCTATTGTTGTTGTTGTTGTTGTTGTTTTGACAGAGTTTATCTGGTGAAGAAACTGCTGAATATGTATTTTGCACATAAGAAAGAACAGTTTGGTAAGTAGCAATATAACAGGAAATTGCCTTGTTGACGAGCATATTATATGGCAATTGTGCCTCAAATCGGCTCATCGATGCAAGCCATGGGGTGTATTTGCATCCCATTTCTATTCTTGTATATAGATTACTGGTACAAGTGTATTTTCTCAGTTTATTTTCTGTGTGTGCTATCAATATATGATTACTGCGACATACTTTCCTTCTGCAGATCAACAACTCATCACTTTACGAGCTGAAAAGAGGAAAGTTGTGAGTGAAAATATCTCTTGTCATTAATTACCTGTATTTCCCCTGCCCCTCTCGTTGGCAGCTAAACGAGGTGATGGAGAGCGAGACGTTCAACGTTGCTAGGGAACTGTTGCAGCGATACGACCCAGGCAACTCGTTTCTCCGTCAGACCAGAGACCAGAGGTCCTCCCAGGGAACCACCTCTGTCAGGACACAACAGAGTAGGCTGACACTCCACGGTGGCACTTACACCGATGCCAATCCCAAACGGCTTTATTAGTAGCAAAGCAAGCCCACCTAATTCTATGCAGACAGCAGCTATACATACTGTAAGGCTTAATAAAGGTAGCACTGCATTCGCTCACCAGTGATGTAATAAAGTTAGCACTGCATTCGCTCACCAGTGATGTAATAAAGTTAGCTCTGCATTCGCTCACCAGTGATGTAATAAAGTTAGCACTGCATTCGCTCACCAGTGATGTAATAAAGTTAGCACTGCATTCGCTCACCAGTGATGTAATAAAGTTAGCACTGCATTCGCTCACCAGTGATGTAATAAAGTTAGCACTGCATTCGCTCACCAGTGATGTAATAAAGTTAGCACTGCATTCGCTCACCAGTGATGTAATAAAGTTAGCACTGCATTCGCTCACCAGTGATGTAATAAAGTTAGCACTGCATTCGCTCACCAGTGATGTAATAAAGTTAGCACTGCATTCGCTCACCAGTGATGTAATAAAGTTAGCACTGCATTCGCTCACCAGTAAAGTTAGCTCTGCATTCGCTCACCAGTGATGTAATAAAGTTAGCTCTGCATTCGCTCACCAGTGATGTAATAAAGTTAGCACTGCATTCGCTCACCAGTGATGTAATAAAGTTAGCTCTGCATTCGCTCACCAGTGATGTAATAAAGTTAGCTCTGCATTCGCTCACCAGTAAAGTTAGCTCTGCATTCGCTCACCAGTGATGTAATAAAGTTAGCTCTGCATTCGCTCACCAGTGATGTAATAAAGTTAGCACTGCATTCGCTCACCAGTGATGTAATAAAGTTAGCACTGCATTCGCTCACACTGCTATCATGTCAGTGTAGTTGCTCTCACCTGCCCCCGACTCATTTCCCTCTCAGATGGAGGAGGTGGACTGCGACAGAGACGACAGGCCCAAACCCCTCACCCCGCCCTGCGTCAACAGCCACACCCACACATTTTAGCAGCAGCACAGACCGTGCCCCGCCCCTCCCAGACACGCCCAGTTCCCTCTCTGGCCCCACCCCCTGCACAGAACCCCTCCCCCTCCACTCTTGCCACTAACGGTAACGAGTTAATAATACTGAGTGACGTAATCAAATACTGAGTGACGTAATCAAATCACAAAACCGTGAAACGTGTTAACTCACAAATTTCGTCCCTACAGTTGCCCCCCAGCAGCCTCCAGCAACAGGCCCCGCCCCCCAGCAACCCCCGGCAACAAGCCCCGCCCCCCAGATCCCCTCCCACCACACCACTCAGTTCATTCCTCCGGGGATGTGTCTGGGACAGGCTCCAGGTCCTCCCGCTCCCTCTCCCATTCTCCCTAGAGACAGAACCAGTCTTGATAAGGTATGTACTGCTGCGGCACCTCTCAGTGCATATGTACATCCCTAGGCCTTCTTACATGAGGAAACTATGGGTCGTCTTACGTGAGGCAACTTGTACCAGAGAGCAAAAGTTGCCCAGTAGGCCTACCTTTTCACCTCCAGCTTTGTGTTTCTTAGAAAGTTAGAACCAATTTTCCACAGCGACTGCTGCTGTTTGCCTCCCTCCCTCACAGATGGTAGAGTACCTAGTTGGAGATGGTCCAAACAACAGATATGCCCTCGTCTGCTCCTCCTGCCACTCCCACAACGGAATGGCTCTTGGAGACGAATTTGAATTCGTCACATTCCGCTGCGCCTACTGCTACACACTCAACCCAGCTCGCAGGAAAAAACCATCACTCCTCAGACGAACTTCGACCTCTGCCAGCGAGGTCGTGTCTGCTGCTGACTCGGCGGCTCCACCACTGGTTGCCATGGCAACGACAGCAGGGCATGTCTCCATGGAAACGGATACATATGAAGGAAATGAAGACAGCAGTCAACAGGTATGTTAATCTCGGCTCTACGGTGACTCTGTTCATACCACTGGTGTTAGTAGATGTGGAGCCCTACGTGTAGCTTGCATTCTGCAAACTCACCAAATGTGCACTATAGAGCTGTAGTTACATAACCATTTTTATACACAGGAGGCCGCGGCAGCTGCTCAGGTGGCAGAGGTTATTGAATCAGGTCCACCACCAGAGCTGCAGATTCCTGCAGCTGGCGATGATCCCACTGACTAGCAGTAATACCTGCTGTCCCCTGGACCTATATAGTCTAGTGGTCCTCTAGTGAATATTGATCACTGCTTGCTGTTCGCTGATATATTATCATGACTTCACCGTGTGTGTGTCTGAGTGTGTAGTTGCATTTTTATATGTTTCACAATTTATAGCATCACTCAAAATGAGATGTGAATAATTCCAACTGTATGTACGATGAATTATTGTTTGTGTTATATTCGATTAATGAGCTGCTCTGTTTCAAGATGGGACAGCCCGGAAATGCCCTGGGACTGGTTGAAATGATTTGGTCTGTCTGTGTTGTAGGAAATGCTCACTCCTTTCTTCCTATATCTCTGAACCTCTTCTCTAATAATGAGGGACAGATTATGGTCAGAACTTGCAATTTGTATCATGTAACAATAGACCATGTGATGCCATGTACAATTTGGACAAATATGAGGGAGGAAGAGGAGGGGAGGTTGAACTGATAGAACTGGAATCAGGAGGAGCCAAGACAGACCTTGTGATATTGACACAGCAGAGAATGTTGAGAGATTTCAGCTGCAGACAACTCTTTCTCAGACCCTGCAGAGCCCGGTCCCTAGAGATACACACCATTACATCACCATTACATCACCAGTACATCATACAGGTGAGAGTCCTCACGTTATGACACAGCCAGACAGGTCCAGGTGAGTCAGGTAGGTACAACCTTTAGATAGGTACTTTACCCCGTCATCTCTTACCTGTAGACCACACAATATTATTCAACACTGGTTCAAAGTTAATCCATACATGTAGAAAGCAGTTCAACAGTGGAGAAGTCAAGTCGAGGGTTCGACAAACAACGCTAGCTACAGTTCAGGACTGGAGGAGAGAATAGTCTCTCACATTATAGCAGTTGGAGAGATGAAGGTGTGTGAGGTAGTGGCAGTGGTAGGCCAGAGTCTGGAGGGCTTGGGAGGAGAGGGCCTCACACTCACTCAGGTCCAGAGTCTCCAGCCACTGCAGACCCTCGACACATCCTCTGGTGGAGAGGTGTGGAGGACACCCAGTACAGAACGCTTCTTAATCTCTACATTCTCTGAGTGTGCATGCTTACTCTCACATACCTTCACTCCATCATCAGTGATTTCCGGTAGCTCAGCCAGACCTAGGTGACGTAGCTTCCGGTTTCCATGGAGACTAGCCACACCCTACAAACCATTGTGTAATGACAAAAACAAAAAACATAATCATGACATCATTGCCTGGACTCTCCAATCAGATCGGCGAGTGAGCATATAGTGAGGTTAACCATAATGTGATGACGAAACAATTAACCATTACATAATGATGACATCGTCACCTGATCAGTGAGGGAGCAGCCGGAGAGGTCAAGGGAATACAGCAGAGGTAGCTGTGAGAGCAGTTCCACTCCGGTGTCAGAGACGTGGTGGCAGTAGGCGAGGGAGAGGTGGGAGAGGGCGGGGCAGGCCGGGGTCAGTCTGAGGAGGCTGATGTCACTCAGTTTCTGGCAGTTGGTGAGGTTCAGTTCCCTCAGAGTGGGACCGAAGGAGCTCTCAGCTATGTGACGCACACCGAGGTCTGACACTCTGTGCAGGTTCATACAGTAGAGAAGTTAGGGATTTCGTTCCTTGCCAAATTAAGTACATTACGCTACTTAGGTGAGCACTTATGACCAAATTAGCAGAACCGTCGCTTCAATCTCCATTTTAAAATGCTTGAAAAACCTGTAAATAGTGGTTGTCTAATTATACACACACGTAACTCTTGGTCAGCCATCACCAATGTACATACGTACGTACGTACCTGGTGCAGTCGGCGATGTTGAGAACCGATAGTTTCTTCAACCTCTTGACATCCGAGAGTCCTTTGTCGGAGAGACGCGAGCAGCCGGCCAGGTGGAGATAGTGTAGGTCCCGACACCCTCGAGACAACACTCGCAGACTCATGTCACTCAGAACTGTGCCGTCTGCTGGGACACAAAAGGTTAAATAGGCAGGAGGGAAAGGGTTACAGGGAAACCTTCGAACAAGGATCGTCCAACTCTTTATGCCTCTGCCCCATACTAATACATCAGTCACCTCCAAATAAAGCACGCCACTATATGGATGTCCCATATTCACAGTATATAATTGTCTCACTCTCAATTTTGAGGGTCCTCAGTTTCCTGTTGTGTTGTACGAGGGATTTGACGGAGCGATCAGAGATGGAGAGTGTGGTTCCAGTCTTTGCCAGCAGCGAGACACGTCTCAGTGTGTGCGTACTGCTGGCAAGACTCTTGGTGGAGGAGGGAGAGAGACGGGGGGAGGGGGGAGAGGATGGAGTATAAGTCACAAAAAGTTGCCAACTTGTTGCGTAAAACAAACACACACGTCATGTTCCAGAAGGGTAATAAGGTGTTAATTGCCACAGAGATTAGAGCCACATATGTAGTCTGTGTTCTGGATTATGAAGAGTTCCACTGACCATGATCATAGAGTCACTAAGAGAAGGGATGTTATCGAGTAGGACAGTGTTCAGTATGGGACAGCCCACACCGATACACTGCAGAGCCTCGGACGTTAGCTTCGTACAGCCGGAGAGGTCAAGGTACACAAGACGACGACACCCCTTCCCTCGCTGGATGTAGCGAAGACCTCGCGAAGTGAAATAAAGACACCCTGCTAGACTCAGGTGGTTGAGGTTGCCACAGCGACTGGAATGGAATGGAATGTGGGGAGGTGGTTGGAATGGAATGGAGACGGAGGGAGGAGGTACCGGGCGAGTGTTCTGATGGTGGTGTCAGTGACGTAGCAGTATGACAGGTTGAGGTAGAGAAGGCCCGAACACCCTCTGGTTACTATGTCCATTACATCATCCTACATATGTATATACCAGAGAGAGAGTATGTGTTTACAATGATGGTGACAACAAAGGGCTTTGAAGAGTGAAAACTTGAATTTGAGGAAATGATTTAGGACAGGGATCATTATTCACGAGCAGGACCTTTCCTAGAACAAGACGAGACTGATTTAAGATTCATAAATCTCTCGTACAGCGGAGAGGTGTGGCTTACAGTAATGGCGCATTCTGAGAGGTTGAGGTCTTGAAGATTGTGACATTCTCCTGCAAAAAATCAGCTCAATGAGTGTGTAACTGTAGCACAATGCAATGTATTGCTTGAAGAGAGAGAGGCTAACCGATGATCTTGAGGGAGTCTGGGCTGAGTGAGGAGCAGCCTCTCAGACACAGGTGGCCCAGGACTGCTCTGTGGCGGTGCAGCTGTCTCTCCAGACCTCTGCTGTTTCTCAGTCTGCAAGGGAAATGAGGTGGGGGAAATGAGGTGGGGGAAAGGATAGGGATGAAAGTTGGGGCTGGGAGTGCGTATACTTGTCAGTGAAGGTGGAGAGGTCAATTCTGTTCCAGAGTTGAGGATCTCCGACAAGATCTCTCCAGGTTCTGCAGACTCTGCTGCAGGCGACCAGACCTCTTACCCCCACACTCCTCAATATCTAGAGAGAAGAAAATACACCCACCCCCCACACCAACACACAACCCCACCACACCCACCCACCACCCCACCCACCCACCCCAACACCCCCACCCAACAACCCACCCCCACACCCCAACACCCACCAACAGAAGAAAATTCAAACTACTTTACCACATCCCCGGAACCCCCCCACCACTATGTCTGACCAACGTCCATTCTTAGCCACACACAGCAGAACTTTTAGTACCCACTGTGAGAAATGGCCCCATCCGTCCCCACACCCCAATGCACATCGAGCACGCATACTGTCCTCTTCCACACACCCTCCTGCACAGGAATACCCACCCATCCCACACCCCACCCACCCCCCACTCCATCTCCTCTTCCTTTTTTGCATCAAAGAACACACACAAGACACCTCACCGTATGACCAGCAACTCCCTTGTGTTTTTTTTGTACCTCAACCAGCTCAATCGCACACTCCACCCACAGCACCCCTTCACATACTGGTCCATCCTATACACACATCACATCTTCCAACCCCCCCCCCCCACCACCCCCCCACACCCCCCCAACACAACCCACCCCCCCAACCCCCCATTTGCCGCCGAATCGCCTTAATTCTTTTAGTCCTTATCCAAGGATCACACCCCCCCCCCCCCCCACAGGTTACAGGATTAGTACGTAATGCGGCCCGAATTAAATCAAATACTGTCTTGGACCAAAGACCCACCTATGGAGTTAATGCCCTGCCAACCATCAAATTCACAACGCGTTCTTTGAAAGCTAATAAATCTACATTTGGGGTTAACTGCGTACAAAAACCCACAGGCATACCTTCAATTAATTTAAAAAAACCTGCATCTAGTGATTGTAACGCCATTCTCACCGCGAGTAGTCGGGCTTAATGCTTACCCAAATTAACATGCGCGAAATAATCGTATAACGGACACTCCTCCCCAGGCAATGGAGACCCCCCCCCCCAAGCGTTATTGAGTAGACCAGTGCACAGAAATAGTGTTCTCTCTGCTTGTCTCAGCCTCTCCCTGAACAGAGCCTGCTCCACTTTCTCCTGTTCATGATACTGCAGCCACGCTCTAGTGGTGGGAGAGGGAAGGGAGGGAGTATTGCAGGGAAGATGGTACTATAGCAAAGACTGTAGCCCTCACCTGAAGCACCAGTGGCAGAGGTGTACACTACGGAAGCGGTAGGCTAACTCCAACTGCTCCTCGTCGATTGCGTCAGTGTCGGGGTGCAGACCTCTCAGACAGCCAGACTGCAGGGCACCTCGTGATGCCGGGTCTATAAACAGGTCCCTGGGTGGAAATGAGGAGAGGTTCTGGCACACTCTTGCTTTCTGTGTTGGTCTCTCTCTCTCGTTTCTCTCTGTATGTACCGTGGTATGTCAGTGACGCTGGCGTCTCTGATGTGCATGAGACTCTGGCAGACAAACTGCCACGGATCACGTGGTGTCATTACCGTAAGTCCAGTCAGAAGGGCCTGAGGATGGAATAAAACAGAAAGTTCTCTCTCTACGTCGCGTGGTTCATGCAAGTCAACGCAAGAGCAAGTGGAGAGTGTGAGACCATTACCTCCATGACGCTAGGCCATCTGTGCCGCTCCAAATACTCGCGGAGCTCAGGCTCGCAGCCCTCCAGCGAGACAAGGGACTCCATTTTGCTCCAGGTGCTCGGTTGCCAATGGTTACCTAACATCTGAGAAATATTAATTTTTGTTCCGCGGATCGCGTATAATTAGATAACGACCCCGCCCCCTTCTCTTGGCTGGCGGTTTGGCGGCCTACCTCGGCCTTCCGTCTCCCTTCCCAACTGGCGTTTGGGTATTTCCAGGGCACCCCTTTCCTCTGCGCTGGCTTTCTAACAGGTAAGTGCAACTGTTCATTGACAGAGAGCGAAAAGCGGTGTCTACCGTCTGATAGAGAGGCCTGTGGATGGCGGAGTGCGAGGGGTTCATCTGCCCGCTGTGTATGAGGGACTTCAGGGGCGTGGTTCAGTTGGAGCAACACTTCCAGGAGGACCATTCCGATACCACTCAGTCCCGGTTCCGTTCCAACCTCAAGAACCTCTTTGGGAAACTCAAGAGGAGGGTACGAACCAATGCTGATGATATAACTGTGATGTCATAGGTATGTTTAGAACCAGGATGGTGGACTGGTCGACGAGGGGGCAGCTGCAGCATCTAGCAGACAGGGCGAGGCTGTGGGTGTGGTCACAAACATCAGTGGTTTTGATGAATGGGAGACTCAGCCATTTGGTGGGTGTCTGGATATACGTACATAATAACCTAGTGTATAATATGAGGAAGTCATTCAGACAACTTCGCAGACGGTTTCAAACCTAAAGTATGTTCCACTATTGTGTTTGAGACGTAGTTACATTGTAATGAAGTTGCATAGACCTGGGTTAAACCTTTCCTCTGGTAAATTCCATGCAGCCAATGCCACATCATTAACATTATTTTGTTACCAAATTGTGAGCTACTTTTATATATGTAGTAACGTAGAGTAAAAAATGGTGGTTGTTGTTGTTGTCAGGGTTTAGTCGAGACTTGATGCGGCAGTTCCGGAGGGAGAGAGATGTGGTCACGACACAACTAGCAACAGAGACCAACAGACTCATCATCAGAGTGGAGCGGGTGAGTTCAATGACAGGTCATCTCGTTGATTGCTTGTACCAGGTCTGCACTAATATCTCCACTAATTATCCCTGCCCATCACAAATTGAGTTTCCTATTTCTAATTTGATTCTCTCCCTGTAATTATGTATACAGCTGTTCAAAGCTCTGCAAGTCACTCCACTGAGAACACCAAAGGCCAGGAAAGGTGTGTTCATTCATACGGCATGTGAGGTCACATGACCATCACATGACTCAGAGCTGGAGCAATCGGTGGTGTCATGGCGACCGGACAAGGAGGAGAAGCGATGTCGGTATTGTGGGCGTGGTTTTAACGTGCGACGAAGGAAGCACCATTGTCGACTGTGTGGTGACATCATTTGCCAGCGGTGCTCTCAGTTTATGAGTCTCAGCGAAACATGTAAGAACACTTCCGGTAGGTGTGGCCATGCTCGTGTAACCACACCCACTCAGATCCGGTCCTCTCCGATTGCCCCGACTACCGTTCCCTGGCCCCGCCCACCAAGACGAGGTTGCTATCGTTGAAGAGAGGGCGAGGGAGGAGAGAGGAGGAGGAGGAGGAGGAGGAAGACGATAAGTCAAGAGATTTGCGAATGTGCTTCTCTTGTTACAAACTCATCCACAGGTCAGCCCCAACTGTTGGTGTTTGTTCACTCACGTATAATATTATACCCTCAAGTGGTGTGCGTAGTACTGTGGTTCAGTGAACTCTGCTGTGTTCTTGCAGGAGACTGCACCAGTTGGAGAACCTGGAGAAACCACTAGTATCTTCCTTGTACGAGGTAAAACAACACCCTCCTCTGCCACTCTATTTAGAGCCCACTGTCCCTCTGCAGAGGATGCAGGGGATCATTAGTAACGCTGACGACAGGAAACCCCCATATCTTCTCATGGCTGAGTCCATCATGTGAGATAATACACTTTGCTGGTTGACTATAAGTAGTATCGTAAAATTCCACTGCTAAATTTCTTTTTCTATCCAGTCTGTTTGACGCAAAATTATAAGCCGCGTTGCATGTTTACTAAACACAAACTGAAAGGAATGCAAGGTGTATATATTGGTATGTGTGGTAAGTTGTGTGCTGTATAATATGCAGAGCTGGGGAGCATGGCTACCGACTGACTGTTGCCATGAGAACTAGACAAGAACTTATCAAACAGTACGAGGCAATAGACAGTATCAGGTGGGCAAACAATGACACACACCTTACCATTCTTCATTTCCTAACACTCATATTCTCTCTTGTATATATACATCTTTATCTCTCTCTCGTTTGACTTCTTCTCATCTTCCCACACACCGTAATCCTCTGATCCCAGTAAAGACATATACTCACTGGGAAGTGACTATGAATCAGATCCATCAGCATCCAGAGCCATGTTCAAACTTTGTCGAGGGATTCGAGTGTATGCGTCGACTTACCTTCAGGAGAACCTACTGTCCCTTCCGTCCCTGCCCACGTCTCACCAACTGGCTGAGATCAGACGGAGGAAGGAGGAGGAGGCGAGAGAGAGATTGAAGGAGATGGAACGGCAGAGAGAGATACTTCGACAGGAGGAACTTGCACGAAATCTAACGCACAGTGTCACAATGACCAGTGGGTCTGCTGTGGATGATGTGTATGATGACGATGACAGGGGATTCGCAGGAGCGAGCACCTCGTATTCACTCGATCTTGCATCGGGCGAGAAAAAGAAGAGATTTGAAAAACTCAAGAATTTCTCCAACAAGGTGATACCGAGAGTGAATTTCAAGAAAGAGGGAGGAGGGGGAGGTGAGGAGGGGAGTGTTAGGGTGGAGCGACTTGCTTCTGGGTCAGGGTGGATGAGCACGTCGAAGGCGTTTGGGAGCATCGACAGTCAGGACGACCCGTTTACTCTACAGAGAGAGCAGCTGTTGGGGTACATCCAGCAGGCCAGGGTCGCAGGTCGAACTGACGAGTTGGCTGCTCTGGAGCAGAGTCTGCGTGAAATAGAGAGACTAATGACGGAGAGAGAGCTGCCGCCACAGGCTTCACTCTCCTACGGTTTCAGCTAACTACCCACTACAGCCCCTTCAATCCCAGCGTGTGATTATTATAATATTCTCTCATGTTATATATACATGTGGTGTACTGTATGACAGTGACAGTGATGAGTTATTGTTTTTGTTGAGGAGGCGGAGGAGTGGTGAAAAGAGAGTTTAACTCTTTCTGTATGTCGCGCCACTGCAAACTGGTGGTGTCTACAACTTGACTACCACCATCCTCTGCGAAGGTTTAGCAACATTCACATCAGAAGAGTCAGGATGATGGTTCACCTGAAACGAATATGACTTCCGAGCGCTCGATTTCTCTGGTCTCGACTGAAAACTTGACTTGAGGGTTGAAAAACTTCAGCTGTGGGACGTTCTGCTGCACGAATACCCTGAGACACAATAATTATACTAATGCCTCGAGTTTAGGAGGAAAATCCGGACATACTTGGTCCCTGCGTGTTGTCTTTCGTCCCCAGAGCCCACGGCCAGTACCACTTCCTTCACACCGTGAGGGAGACGCAGCGGCCACGCTCGAAGGTGGTCCAGCGTCCGCACGTATCCCAGCGTCTGTCTAACGACAGAGACGGTCTTGACTGTAGAGGTCATAGTTCAATTTTTACACCACGTGGGTGACACTGAGCGTCCTTCAACAACTTGCCCTCATCGCCTACCCCATATAATAGGCTACTCTCCTTCAGTGGAAGTTACAAAGAAGAAGGGCGGGGTAAAGATGACAAGTGTTCTGTGGAGGATTATGGGGAGAAGGAGGGACGTGGGGAAGAAGAGGTTGAGGCACAGACAAAGGAAGAGGTGCAGAGCCATCACACAGATTCCGGACGAGAGCGACGAGCGGATACAAAGATTTCTGGAGTGGTGCGACGAAGTTGGAATTTCGTTGCACAAGAGTGTGAGTAGGTGGGCGGGGCTGATCATCCTCACAAACACACATTCACTATCACTCTCTCTCACTCTCTAGCTGTACATAGGTCGAGAAGGTTCCTGTGCAGACATAGGTGTGGTGTCTAAGGCCTACATCCCGGCAGGCGCAGTCCTGGCCACGATCCCCAGTCCTCACTCCTGAGTGCAGCCAACAGTGAAGTGGGGACGGCTCTGGTTCGAGACAAGGTCCTCCGCAGGCAAATGAGGACGGGGAACAGCTGGATCCCTCTTCTGCTGGCCCTACTGGCTGAGACTGGCAAGAAAGTGGGTTCAAAACTCCTAGTGTTTGGTATACTCCATACCAGCATTTCCTGACCTGTCACGCCAATACATTTACTACTACCATAGGAAATAATGTTGGCCAACCCTAAGACCTTAAAATATTTGCACACCGACATTGTGTGGATTGCCTGTTAGTGAAATGGTTGGATGTTCACAGAGTTTGAGTTTCTGGTGGCCGTACTTGTCTCTGGTTCCGAGTGAGACGGCTGTGGGTCCTCCCCACCTCTGGTCTCCCGAGGAGAGGAGCCAATTATTGCAGGGGACGGGGGTGGGGGAGAGGGTGCAGCGAGATCTGGCCAACATGGAGAGAGACTATCACAGCATTGTTCTCCCCTTCATCCAGCGTCATCCTCTCCTCTACCAGTGAGTCACTAGGCAGTAGAGTGGGGAAAACCAATAATTCAGGGAGCAATAAAAGGACAAGTAAACTTATTTCCTACCAAATGGGAAAGGTTGTACAGCCTCCCTAGATGATAAGCAGCTTTCGAAGGTGTGTGGACAAGGTATGTATTGCAACTTACACAAGTCGAATTTACACATCCTCAGTAAGTGATGTTGTGTCTGCAGGGGATCAGAGCATTCTCTGCAGATGTACAGAGACCTGGTCTGCCTCGTGATGTCATACAGCTTCACTGACTCGGCAGAGGATGATGACGTGTCCCGCCAGACAATGATGGTCCCGTTTGTAGATCTCCTCAACCACCACTCACAGCACCACGCAGAGCTCCGTTTCCACTCCTCGTACCTCCAGCTGGTAGCCATCAGAGATATTCCCCAGGTAATTATAGATCTAGGAGAGACCGAGTATGGTATTACCAATGGTGGTAGTGGTTTGTAAGAGATATCCCATAAACTAGAGCCGTTTTAAACAGACACTATAGTCAAGATCTAAAACAGGTAACCAACCGAAGGTGTGCTAGAGCATCAAATGGTCTTTCAAACCATTGTTTTTCGAGTGTATTGCTATAATAGAGTAATTTCCGACTATAAGTGAATAGTATCCTCATCTGTGAAGGGTTCAGAGGTCATGAATACCTACGGTCCCCTGTCCAATGCCAGCCTGCTACATGCATATGGCTTCACCGAGGAGGGAAATCCCCACGACGTGGTGAGTGACATCATCACCATACCGGAGTGTGTGTTTTGTCAAATTTTGCCAATACAGCAAAATGGCTATCGTTTGAGTGCTCATTTATGCAGGCTCTGATCCAGAGTACTACTCTCAGGAAGGCGTACAGTAGTCTTCGAGGATCACATGACATGTCATGTGACCAGAGGTGGGAGAGGGTCAGGGAGGACGTTTCGGAGGATGAATTTGAAGTTGATATTTCAGGTTCTCCTGAACCCAGCCTCGTCGCTGCCGTGAAGGTAAACTGCCAAAATAATCGTGACACCATCTATACAATCACTGACTGCTGCAGCTGCTGATGGTTGAGGAAGAAGAGTATGACAGCATGTGTCATTACGTAATGGATGAGAAAGGTATAGAACAATAAGTTGCTTTCGCGAGTTTGTGGGAAAATGCTCACTCTCGAAAATCATTATGTGAAAATGTTTTGTGACTTGATAATTTGGCATGAGCAAAATTAATTTTTCTTGCTGTACTTTTGTGTGCAGTGGATTTGAAACTAAAGTCACTGTCGAAGGTAGAGAGAAAGTTTCTGCTGAGGTGAGTGTCAAAGAATGGTTCATGCTAGTAAGGCAGCCCCTTTTTCATTGCCTTGTTAGAGTGTGCAGAGCCTGCCTGGCTGACTTGTCCAACGAGACCTGTGGGGAAGGCGAAGACAAGAAGTGCTTAGTCTTGCAGCTCTCTTCAAGTCAGAGACTGTCGTTAGAGAAACTTGAGAAAGCCCTAACAAGTTTACCTTCGTAGTGTATCATTCAGGTCGCCTACGAGAGGGGGCGGGGCTCCGCGCCTTCGCGCCTTCCTCAATGCGCATGCGCAAACTAACGTGCTCGATCCCCCAAAGACGAAGGCGAGACGACCTACACCTGTTCGGAGACCTTCGCGTGCGAGGCGGCTGCACTCGACGGTCGGCATGTTCGCCTGTCCGGTATGCCAGTGGTCCCTCAATACGTCGGCGGAGGTGAAAGCTCACGTGAAGACCCACTCCGTTGTTGAACGGAAATGTGCCGCTTGCGGCCTGGGATTTCGCGGCCTGTTCATGGCGCTCTGCCGCTGCGTACCAAAGAAACTGTTCCGGTGCCCACTGTGCCCCAATACTTACACCGATAGGCACAGTGTAGGGCGACACCTGCTGACGAAGCATGACCATACGATGATGATAGTCTCAGTCCCTGTGTCTGTCAGTGAGTGTGGGAAATAGTGGTGGATAGGTCTAGGGGTGGTCCTGGGATACCTGCTGATCCAGTTGCTCCCACTACTACCAAGTCCACTGCGTGATTCAGTTGCTCCCACCAGTACCAAGACCACTGCTGATTCAGAGAACAAACTCCCACCAATGGATTCCCAGACCCCTGCTGATTCAGTGCCTTTGCGTTTGCCCTCCTCTGGCAGCAAACTGTCACCAACTACACCTGCAAGGTCTTGGCCTTGCTTCCTCTGTGAGAAGATGTATGTTAGGAAAGAGAGTCTAGTCCGGCATTTGAAACAGTGCCATGCTACTTTGATGTCAACCATTCGCTGCAGACACTGCGACACTCTCCTCCACTCTCTGGAGTCGTACGAAACTCATTTCGTTACGGAGCACCTGCGAGTCACCCCGCACCAGTTCACATGTGGGCTGTGTGGAAGGCAGTATCGCACAGCCGCGAAACTCTGGATACACCAACGGAAAACTCATCGGCGAATGCCACGAGGGATCAGACGCACCCATCGCAGGAGCTACGTTCCGAGTGTTGACATCCTGTGCACACACGTCACGAAATCATCCGTTCTTGTCAGCAAGCGTCATCGCAGTCGGCCACGCAGAAAACTCACAAGACGTTACAAATGTCGTCACTGCTCGAAAGGGTTTTTCACCAGCAGAGGGTTCTCAAGACATGCCTGCAAGACATCATTGCCCCACGACCCCATTTCAACCTGTTGTAGTGCCTCAAGGGTATAAATGTGTCCTCTGCGGGAGGATTTTGTCTCGCCTGGGAACCTTCCGGGGCCACGTGAACCTCCATGCTGATATCCACCCCTACCACTGTGATCAGTGCGGGGAGGTTTTTCACAGCTCCAGCAGCAAACACAGACACCATCCTCACTGCGGTCTCCCGCAGCGGGTCTATAGTTGTCACAATCAATACACTCAAGGCTGTTACGCCAAGAAGAAGGTGACGGTCAGTAGCCACTCTGTCTGTGCGAGTGATGGGGGCGGGGCCAACAATTCCGCAGAGGAAGAGGCATGTCAGGAAGAGGAGGAGGAGGAGGAGGGTGATAGGGAGAGGTTGGGAGATGGAAGAGATAGAAACGAGGAATGGTTTGTGTGTGGAGTTGGCTTGCAGCCACACACCACCTGTGATGACCGTACGGCTCAATGCACCTCCACCCCTACCAAGTCGGGAGGTGGTGAAAAGAAAAACGGAGTATTTCGCTGTCAGGAGTCCAGCAAGTTGTACACGACAAACCACAACTGGACGAAGCACGTGCACTCTCTGTCGCGACCTCTCACTCACATGAAACTGCGGAGAGTGTCTCGTCCATCGGACAACGACTCAGGACTTCCATCAGAACAGCAACAAGTACAAGCTAATCCAGCAGTCTGTAAACCTGCTATACCAGAAGATGAGACTCGCTCCAGAGTGGAGCCTGTGGTCCAGCAGGAAGAGGGGCAGGCAGAAGACTTGCTGGAGGACACAAGGCTGTTAGTGGCATCTCGAATGTCGGTGGGGAAAGTGGCTGTTCTGCCAGTGTGCGGAGAGATCCACGTGGAGATGAGGAAGGAGGAAGAACACCGGACAAACACTATACTCAAGAAGCACGGGTCATGGAACGTCATCTATTTCAAAGACAATCCTGTGTCTTAGGATCTGGTCAAGCATCATCATAGTACACTGCAGATCTTCGTAACCCAACATAATTATCATATCACAGAAATTATTGTGAATTCATGAAGAGTTTTGTATCACAAGCTCGTCTCATAATAAATAGCAGAAGATTGAGAATTAAGTTGAGAGCTGTGATTTCTGTCAGGACGACTGTTTCTTTGCTTTGACTCTAGCCACCAGCTCCTGCAGAAGCAGACAGTGACAGCTGACAGAGAGAAAAGATGGGCTCCTTCCCTTTCCACGAGACTTTCAAAAGCAATAGTGATATAATATACCTTGCATCTGGCGACACACTCTGTCTTGGAGCGAGAGCCAACCATCTCGGAAATCCTCTCCCATCTTTCGGCCGTGCTGGCTGGGTAGGTCCGGAGGGCCTTCTCCAGCAACTGCACAGACACACACTTGCTATCTGATACTGCCACCATAGTGTAATGATGTCATTAATGATGTCATACCTTCTGCTCATCTGTTGTCCACGGTAGTCTATCTGCAGTGATGAAAGTACAATATTCCACCATCATGTACAATATACATGAGGGAGATACACAGAGGCAGAGATAGGGGGAAATACTGCTGCCTGGAAAAAACGCCAGTAGCTAAAGGGTTAAATCTGACTCTCTCCTTTCCCTGCAGTAGGTGTATGTATATACCATATCTCTCGGTGGGTGTGGCCTCCACAACAGGTGTTCTGGAGTTGAGTGTCTGCTGGAACTCGGTGAAGGCCTGGCAATTCTCAGAGTCTCTCTGAGAGGCCTCCAACTTATGCAGACTCTTCACCTTCTGGATCACCTACATACACATACGTAATGTGTCTTCTAACAGTGAGTGTATCAAGCCCTTGTGTGAAGGTTTCAAGCCCTCGTGTGAAGGTTTCAAGCTCTCAGGAAAACATTCATAAATTCCTTGCCAATGTTCCTCCCTCGATGTAACACACACTATAGAATTGTGTGAAGACATGCATCAACACCTGTTTGGGTGTCTTAGGTCTGGTCCCCCTTTCCTTGGAGTGATCATGGACAAATCCAGCAATGACCTCCCACCTTTAGTGCAGAGACGGAATATCAACATTGCGACGGGAGGTGACCTGGACCACACCCACCTCTTGTTAGTGCCAGACGGGTGCAGAGCTACTGCCTTTACCAACAGCTGCACCTCTTCTCTGGACCAGTCCTTGTCGGACAGAACACCTCTCCCTCCTCCCCCTCCTCCTCCTCCCTGTCCTTGAGCACCAGTCTGACTTACTGTGTGGGATAAGAAGTCCTTGACTCCAACCTCTGATTTCCCCCTATCTTGTTCCCACTTTCATCTTCTCCCCGAAACCAAACTTTTCTCCATCTCTCTCAGTAATTCAATCTTCCCCTCTCTTTCTCAGACTTTCTCGTCACTCCCTCTTACCTCTAGCCTGGGCAGCCAGCTCTGCCTCTTCTCTCTGTCTCTTCACCAGCAGCTGTGGGACCACGAACACCCAACACACTCACTGCATGTGTCAACAGCATGCATTTACTCACAGCCTCTTCCACAGCAGTCCTCCCCTCTTCCTCCCTCCCTCCCCTCAGCCTCTCATTCAGACCCTGCAGCTGCTCCAGAGAGAGGGACTCGCACAGAGCCTCCAGGTCCTCCAGTCGCCCGGCGACCACCTCCCCCTCTCCCCCACTCTTCTCCACAAAGTAGTTGTGTGTCTTGCAGAGCGTCCGGGAACTGTTTGCGTTCTCTCTTCAATACCTTCTTGGCCGCTTCTTTCTCCTTCTTGGCTTGCGCAGCCTTCAAAAGAACGACTCACACACACAGTGAATGTGTGACGATACAATACCTGTGCCTTGTTTGCCAGTTCTTCCCTCTCCCTCCTCTCCCTCGCCTCCGCCAACCTCTGTTGCTCCACCTACAGTTGATACAACACGACTCAAAATTACTAAGTTTTGAGAAAGTTGGTGACTCAGTGGTAAATAAAGGGTTTTAAGAGAGCAAAATTTGGCTGATTGCACTTGCCCAGAAAGAAAATGAAACAATTGTGAAGTTCTTAAAATATTCCCTCGGTCTACTAATGATAAGACTAACTCTTTCTTTCTCCTCGGCCTCTTGTCTGGCAGCCTCAGCTCTTGCTCTCTTGCGAGCCTCCTTCTCCGCCTTCTCTTCCTCCCTGAACCTCTTGATCCTCGGATCCAGTGAGTACGCCGTGTCTGACGAAATTCTTGAGAGGAAAAGTTAGCATTTTGGTGGTAGGAGGACCTACCCACAAGTGTTCTAATACGAGTTGTTTCTTCTTTCTTCCTCTTCAGTCTCACGGCCCTGTTCTGTTTCTCCATCCATCGCCGCTCATCACGACTGATCAGAGATCAACAACCACAAACAACACCATAATAACGACTGAGAAAAGATCACAATGATCCACAGAGCAGACTTCACAAAGAGACCGAGTTTTGTGTTTCTAGCTAGTGACTTAACTACCTCGTTTCCCACCAAGGCAAACCTTTTACGGGAAAACATCCAAAATATGCTCTCCACAAAAAGTGTAAAGTGTATCCCCTCACTTCTCTGCCTTCTTCAGGTTCTCCTCGTCCATGTAAGAGAATTCCCGCCACGACTCAAAGTTGTACCAGAACGTGTAGAAAGTGTTGACTTCTTCAAACGCAGAGTCTTTGCCTCCTAGCCTCGGGACCGGCTGTTTGACTGACCACCTAGTGTTTGGTGTGTGGAACCCCTCTAATTAGGGCACTAATATGACAGGGAAACTGTCCACAGTAGTGAGGTGTCCTAATATGAGGGGTTAGATTCCATGCTTTTGGGGAAAGAAAAGATGCTGTTGTTGGAGAAGTGTCCTCATTTCAGAAGGGAGAGTTTCCACTCTACAGTCTCACAGGAAATGCAATGTTACACACGAGGAAAACGTACCGTTCGTTTGATGAAAAGCTTCGCCAAACTCCTCAAAGAAGTTTTCCCTGGAGTGGGCATTATTTGGAGGTATAGCGTCATCGAAAGTGGGGTCCACGCTATCGAAGGCCCTCCGTCTCTTCTCGTTAGACAAGATGTCATATGCTGCGGGGAGGGAGTGTGGTGAGTCCTGTTAACACCACAGCCTCTCTCTCTCTCTCACCTATCTTGATGCACTTGAAGTGATCGTCCCCCTCGCCCTCCCCTGACGACTGCTGCTGCTTGTCAGGATGGTGAACCAACACCTTCTGACGATCTGAGGCAGCAGCCATCCTCGTGTGGAAGTTATGAGGTAATGGAGGGGGGAGGGCACTCACATGCCTTTCTGATATCCTGTTGAGTGGCCTGCCACCTTAGTTTCCCGAGACCCAGAAGTACGTAGTGATCCTGGTCCTGTAATGATTGACACCAGGTGACGTACAGACATTGTCCACAGGTATATGTATACCTTCCATTGTGTGGGGTCTAAGAGAAGAGGATTGATTTCGTCCCCCCTCCCCTCTTCCCCCTCCTCCTCACTCTCTCCCACGACCCCGCCTCCACTGCTCCCCCCGCTGAGCAGGCGCACGTGACGAGCACGCGACTCGTACCAGCGTCCGACGGGCTGAAAACGACTAACGGTGGGAGCTGAAAGTAAGGGGAGGTCACTACAGACATTATACCAGTATATCAGCGTACCTGAGAGCTTGCTGAGAACCAAACTCCCGCTCCCTCCCTCGGAAAGACCTTCGGCCATGCGTATTCTCTAATTGGAGCGCACCTCGCGGGAGTCGGTAACGCGCGCGCCGCGCCATAAACGTCACGCACGCACATACGTAAGCGGCACATTGGGGGCGTGGAAATCAACCTGTAATGACAGTATATCAGTTTTGAGAAATGTTTCTTTTCTGTAAAAATTTCTTCATTTATAGAGGTTCAGTGAATGCCAACTTTCCGTACGCAGCAGCGACTGGCCGAAACAGTCCAGTTATAGTGGTAGGCCAGTCTGGACTGGTACTCACTCTCACATAGCCTTCCCTTCCTCTCCAGTGAGCCAGCCTTGGCCTCCATTGACTCCACACTCTCTGCGTGACTCACAACAAAACTGTTGAGGCAGCCACGAGAATAGTAGCCCGAGTTTATCCACAGAGCGTGCTGCTTTTTTATCCCCCTCAGCGGAGAAAGCCACACCCCCAGGGCTATGTCGTCGTGGCGATAGTGGTCCAAGTGAGGCCCCATTTCCACGAGGAGTTCCACAATGTTGCGCGAGATTATGTAACCACCCCCCTGGGGGTATGGGAGGTAGTGGGAACAGAGGATCCAATTTTCTTCTTTCGCAACAGAATTCTCAGAGTATCTTACTGCCTTTACACCTCCTGCAAAGTAGCCCCATATGGTGCCCCTCTGCGGAGTGAGCCTCTTTGCTAGGAGTCTGTCGATGTCTACAAAAGTTGCAGAGTTGCATTTGAAGAGTGTGGCAAAGTCAACGTGGGTTACAGCCCAAGAGAAAGCTTGCAGAATCTTCCATGAGCTCGGCCACTCTGTGTTACCATCCTCCTCAACGTCTGATAGTACCAACAGATCCCCGTGTTCCTCATTCTCCGTGGCTAGACCAGCCAGTGTGCTATCGTCAAGATAACGTGTTCCGATGACGAACCGTGCAACGTACTCGCCGTTCGGAGATCCACGCTGCAGCCACGTCAACCTCACAGCGTCTCGTAACGAGCGCTGCTCTGCGGCCGAATGGACGAGAACCAGTAAATCAAACGCTCCTGGAATCGCCACTTTACTCGTTTCTGCGAGTTTAGCAATTCTGCGAGTCCAGTCGGCTTCGTTTTCTTCGGGAGAACGGTCGCTCCGTTCCGTAGACGTAGGCCCGTTTCTCGGTCCGTTTGCATTTGCCTCTCGTCTAGGGGTTTGGTCCAGTCTTTCCGTGTATTGAAGGTGGGTATCGAGGTTGTTGGAGGGGTGGCGCCAGATGGAGAAGAAGAGGAGAGAGGTAAACAACCCGACCAGGATCCCCGGCAGAAACCCGCGGAGAAACGGACAGATCACGCGCATCTTGCGCACGGGCATGCCTCCCTAGTACACCACGGCCTTCTCAACCCCACAATATGTAGGTCTTGCATCACCACGGCCGCCGTATAGTGAGCGAATGGTGCCAATTAACTGCTGAGAGCCGTTTGTCGGCGCCTTTTCCTTTTGCGCACTCTTTGTGCGTATACACCACACCCCCTTTCTCGCACGTGGTGGCGGTAGTATAGTCTAGTCGTGCATGGTCTCCTTCGTGGTAGCGGGAGAGCGTGTGGCGGTGCTGGGGCTGCTAGAGACTTCGGGGGACGCGGTGAGATTCTACCCAGCCACCAGCAGCGACGCCATGATCCGCAGGAGCAGCGGTCCGCTAGCTCCGGCCGTCTCCCTCAACTCATTCGTCCTGGGTTTCCTTATCGGCTGCGTCCTGTTCTACGCCCTGCGCTGCACGGGCTCCGTGGACGATGTCTGCATCGACTGCAAGCCCCGGCGAGTCCCGCTCCCCTACCCCCCATCATCCCCTGTCTTTGAGGACTGCGACTATCGCTCGTTTCACTAACGTCTCCTTAACTAGTCCGCCGCGCTTGTCGTGGACAACATCAGAGCCAAAGACGGTCTCTTACTCCGAGGAGGAAAAGAACAGAGGTTGTCCTGAGGGACCGCTCCGACTGGTGATCCTAATTCTGTCAACCCCAAGCGGCAGTCTACGGAGGAACGCCATCCGCGGAACCTGGATGCACGACTGTCCGACAAGCCTCGTGAAGATGACTATGAAATTCATCGTTGGAACCAAAGGTTTGACTTCGGAGCAGTTGGAGGGACTTGCCTCCGAGTCAGACATGTTCCAAGACCTTCTCTACCTTCCAAACCACAAGGAGGCGTACTCCAATCTCACTGCCAAGGTCCTCAGTAGTTTAATCTGGGCCAACAGAAACCTGGACTTTGACTTCCTGATAAAGGCAGACGACGATTCTTACGTTCGTATCCCTTCTCTGCACACTGCTCTGCGAGACTTGGGATGTCCGCACAGACCTCTACTGGGGCTATTTCATTGGTCACTCGGTGCCGGAAACGTCCGGGACGCTGGGCAGAGAAGCACTGGACCATTTGCCCACACTACCTCCCCTACGCCATGGGTGGAGGGTATGTCCTGGGGAGACACGTTGTGCGCATCATCGGACGATTTCACCGACATTTTAGACTCTATAGCAACGAGGATGTTTCTCTTGGCAGCTGGCTGGCTCCGTTCACAGTGACATACCGCCATGACCTGAGATTCAACACTGAGGCCACCAGTCACGGCTGCAACAACAACTACATCATCTCCCACAAGGAGAAAGTGAGAGGAATCTACGAGAAGTACGTTCAGCTCAAGAAGAACGGAACTCTGTGTCTGGAGGAGAAGGAGATCAGACCAGCTTACATCTACAACTGGTCTGCAGTGTCTCCGATGAACTGCTGTGAGAGAATAAAGGGCCTCCACGTACCTCCATGATCAACCTCACTCACTCCTCTTTACATTTTTTTTATTTGTGTGAAATTTTTATGCTCTCTGGAAGTGTGTGCGTACACACATAGTACGCTGCTCATTCACTCTATTTAGCAACTGTTTAACTCGTTCTATTATTACAACGAGCAAGAAGTTAATATTTACTGGGCCATGTGATAAACAACAAGAGACATTAGTTTTCAGATATCCACTGGTGAGAGTGGGTTGATGTTGGTACCACTATTCCTCATAGTCAGGATTCTTGCGGAGTATAACAAAGCCCTCCAGAATGGGAGTGAGGGGGAGGTCTGTGGTGTAATCAGTCAAGGTGTACATAACTACTGTCAATCTGAGCCATGGGTACACATGAATCATGTGAGACAAGAGTGTGTGAAAAAAGAGGGAAAACAGTCCAGACTTTCCCAGGAAAAAAGAGCTGCCTTATTAAACTCATGATACTCTGTCAGTCACATAAATATGCATGTTTCTATGCCTCGTCAGCTAAAGCTTGCTCAGACTTTCACCTCTATCGACACCCCAAAGAGTGTTGTGTTTCCCCAAATCAGCCCCACAACAAGGAGGTTCTACTCTACATGGTATGACAGGATACATTCCTCAGTGGCTAGTTCGGCTCTCTCTCCATATGCCAAGAGAACCGGTGTCTTGTGGGTCTGGAACCCAGTGATGGTCTTGGGCTTCCCTGCCTGACCCACCACATCCACTGCCTACAACATTTTGGTTTTTCCAAAATTACTTGGTGTCAATCACAGATAATTATAGCAATTTGCAATTCTAAGCGAAACCAATGGACTGTGAAATAAAAACGTTATCTTGGCTTACGGATATTTTCCCCCAAAAAGGCAATTTTTACAACAGGTTTACGGCTGTGTAGTTATCTCACCTGTCCCACTCGTACTGTCACTGGCAGAGAGTTCAACTCTTCGTCAAATGTCACCAACATACGTGGCTGGATGGCGGGCGTCAAATAGAACAGCATATAGTGGGCATCTTTTAGAATGACTGGAAGTGGAGGAAAAGGTAGTGTGTGGTGGTGGGCTTGAAATAGAAATACTGGTCTCAACTGTTGTTGGCATCCAGCATGGTAACCATGACGATCAGGAGTGCTGCCACGGCGACAGGGGAGAAAAGCATGCGATCAGAATGGTAGGGGTTCAGTGTCAGTGTCCCCTTCCCCAAATGAGTCAGCCCCTGCAGTAACGACCAAGTGGTGAGGGCGCCAAATGGAAGCCAGATAAGCACATTAGCTCCACTCTAGTCCCCTCTATGGAGTATACTATATAGTAACTGGGAACCAAGCAGTAATTAGTAGTAAATGTGGTGGAAATCCTTTGCCACGTTCCCAGATGACTCTCTAGTGTCTCTGGTTAGTATTCTCTGAGTCAGTACAGCTGGGGATGGTATATATATACCTGAGCCAGTCGGACCATAAAGAGGTCGGAGGGTTCCTTGTGGTAGAACTGTGCCAAGTTCCTCAGCATCCCTGCCAGCCGAGCATTGTTTGTCCCGGAGCCTACCAGACCCATACTGAATATGGCATTCCTGATGAGTGTGTGTGTGTGTGTGTGTGGTGTGTGTGTGTGTGTGTGGCGTGGGGAATTGTAACGAAGTGCTATCAGCTGTACTTGCAAATATCTAATCACATCGTGACCCTTTTGGCGTAGACAAGACAGTGAAACAGGAGGAGAGGTAAAAGGTTTGTTTGGCAAACACAAACATCTGTCTCTTGTATCACCTCCCATATTAATGTATGTGTCGTATGTAAGGACGGGATGAGGTGGAATAGGGACAGGGAGATAAGGTTATAAACAGTGGTTGACCTGGCAACGGTGGGGTCACTGTCATGAGAGAACTTGTGGAGGGTATCCAGGATTGAGAGCTGGGGGTGAGAGGTCGAGAGGAGAGCGAGGGCCAGCGGGACTGCTCGACGGATGGCTGGCTCTCCGTAGTGGAGCTGGAGAGAGAGCGAGCGATGGGAACAGAGGTAAAGGGAGGGTGGGAAAGATGGAGACAGAAACCAGGGGTAAAGGGAGGAAGAGAGTGTGAGGAAGCAAGAGGAAGTGGCAGATGGAGCAAGTTAAAAGGAAAGGAGAAGATGAAATGGAGAGAAGGGGGGTGAGGTACGAGGTAAGTCACTAACTAACCAGTTGGCTGTATATTCGGTGAGTCATTTCAGCCCCAATGTCCTCTCCCATGGCAATGAGAGCTATGCCGAGCACAGCCAGGGCCTGATGGCAGCCTGGCTCAGCCAGTGACCCTGGCTCACCTCTCACACCTACACATCAACAATACACCACCATACAATATAGGGTCCCTCGAAAGGTTTACCATACCATCATTCTTGTCTTTGGCATCCTTTGCCTTCCCGCCAGCCTTTCCGTCTGTGTCAGCTGGTTTCCCCGCTCCCTCCCCCTCTCCTCCCTCCCTCCCTCCCTCCTCCACGTCCTCTGGTTTGAAGCTCTCTGAACAGATGTGCAGCAGTTCCTGAATCTTCAGAACACTTCCCGTCCCTGCACAGCACACACACACACACCACAGAAATATAAAACTTGCCTGATGTGTTTTTGTGTACACACAATGTAGTATACGAATGCACATGGTGCAATCGGATTGGAGAAGTGAAGGAAAAGAAGACAAGACAGATGTAGTGAATGACCAATGGCAAAGACATTTTGTGCATGTGTGTAACCTACTGAACATCAGATAAGTCAACAAACTAAAAGGTTCACTGGTACACCAACGGACCGGCGTAGGCACAGATGTCGAGGAGAGTGATGGCGAAGGTTTTGAGAGGCTCGGCCACCACATTCAGTGCCTCCCTGGCAACGCCTGCTCCCTCCTGCCGACCCAGGTACACCAGAGCAAGACCCAGCGCCAGGAACCTGTTCCACGTACTGGTGGCCACCGAACCCTCCCGGTCCTGTAGGATCTGCGGACATGATGTAATGATGACATCATTACATAGCAGTGCACTCACCAGATTTTCAATAAAGGGGTGAACAACATACTAATGAGCACAAACACAGTTTTTTGTTTTTAAATAGCTATTTAGTGTGGATGATGTAATGATGACATCACCCTGATTTCAAACTGACCTGCACCAGTGACTCTGTTAGTTCCCCGTGGCCTGTTCCCACAGCGATGAGTCCGAGGGAGAGTGCGGTGAGGCCGACGACGTCGGGTGAGAATTCGGAGTCCATCCCAGGACTCACTGCTACCAGGACATCCTCCCTGGCGGACCCAGCGTAGGCCAGTCCGAGGCCCATGGTGGCAGTAAGACGGAGGTTGACGGACTTGTGTTTGATGTAGTCTGAGAGGAGGGCGAGGGCAGGATCACACTCATTACTGACTCCACAGTTGACGATGCCGCACGCCAGCAGAGCACCCGCCTGCGGAGAAGATGGAGGAAGTATAGCGAGCAAGCGAGTTGGGGAAGTCAAACATTGCAGACACCAGCAGTGTAAGTACCTTGATTGACTCATCACTGGAGTAGAGGAATTTGTCAATCTCGGTGAGTCCTCCCTCCACATCCCACAGTAGAACAAGACCTAGGGAGGCCGTGGCACTTAGCATTCCTACGCCCTGCAGTGTGCGTGTGGAGAGAGGGGAAACTGTTTGCTGAAGAGCAACTTCCTATTTCATGCATAAATTTAACTCGGCTCATTGAATGAAAGCAGAATGTTCTCAGTCTGACCTTGTTCTTGTAGATCCACTTGTTTCCATCCTCGGTGAGCAGTTTGTCGACGCCAAACCCACAGTTGACGAAACCATTGACGAAGGAGGAGGCGAGGTTTCCCTGGGCGGAGTCAACCTGGCCGGCTGTACTGAACCCTGCACCCAGTGACACACCATTTGATACATGTATATCCACTTTACAATACAACTGAAAATGAAATTTCGTGCGTTCACTCACAAACCTTTCATGGGCATATATTAGTTGTACTACTCACGGACGTGTTCCAAGTGGGTCTTGTAGATATCCTCAGGAACCTTGGGCTCCATTATGTCCAGCTACAACGACATGCACATTACATCGTGGTGACATCATCACAACAAGGCGTACATACCTCTCTGGCGAGGGCGAGGAAGTTGTTGTTTAGGTGTATGTTGGCCATGATCTCAATGAGGTCGTCAGCGTCCTCAAACGGAGGGGTTTCCCCATCCTCCATCTCGTCTCCCCCTCCATCCTCCGTATCCACGGGAACGGTGATGTTGACAAACACCTGTTGCCGTCCCAACATGAACGCCAGCTGTTTCCGAACCAATCTACACAGACAGACAGACAGACAGACAGAGGGAGCCTTTAACAATGTTTTTTGTTTGTTGTTTGTTTACAAACTTGTTTCGATGAACAGTACACAAGTGTACAAGTTTAAGAGATTGTTCTGGAATTTTCAGAATGAAGGAGTCAAAGAAGAGAGGAACTCTAGAGTGTCGAGAGGGAGATGACCTCTGACCTGTCGGGGCAGCTGAGGAACAGCTGTTTGGTGAGAGGTGTGTCGTTCAGCATGAGAGCCAGTCGCAGGGCGTGAGGGTACTGGTCAAACTGGCGGTATATCTCCAGGGCCGTGGTGAGGAGAACTCCATCCTCTGGCTCCGGGACATACTTCACACAACTGGGGAATGAGAGCAGATCAGGGTACATTCTGAATTTGGGGAGCGAAGTGAGAGTTTAATATTTCGGGTGAGTTTTCATGTCACGTAAAAATTATGGTATGTGCAATGCCCATTACAGACAGGTATGTGAAAATCTTGCGAATAGATACAGGCTTTCCAGTGATCCAACACCTGGTGAGATAGAGACAGACTCGCTGGTAGGTGTCTTCCTTCACCAGATCCTTCACCAGAGGAACGTGGTCTATCTCCATGAGCAGGTCGACGGCCTCGGACTCTGACGAGTGGTCGAGGCAATAGACCACTATGGAGTGGACCAGGGGGAGGAGGCGAGACTCCGCCCCACTGCTGAGGCTCTGCCACTCCCCTGGGATCTGCGTGCAGATACGACTGCAGAGGGTGTGTGTGTTTGATGTTGAATGGGTATATAAATCTTACATTGGAGGTACAGGTAAACTCTCTTGGTAAAAATTTGTTGCTTTTGAGGAGTTCGAAATGACAATTTTAAAGAAAGACACTTTGCCGATAGTATATACAAAACCTAAGACTCTCTCACTGCCACACCCACAACATGGGTCATCATACGTACAGACCTGATGTAAGGATGTCCGAAGGAGCTGATCCTCTCTCCCGTGCCTGCCAGCCGACACTTGAGGCAGAGTCTCTCGCTGTCCTCCACCGTGATGGCCAGCACAGACAGGATGTCTGAGAGGAGGGCCCGCGGCAGAGCTGGTGTCTCCGGCTACACAGACACAGGGACACCGCGACACAAGACTTACTCACTCCCTGTTCTACACATGTTTGAGGCACAGTTCTACCCATTATTAGTTGGCAGCCACTATGCTATGTACTGCATATTATATATACCATTTTGTCGAAAGCTTCTTTGAGTTGCTCAAACTTGTCTCGCAGGATCTTGAGAGGCTTCGGTACAGAGGTCATGGACGACGTCGCCGTTCTGATCTCGGCTCTCAGGCAGAACAGAGCCTGGACCAGGTCGTCATGGTTACGGGGGCTCTGTACGGGCAGACTAGTTGACCTTTGACCCTTACCAAGTGGTGGTGGACACTCACAGTGACTCTCTCCACGAGAGGAGGAAGTCGGTCCTGGAGGAATTCGTCTTCCAGCTCCTAATGAGAGAGAGGGAAGAGATGAAGTGCCAGAGGGAAGGGAACTACCTCGCCAGTGAAGCGGTGAGAGAGGAGAGCCTCCTTCACGTCATCTCCGTCCTGACCCAGCTCCAGGGCCGTCTTACCCTCCTGTAGGAAAGACATCACATATTCATCGTTACAGGAATATTTGGAATTCCACAGTACCTTGTTCTCACAGTACGGGTCGGCATGGTAATGACGGAGGGTTTTGGTTAGGTGGGCGTGCTGCCGAGCAGCTGCCACGTGCAGAGGAGTGGAGCCAGCCTGGAGAAAGAGACGAGGGGTGTGGCTATGACATCATCATTACATGAGGGCTCACGTGGTTCTGTGAGTAGACGAAGGCTCCGTTCTTGAGGAGCCATTCGGCTGCGTCGTTCCTCCCTACAAATGCCAGGAGGTGGAGTAGGGTCCCTGTGGACACCAGGGCATTCTGTGAGGAGGACAGCAACAGTTGTGAATGAGGAAGGAGAATGGAGGAAGACGAGGGAGTGAGAGAGGGGGAAAATGAAGAGATGGGGGGAGGGGGAGGAATGACACCGGAAGACGAGGGAGTGAGAGAGGGGGAAAATGAAGAGATGGGGGGAGGGGGAGGAATGACACAGGAAGACGAGGGAGTGAGAGAGGGGGGAAATGAAGAGATGGGGGGAGGGGGAGGAAAGACGCAGGCAGAAGGAGAGAGTGAGAGAGGAGACAGCAGCTGCTATTACATAATCTTTCTTGTCAGTTTCTGTGGTACATCTCTCGGCGGCCAGTAGCTCCTGCACCGTCCCGTCCTCCAGGTCGCTCACCAGCGAGTTCAGCAGAGGAGAGCCCTCCATTGTCAAGTTCTGAGAACGTCAGAAATCAGAGATTTTTTGCCCAGCCGGGTTTTCCTTACCTGCAGGCTCGGTGGCTTGGAGAAGAGACGGCTGGTCAGCTCAGCTAAAGTCTGAACGTCAGCCATGGCTTTCCCTCTGCTTCAGAGCTAGCCGCTGTTACTCCACCACACACGTGAAAGTACGTACGTACGCGCAGCAAATGTAGGTGTGCACTATTTAGAATCAAACACAACCCGAGCTCCGTAAAGAGATCGCCCGACATGTAAATGAATGGCTAGTCCTACACCACACGTCCTGACGTCAGCTAGTAGCACGGAGGAGTCGGGAGAGGAGGCGAGGAGAGAGGGAGGTGGGAGAGAGAAGGAAGAACTGATAGGGAAGATACTGGAGCTCCAGAACACCCTCCACGACCTCACTCAGAGAGTCAACTCAGTGAAAGAGGAGAACTCAAAACTGAAGTCAGAGAATGAGGTGAGTAGGACAACTCTCTATGGAGGAAACTTGGCTTTTCCCCACACAACATGAAAACACCTCAAATGTCCCTTATTCAGAGGTTTTACTGTGCACCCTCCCACTACAGGTTCTGAACCAGTATATCGAGAACCTCATGGCCACCTCAGGCAGTTTCAAATCATCTGACGGGAAAAAATAAAGATCCACCTCACCAACCTAACACTGCATTCTCACACAATTTTTTATTTCATTTCCACAAGTATTTTCAAAATAATGATAGAGTGTGTCTGATAAATGAGGGGCACTTGGGGCCTGGCACACAGGCAAAGCCTAGAGCTAAAGTGACTCCTAATAGTAGTAGGGTATGAGGTCAGGTTGGCTTGTATATAGCAGGTCAAGTGTGAATGACTCGACTCAACTTCTGTACTCTGTTCAACAGCAAATCTCCCTGCTTGATGGTAGACTGGGGGAGAGAACCGGATAACATGGTGTCACGTGACTGTCACATGACTGTCACATGACCCCTCACCTGATACTGAAAGTTCTTGCTATCGGGCCTCATGGTAACCACCACACCCCCAACCTTGTCTATCTTACAGTGGAGCCTCCCGGCAGAGATGAACTGGGACAGCTCTCTGTCGATGAACTGGACTGACACCCCGAACGTTGCTGCCATGTGTGAGAGAGACAGCGAGCGATACGACTCCAGTAACTGGGTGTAGGCCTTCACTCGCATCTGGCGGATGTAGTATCGAGTATGGGCCGCCAGATATCTGTCCTTCAGAAACTCCTGCTCCAACCAAACTGAGATGAAGATGAAGAAGAGAGAGGAGAATAGTTTGGCGACGAAGTTGAGTGGCAAGCTCACTGAGTGTTCGGAAGAACTTGTCGTACTGGCAGTTGTAGAGAGACAAGACAAACTCTCTCAGCTCTGGGTAGCCATGGAGCACCTCCAGGATGTCGGCTCCCTCTATTATCTAACAACAACACGACAACGACAACCAACATGCGAAGAGATTATAGGACCGGACCCTAGCACAAAAACTCTAGTTTATATAGGTAAACATCTCATCCTTGTGCTAATTATGATTTGCTCCAACAATTGCATAATGAATAAAGGAAAACTTGTGGACTTTGAAAGTGTCCTTTATAAAATTAAAAAAGTATGCAGTGTTTGAGGTAGAACAAAGAAGGGGAGGTGTCCCTTATATGGAGGTTTCACTGCCATCATAGAGAAGAAAAAGGAGAAAGAAATGAGGAACAGTCGAACCTTGCTCTTCACGTCGCTGCGGTCCAATGCCACCAAACAGCAGAAACAGGCATATTTTACAAACGTCTGGTAGTCCATCAACTCAGTGGAGGTAAACGTTGCCATGGTATCAAAGAAACAAGTGGCAGCCCTGCCAAAGTCTCTGATGGACATGGCGTAGAGACCTTCGTAGGTCTTGAGCCGGTTCCTGCGGTCCCAGTCCCCGCCCTCCTCCACCAGCCTGCAGGGATCACGTGATGCGTCACATGACTCTCACATGAGACTCACAGCTTGGCTTTCTGAATGTTGCGAGTGATGAGGTCGTGGTCCATGTAGAACAGACCAAGTCGTATGAGGTAGAAGACCAGGTCCATTCTGTAGCCAAGACCAACGGTCTTTTCAAACGTCGCTCTGAACGCACTTTCAGCTGCTTCCTTTACCCAACACGGGTCGATGGTGGAGAGAGCAAGATAGAGGAAGATAAAGAATACAACTTACACATGTGCATGTACCAACCAAAACAGAAAAAGTAAGAGAGATAAAGATACCAACAAACAAGAAGTTGGCAGAGAAATAGATATGCCACCTATAAGCGTAAATTACCCCCTCCAAATTATATGTACCAAAAGAAAGTGAAAAAGAATTTGCCTTGTGTCCGGCTCGGCAGAGGTATTCAGCCTTGGCCTGGAGAGCCTCCTTCTGCTCCGTCTCCCCAAAGTTCTTCTCGCTGTCCTCAATGGCCTCCTCCAGAGACACCAGCTTCTTCTCGTTGGCCGACTTCAGCTGAGCCAAGAGGTCAGGGTCCACCGTCCACCCAGTCTCGGCACACACTGACTCATAGAACGGAGCCATGTCTGAGAGGGAGGAGGAGGTGTGGGTAAAGTTTGTCTTCTAAGCTTGTGTTTTAGTCCACACCGTTCTCCTTTATGGCCTCCAGAAGCTGGTCCCAGATGGCATTCTTATTGACGCCCACCGAGTCGTCTGCGGAGAGAAGAAACCGCCACTGCACGAGCTGGAGGTCCGGGTTCTTGGGCAGTCCCTCTTCGTCCACTGACTCCATTGGCATCCTCTGCACGCCAGGAGGAAACAGTCTCACCGTCTGGACCTTCTAGTCTCCCGGGAAGTGGTACTCTCCCCAATCCTATTGTAACCGCACAAGTTCGGGGCCGGGGGCGGCGTGAGAAACAGAAAAAGACCGCGTGCACGAGGTCGGCGTTACTCAGGGCTGTGGAGCCGTTAGACTGTCATGGACGAGTCCCAGCAACCTTTGCTGCAGCTTGAACCTTCTGATGCCTACCCCCCACCTACTGCTCCAGGTAACGTCTCTGTCTAAACCGCGTGTGTGTCGTTACGTAACGCCTGCGAGATGCAGGACCGGCGCTGGCGGCAGTGGAGCAGAACCCCGGGTCCTCTGGTGCTGGGGTTGGTTTTGAGCTGGTGGAGTCTACTGTACCTCCTCCCCCGGTGACTGAGGATGCCATCCCTCAACCTCAAGACACCCCTGCTCCCAAGTAAACCAGACCTTTGAAGATTTGGTGCATGTTTTAACTCCCCATTTCATATCAAACACCCCTCCTTCCTTCTTTCTCTCTTATTCTTCTTCTTTCTCTTCTCCTCTCTTAATCTTTCTTCTTTCCCCCCATCTCCTCCTCCCCTCTCTCAGTATTCCAACGATATCGGAGGAAGAGGCACGAGAAGCCCTACTAGAAACAGTCTCCGCCCACTGCTGCTACGGAAAATCAGCCGCCAGGGAGTTTATCTTCACCAACATCACCTCCTCCAGTGCATTCCATGTGAGGATCACATGATCTGTCATGTGATCATTGACTGAGTCATGTGACCTTCCTCAGTATGAGCTGGAGACGTTTGCAGAGGGACGCCAGACAGCTTGGGACCATGAGCCATACAATGGTATAATGGGGAACACCACGTACTGTATGTTTCCTTTCTCTGATCACATGTGCCAAGTTACAAATTATGACGTGGAATTTACATGTATAATTATACTTCCCCACACAAATTGGTGTATTGTAGCAACAACTTTAAAGCATTTGCCACTTTTCCGAGAATGCATACAAGCCAACAGACTCTCTTCTGACAGAAGTGCCGTCTTTTTTGCCGGGCTCACTCACACACTGTTTGCCTTGTACTGCAGATGTACTGTGCAAAGTGTGAGCCTTTATCCGAATTGCCAACAATCCACTCTCCATTTCTTTCCCAATCAAATCCTCTTTTCTCCTCACTAATTCCCAGGCCAAGCAATAGATGGACCTCAGAACGGACCAGCCCCCCAGGCTTGGAGCATCTTGGCCCAGCCTGACACCAACTTCCGAGACCACAGAAAGAACTTTGAGATTCCACACACCGCCTCTGTGAAGGCGTGTCACAAATGCTGTGGGGGCGGATACAATCAATGCCCCCAGTGTCTTGGCTCCACCAAGGTGAGACAGGAAGTGATGTCAGATGATGTCACTGAATCTAACATGCATTGCTAAACAGAGCCCACTGGTGTGTGGGCAGTGGGCAAACAAGAGTCTCATAGATTAGAAATGTGACATAGCCTTTATTGGAGGCATTTTGGCTCCCCCTCTCTCTCTCCTTTCTCCCTCGCCTTTCCTGTGCACATTGGAACCTCTGAATAAAGGACCCGCTGTAACCATGTCCAATAATGTCCAATAATGCATCACATGGTATTTTCTACATGCATGCTTTGTACAAAGATGTCCTTTAGACAAAACATGGTCAGTGTACTGTTCAATGGTTGAACTCCAGTATTAGCACCAGACAAAACACTCATACTTTATTCAGTGGTTGAACTCCAGTATTAGCACCAGACAAAACACTCATACTTTATTCAGTGGTTGAACTCCAGTATTAGCACCAGACAAAACACTCATACTTTATTCAAGGTTCCACTGTTTGACTGGTATTCCTGTCTCTCAATACTGTAGGTCCACTGTAAGTCATGTGGAGGATCTGGACGGAAGTCAGAGGTCCACCACGAGCATCATCACGATCACCATCATCACCACGATCAACATCATCACACCGTCCCCTGTCACTGTTGCCATGGCACCGGGAGAGTCACGTACGCAAACAAAGAATTACAGAGTTCTGACATCAAATTATACTTGTATTTCTGCATGTATTTGGCATCTCTGTGAGTTCTAACTCTGTTGTTGATGACATCAGGTGTGGTACGTGCCAGGGCCGCGGTCGTGTTCCCTGTGATGTCTGCCTCACTCGAGGCAAGCTGAAAGTCTATCTCAAACTGACCGTCTCCTGGAAGACACACCGAGATGAAGAGGTGGTGGAGAGAACAGACTTACCGGATGAGCTCATCAAGAACGCAAGCGGCGTGATTGCAGTACAGGACCAGCAACTGAGGGTGAGATAGAATCAGTCTCCCTGTGATGTAATGATGATGTAATGTTAGGTTTACGCGGTGACTGGTTTCCCGGACGACGACGTGAACCGAGCCTCGTCAAGATTGGTGCAGAAGCACGCATCTGCCTGGCCCAATGAGAGGATCCTCATGCAGGTGTGGGTCATGTGACATCACGTGATTAGTCACGTGACCACCTCATTTCATAGAGGCAGCAGGTGAGAGTGGTCCCGGTGGCAGAAGCGGCCTGTTCGTGGAAGTCCAAGACGTTCAGCTACTTTGTGTATGGAGAGGACCATCTGGTGTATGCTCCTGCCTACCCCCAGAAGCTCTGCTGGGGCTGCACCATCCTCTGAGACAGAGACAACAAACTTCTGCATGTTTTTCAGGCCGTATATACTTACACTGTACTTGTCTTGTAGCTTCCGTATTGTGTCACATTTTGCAATACTTCCTGTGTTGTTCGCTATTGCGCATGCGCAGGATCGTTGCGGCACGTCAGGATCGATATAGTCTGCATGCGTGCAGTGTGCGGCGACAGAAGATGGCCTTTCGGTTTTTACTGCTGTGTTTAGCCTGTGTGCACCTGGGGCTCACAGCTCCGTTCGGAGACGATGGAAGAGAAATTGTTCGCTCGAAGCGCCGGAGTCCATCTCCTGCACCACCAACACCATTCCCAGAGGTTCTAGTCGATTTCTCAGTTCGTCGTCTCGGGAAGGATTTGATGGAGATGTTCGACGTGCAAGAAGATCCGTTCTGTGACGAAGGTCTGGATGCTCCGGGCAACATTACCATTCACACGTTCTACCGCGACAGGCTCGAGGATGATGCGGATGGAGTCGGTAACTGGACCTTTCTCCAGAGGAATTCTGCACAAATAGGTGCGAAGAAACCCCTGTACACACACCGCTTTCTCTGCCGCCATAGTCTCTATACATACCTCAAGCTATGTGTATTATATATACTAGCTGCAATAGTATTGTAGCTGTTTGTCAACCTGCAGAGTTTGACAGTACACTGAACATCAGTCTAGCAGTCCCACTGAAGGGGGAGGCTGTTCAGCTGGCAGTTCTCCAGTTGGACCACGCAGGCAGCCACTGCCAACCATGGAGCATTGGCCACACTGATTTGCTCATCAAAGTTCCTAATGCTACTGTTCCTCTCAATTTCCTAGCATCTACAGTAAGGTAACAATATAATGATGTTCAGAGCAGTTGGATCGCTAATGGCCTCTCATATGCCGTATAGTTGCACACGGTCGGAAATACAAGATTCGGGTGCGACTTTCTTTGTAAGAGGGAGTGGCAGTTCGCTTCGTGGCTTCATCACCGAATGGATGACAAGCGATGAAGTACGAGATGGCGATTGCTTAGAAACTGGAGAGAGTTTGGAGAAGACTTTCTTCTTGCCCGACCTTTCACCTCCCCACATTGAGCTCTGCAGCCTAGACTCCCAACCAAATACTCCATACCTGTGAGGAGACAAGTAGTTGTTACTTCTTACTTGCATGGACACGCACACACAAGAAATCAAAACATCTTGAAAAAATTAAAGTATTCAAACATTGAAATTCACTCTCCAATTGCAAGTATCTGTGATATCTTTTGCACAGGGATCTTTCATTTCTCATTCGCTGGTCATACGCGGCAAGCTGCAATAACATTAATAATGTTGATGAAGGAATCGAGTTGTCGGTGCGCAGGAAAGGGGACCAGCTCTGGACTCCACTGGCGTTCTTTGCAAGAAACGAAAACCAACAGACTAAGTATGGCATTGACTTGGACTACGACACAGACAGTGACACTGTCCACATCAGAGGGTTCAGTGTCCCTGTCACAATCAATGATACAGACGTACAGCACAACATGACGTTCAGGATATGCAGCGAGGCTGTTCTCGGCAGCAGAGGGGTTCAGTTCCGCTGGCTCCAGACGGCCCAGCACTTCAACGATGGGTTCAGAGACACGTGGTCTCTGGATGACGTTTCAGTCTCAGTGACACATGATTCTAGCTGTTCTGAGGTCGTCTTCTTTGATGACTTTGAAAATGAGGGAGATAGTTTCACTGTCTGTATCTTTGCTAGCTCGGTGCAATGGACAGCCAGTAGGCGGGCGAGGATCAACGAAGACAGTGATATTTGCAACGACGGCAGGAATGGCTCTGCTGCCTGGTTTGGGGACTATCCTCTCGTCTCCCCGGAGACCAGAATGATTGCCACCCGACTCATCCGCTTAGAGCGAGACGTCGTCTGTCGTAAGTTATTCTCTGAGACCTCGAGTATGTTGGTTACTCTCTTGTCTACTTCTTCCTCTCAATGGTGACCTCTGCCAGCCCTAATGGTGAGTCCTTTGCCACAATCACCCCAGCTATTTATGTCACTGGACGAAGAACTGATGGCCATTTTCCTCCTGGTGAGTCGAGTTTACTGTTTCTATAATCACTCCACCTTACTTTCTCTACACACACACACACACACACACACACACACACACACACACTGTTTCAGCTGTACAGTGATGTGGAGGTGGGGATGAGTCAGTTGGAGGACTATTTGGACGCAGAAGCTGCAGAAACTGTCAACGAAACACAAGTGGTGTACCTCACAACTGTCATCCTCGACATATTTGGTGAGGCTCCGGTCTCCAGGAACCTCAGCCAGGTTTGTGGGGAAATTGTATTGTGTATATAGTACTATAGTGGAAGATGATACATTTACACAAGGGTAGAGAAACACTGTGGATTCTTCTGTTTACTGCATTGTGCTTCAGTAATGAAATTCCCCTCTAATTGAATTTATGTCAGCTTAGCCGGGTGAGCTACCCTTTCTACCTTCTCCTCTCTCTCACTCAGTCATTTGTGAATATTGCCGGCCAGCTGATCAGTGCCGTCAGCTCAAGACCAGAGCCACAAGAGAGGTAACTGAGGACAGACCCTTACAATATGGAACCTCTTTAAAGGCACCCCAAAGAGTCCTCGCATTCTTTTTTAACCTCTAGCTGCACCCCTCACTAATGTGGACTGTTCCATTGGTGTCCAGATTAGAGGGGTTCCCTCTCATTTCCCCCTCCAGCCACCCAGTTCCTCTGACGGCAGTCAGTTACTGGAGAACTTGGACCAGTTTGCCCTCAACAACCACCAACCCTCGTCCGGCAACATCACCTCTGACACACTGAGTATGTGTCACATGACTGGCCACATGACTGGTCACATGATCTGTTGTTTGTCACCGCAGGCCTGACAGTGAGGAGTGGGGAGGGAGAGGAGGGAGATGTGGGTGTCATAGACAATGGCCCATTCTCTCTGAGTCTCCCCAGCCAAGTCTTCAATGGTCCCAATTCTGAAACCACAGGTCTGGAATCTTTTTGACAACCCACTCGTTTCGCTAACCTCTGACCTTTACCCCGCAGTATACGCCAGCTCTTTTCTCTTTGCAAACATGTCTGGTCTCCTTGACAACTCGTTGCCTAGTAACCAGGACAACGACTATGTTCTGCTGGGGCCAGTCCTGTCCTCGTTTGTTCACACCAATGGCAGACTACTCGAGAGGAGATCCCTGAAATCTCCTGTTAAAATTACATTTCCCTTCAGTACAGGCGATGCTCCAATTTGTGTTTTCTGGAACTTCACACTGTAAGCAGCTGTTGGTACAGCATAACAGGCTAATAGTACATGGTTTACTAGTTTTACCTTCTTTTCCTGCCAGCTCTGATAAAATAAAGTAATGTTTATTGACAGTAGTTGAAACCACTAAGTGCAGAATTAAAGTTGGGCTGGACTGCCTTACTTGGCCTGAAGGCTTGGGAAGTACACTCTAGGCTGTATGAGTCACAGCACATTCCATTAAGGGAGCTGTGTTGCCTGGCAACCTCTTTGTCCAGTGTCAACAGATGTGTAAACATCCTTAATAGAGTTTAATAGAGTGGTGACGCTCTTCCTTTTGCTGTCTTTTCACATTTCTCCCTCTCTCTAACAGGACTGCCTGGGATACAAGAGGCTGCGAGAGCGAACTAAACGACGAAACAATCACTTGTTTCTGCAATCACCTCACCCACTTTGCAGTTCTTCTCAGTCCAGGGGATGCCACGGTATGTTGGTATGACAGAGCAGAGAATGGGAATGATACATCTCTCTCTCTCTTTGATCAGAGCGACGAGGGAGTGAGGCTATCGCTACAAGTCATTGGTATAGTGGGAGTGACTGTGTCTGTCATTTTTCTGCTCATCACCATCTTTACTTTCATCGCCTTCAGGTTTGCACTATTATTACTGCAGAACCTCATAGAGTGTGTCTCTCTATGGAGGACACCTGTGTCAATCTGGTCCTGTGGTTACTTTATTCCAACCCCAGAATAAAGTCTATTTGTTTTCACAAGTCATTGTGTGTCTAGTGATGTTAGCTTTCGACAAATGTCTCTCTCTCCCTCCCTCCCTCCCTCCCTCCCTAGGTCTCTGTGGAGTCTGAGGAACTATATTCACATTCAGCTGTGTGTGTGCCTTGTCATTGCTCAACTGGTGTTTGTGATTGGAGTAGAACCCCGGGGTAATGAGGTAAGTTACTCCAAACATGGAGTGCATACACCATGCATACGGTACCATGGTGGCAGGAACCTTTGACAGCTTTCTGCTTATTTTGGGAGCAAGTGACTGTGCTTTACCGCCATATAAACCCTATTTGTTGTTCTGATAAAGATTCTGCAAACTCCATACTTCTGTTGTTGTTTACTAACTTGTAATGTTTACATTTTGATACTAATGATGGTTGCATGTGTGTACAAAGTTTTATCATTCTGGGTATTTGCTGTGCACTGTCCTCTGTATGTCAGGATGCCTGTTCAGCGGTGGCAATCCTACTCCACTATTTCTGGCTGGTGTGCTTCATGTGGATGCTAATGGAGGGAGCCGTCCTCTACGTGGCTCTGGTCAAGGTCTTTGATACTCAACATTTGAAATATGTAATCGCCTTCACAGTCATCAGCTACGGTAAGTGAATATCCTGAACCGTGCCCTTCCAGAGTTTAATATAGCACAACTCCATATAATTTTCACCCATAACTCCTGAAAGAATGTGACAGCCTTTTGACCTGTTTTTTCTTGACCCCTCCCTCCCTACTAGGTGGCCCACTGGTCTACATGTTGGTGTGCATTCCTCTCGGTCTTGCCCTGACTGGTAGTGATGGCAACGATCACTATGGTTACAGCGAGGCCTGCTGGTTGAGATACGACACTGGCTTCATCTGGGCCTTCACCGCCCCTGTCCTCCTCATCATTACGGTCTCTCTCTCTCCACACATGAATCTGACCGTGGCTAATGTGTTACTCTTCCTCCTTCATCAGATCAATGTGTTTTTCTTCATCATGGCAATGGTGGTGATATGTCGACACCGCAGATCCCAGGCTCACCTCTCTCGTCGCCGGCAGACCATGTAATGTCTCTTTCCTATGACAACTCATTAATGTAGCAAACAGACCAACAACAAGATTTATAGGCTACTATTAAATAGAGTATCAAGTTTAGAAGCAACTTATCAGGTTTCCAGTATATATCATGCCAATCCGTTGAGCATTAACATAGCATTCTGCTCAAACCACATCAATCTCCCTCCCCCCTCAGTAACTGGATGAAGGCCTCGATATCTCTGGTCATTGTGATGGGAATAACATGGATCATGGGTGTGCTGGTTTTTACTGACGACCTGCTACCTGTCGCCTACATCTTCACCATCTTTGTTGCCTTCCAGGTATACAACTTGACGTATTCTCTCTATTACTACATTCTACAACTTGCCTTGCTCGATCTTGCTTACATCCCCTCTTCCTCCATTCTTTCAGGGTCTCATCATCTTCATTGTGCTGGTGATCTTCTCAAAGCAAGTCAGTATTGTGTCGGAATGTCGTGATGTAATTGTTGATTACGTCATTATGATGTAATGTAGGTCCGTCAGACGTATACCAAGTGGTGGAAGGTGTCGGTGGTGAATTCTGAGCTTCTTAGCAAGTACTTCAGTGACTGGTCCTGGACCACCAAGACCTCCATGGTAAGGAGAAAGAAAGGAGGGAGTGAAGTGAAAGTGTAAATATAGCGGTTTACCAAACTTTCACTCGAAAGTTTCACTTGTGCAGTCGGCAGGCGTGTGTGGTACTCAAATTCACATCTTTTTGTCGTTATTTTTGACTATTATTTGCTCCAGCATTCCAATGGAACTGTCTCTCCAACAATGAACAAGGAGGGAAGTAAGTACTATAAGAGCGCCCTGTCCAATGTTTACATGAGTCTGGTATAATGACATGTAGCTGTGCCTGTGGTGACAGGTGCCATGGGTCTGTCCCACAGAGGTGACACCTTCCTCCTCCACTCCAGCAAGGCTTCAGTTAGCTCCCCCCCATCTTCCTCTATCCACCCTCTTGCGGAGGAATCTTCATTCATTGACCCCCAGCCCGAAAATGGGACAGCCCCTGGCAATTAGACCAGCTCTCCCCTCCAGAGCTATGATTTCATCAGAACAAACTGTGTTTGTGTGTGTTTCGGCTGTTCTCTATTCACGACAGAGCCTTTACTCAGGCAAAGCTGCGTTCTATTATAATCTGATGTCTTCTCTGTGCGAACTGCTGAAAACTATCCATAAGATGTTATGAATGACTAAATCCACGAAGCTATATCCGTGACAGCACTTACACACTAACGTACAGATCATTAATGAGACTACATTTTAATACACTATTATATTATACACATTAAGAGGATAAACAATATTGAGTCTGAGTGAAGGTGTGAGCTGTGGCTATAGACGAAGCAGTCGTGCGGCAGAGTCTACGATGTTGCTGGCCTGAGGAATGGCGAGCTGCTCCAGATTGTGGGCATAAGGCATGGGGACATCTGCTCCAGTCACCCTCAATAGAGGTCCGTCCAGGTAGTCAAATGCCTCGCCTGGTGCGGGGACACACGGGGTTAATGTCAGGAAGTGACAGGGTTAATTCCGTGTGTTCAAAAGTGAGAAAGATTTAGGCCCCCTATACTTTCAATATGACGTATGAAAAACCAGGTAACGAGTAAGGAAGGCAAAGGCAAAGCAAACAAGTCTTTCACATGCTTCCCTAAAATGTTGTAATCATAGATGAGAATTGAGTTGCAAGAGAATGAAAAGACGGTAGCTTACTCTCCATGATGCATGCGGCGACCTCAGAGCCAACTCCACACTGAGGCCAGCCTGCCTCCACACTCATGACGTAATGAGTCTTCTTCACACTCTCCAGAATGGTGTGGCGGTCCAGGGGCCGCAGGGATCGGAGGTTGATGACCTCACAGCTGACCCCACGACCTTCCAACTCTGTCGCCGCCTCCAGAGCCACACCCACCATACGAGAGAAGGTGACGATTGTGAGGTGATCACCTGGACATTGAGAGAGGGGGGGACCCCTGTAATCACTGACACTGGGTGGAAACATGGGAGTTGATTGCCAATGCCTAATACTATTTCTGGCGAGCAAATGTGACTGTAAAATTTTATGGAGAGTATAATGAGGTCGACGTACAAACAGCATTTCAGATGACTAGGTATATAGGCTTGCTTTACCTGCCAATTGCTAATGCTGAGTTATGATTCACATCAGATAAAAAGTAATTCACCAGCTCTCTCAATCTTGGCCTGTCCAATGGGGAGGACAAAGTCGGGGGACATGGCCTCGGGAGACATGGGGAACTTGGCACCGTACATTATCTCATTCTCCAGGAACACCACAGGGTTTGGGTCTCTCACTGCCGCCTTCAGCAGTCCTGAACACACACACACACAAGCTTTAAGCAAGAGGTGGGTGTGGTCAAACTCTGACCTTTGGCGTCTTCGCTGGAGTAAGGTGCGAGGACCTTGAGTCCAGGGCAGTGGCTGTACCAGGAGCTGTAGTCCTGAGAGTGCTGGGCTGCCACTCCGGCCGATGCTCCATTGGGACCTCTGAACACTATGGGGACTGGCACCTGGGGAGGGGGGAAGAAAGGGGGGTGAGGGAAGGAGTCTCAACATCTGACTCACCTCTCCTGCTGACATGTAGTAAGTCTTGGCAGCAGAGTTGATGATCTGGAGTAGAGAAAATGGTACCACACAATATTTGTTTCCTTGTTCATTCTCTCTCTGGTTTACCTGGTCGATGGCTTGCATGGCAAAGTTGAACGTCATAAACTCACAGATTGGCCTCAGTCCTGACTAGAGGGAGAGAGAGAGTTATAGAGATCATTTTCCAACCTTCTCCCGCCAGTGCTCACCATGGCAGCTCCCACCGCTACTCCAGCGATGCCCATCTCTGTGATTGGTGTGTCAACGACTCGCTTGTCACCCCACTTCTTCCAGAGACCCCTCGTTATCTATGGAAACAAGACCACACCCACCATAACAAGCCAGTTCTTTCGTTCTCAGCAGCACAACTTACTTAAGCTCTTAAGAAGTACAGGCACACTAGTTTTTGCTTGTGTAACTGTCAAAATATTGGAGGTTCACCTTGTAAGCTCCGTCATATTCGGCCACCTCCTCCCCAATGAGAAAGACCCTGTCATCATTGGCCAGTTCCTCGTCCATAGCAGTGTTGAGTGCATCTCTCACCTCCATGATGACCACTCCCTCTTCCTGACCTGCCACCTGCCTCACCGCAGTACCTGTTACTAGGCATCGCTGGAGAGGAGCTAACGGTCCACGCGTGAGTAGCAGCGAGACGAACGATAAACTCACTCGTTGAAATCTGACAGACGTTCCGCTGGCCCTAGCGAGCCTTCTGAGAGCGCACAAAGCCATTCCTCATCTGGACGTAGAGAGAGCAAGTCTGCTGTCCTGGTCCTCCTTCTTGCACCCAAATTCCAGGGTCTCCCCTGACGACGAGGAAATGGGGGCGTGTACATGCGTGTGGGCGTGGCTGTGCAAGTTAACCTCTGCGATCGGAGTCGAGATCGTGCACTAGAGCGAGTCGACTAGAGCGAGTCGAGAGTAGCAGCATGCCTCCGAGGAAGCGCAAGCAAGCGGCTCGACAGGAGACGGAACCCGATCCGCCTGCCGCGGCGTCAGCTCTGGACCCAGCCAAAATGACGGTCGCCGCGCTCCGCGAAGAGCTGGACACGAGAGGACTGGACACTCGCGGGAAGAAGGCCGAGCTGGTGGCTCGTCTGCAAGCAGAGCTGGCTGGCTCAGGCTCCACCCAGGGACCCTCGCCCACCAAGAAATCCAGAAAGTCTAAAGCCAAACCGAAAGAAGAGCCGGTGGAGGAGGTGAGACTTACCGTGGAGAGAAGGCGTGGTCGTTGAAACTCTCTCTCCTCAGCCTATGGAGGAGACAAAGGAAGATGATGAGACTGACTTTAGCAAAGCCAAGAAGGCTCTGCAAATGGCGGATGCTGGAGCTGGGTCGAAGAAGAAGTCGATTAGAGCGGCTAATGTTGACTCCCATGTTCCTGCCAGCTCTACCTACACGGTACTCTTTAGTAGAAACTTTCAATGGAGGAGGAAAAACTTTACGCAAATTTAAAGCTTCTTGAAAGAACAATCAGGACTTATAGTTTCGAAGAAATGTTCAGTGTAGTAGTGAATGTATGTATGTGTGTGTGTGTGTGTGCAGGTGGTTGGAGATTTCGACTGCATGCTGAACCAGACGAACATTGGACACAACAACAACAAGTTCTACGTGATTCAGCTGCTGGAGACCGGGTCCTCGCGCTACTCTGTCTGGACGCGCTGGGGCAGGGTGGGGGAGAGTGGACAAAATGCCATGAAGTCCTTCAGCAGCCTTGACGCTGCAGAGAAAGAGTTCTGCAAGAAATTTAAAGACAAGACAAAGAACAATTGGGAGGAGAGGGATAACTTTGTGGCCGTGAAGGGGAAGTACACTCTACTGGAGATGGATGACGAGGAGGGAGGAGAGGAGGTGAGGGTGTGAGGATGTGAGGGGAGAGATGAGAGAGTCTGGTTCTGCAGGAGATAGTGGGGAAGCTGCAGGCACTGGATCAGGAAGGGGTGGATCTCGGAATGAAGCCATGCTCGCTGGACCCACCCACGCAGAACCTCATCAAACTCATCTTTGACCAGGACATGTTCAACAGTGCCATGCAGAGCATGGAGATCGGTATGTCATAGAGAATGTCATTAAATTCAGCTTGTATTATACTACATACCACTACTTCAATAAGTCCCCGTTCTACTGTATTCAGATACCAAGAAGATGCCACTGGGCAAGTTGGGTAAGGCCCAGATTGCCAAGGGGTTCGAGGCGCTGGAGGCCATAGAGGATGCTCTGTCTTCAGGAGCATCTCGCTCCAGGCTGGCTGATCTCTCCTCCGCCTTCTACACCATCATCCCTCACAGCTTCGGGAGGAATGTCCCTCCTGTCATTGACAACGCTGAGATGCTGCAAAAGAAATTTGACATGTTACTGGTGAGAATGAAAAGCACTAAAGTGCAAACCCTCGGCACACTATATAGAAATGTGGAACCCATACACAAGTGTGGCTGGCACCACCACAATTGATGGTCTTGACCATGCATCCATGTTTGTTATGCAGCATTTCCATGAAAAATGGCTGGCTCTATTTCTGTTTGAGGGTAAAAAATATATTATGTTGAAAAATTGCCAACCTTTTATCTCTCTATTAATTTTCATATTACCCGTGGATTGTTTAGTGCAAAAAAAAATTTACCCAAGGTTGGAAAGAAAAAAAAAATAACGGCCAGCCCTTCATCTCTCCAGACAGACGTCTACGGACGCAGTGCTATGCCGAACTGTACGCTGCCCTTTGAGAACCGTGGGTCAGTGGTAGATTTGTGGGTAAGGGGAGGAACCAGAGCTGTTCCCAGCCAATGCTCTGGACCACCTGACACTTTAGTGCGGATAGAGGATTCGAACCCTGCACCTATGGTGTCAGTCCCCACGACTCTAACCACCTAGCCACTCGGGCTGGCCTGGAGAGGTGATGAAAAAACGTTCCATATATACCAACACTCCTATTACATCATTGTAAAAAAGGCGTACACACCCGGGATTCGAACCAGGGACCTCACGATCAAGAGAGGGGGTGCTTATCCATCAGACCACCACCATTACTTGAATGGGAATAGCGTAAATGAAAAGCACTAAAGTGCAAACCCTCGGCGAACTGCGCATGCGCTGTACCTCTAATTGATGGGCTGGGCCTATTAGTCTGCGTTTACGCGTGATGTCCCGCCCGCTAGCTCTAGTAACTCGCGGAGAGTCTGACGACACGGGCTAGCTACAGTAGTAGATAGCATGCGGGAGTCGATACACGCCCTTCGTTGCGACTTGTTGTGCCTCCGAGGTACACAGATAAAGCGGATCTGGTGACTCTGGTCGAGTGCTAATTAGCATATTGGCTTGTTCACTTGGTTTTCACGCCATAACTTCTGAACGCGGCACTTTTACGAAAATCGCCTTTTTTTAAATCAAGCCAGTGTAGCGCTGAATCCGTTGGTGTCACTATTTCAACTGTTTGTTGGCAGAAAAACGTGGTAACAGCTACAGACGGACCGACAGACAGACGACAAACCAACCCTCGCTGCGCATGCGCGCCGAGGGTTAATGAGAGATATCGGTAATAACGTTTTTCATACACTTACAATGTAGTTCCATACTACTACCGTCGACATAATTTCCAAGTCACACTTTTTGTTGTTCTGTCCTCATTTCTTCCGTCTGTGCAGGTGTTGGGTGACATTGAACTGGCTCAAGGACTGGAGAGAGAGCGGGAGAAGAAACAACAGGTCTACAGCCTTTCCCTCTCTTTTCCCTCGTGCGCGATGTAATAATGACATCACTGCAGGTGGCAGGGGAAATCCCCCACCCGCTGGACATCAACTACGAGAGTCTGAAGGCCAAGTTGAGCCACATCAAGAAAGAGGAGGACGAGTATCAAGTAGTCCACAAGTACATCAAGGCCACTGCTACCTGGAGAAAAGTGGAGCTCCTGGACGTGTTCAGAGTCGACCGAGAGGGAGAGGTAGGGGTTTTCCCTGGTGACGTAATGATGATGTAATTGACTGTCCAGGGAGAGAGGTTCAGTGCCCACAAGGAGCTGGACAACAGGAAGTTGCTGTGGCATGGAACCAATGTGGCTGTGGTGGCAGCCATTTTGAAGTCAGGTCTGAGGATAATGCCTCACTCTGGGGGCCGCGTGGGGAGGGGAATATACTTCGCCTCAGAGTGCAGCAAATCTGCTGCATACGGTGAGGAGAGAGAGAGGGAAGGGAGGAGGAGAGATATGATGTGTTTGTGCAGTTAGACGTGCTGGCAACATTGGGATCATGTTCCTGAATGAAGTGGCTCTCGGAAAAGAGAAACACATCACGACAGATGATTCCAGTCTGGTCAAGGCTCCACCTGGATTCGACTGCATCGTTGCCCGTGGCAGAACTGAACCTGGTACGTACATACCATGCAGATTTCTGCTCGAAATTGTGCTGAAAAAGTGTAAGAATTCGTGGCCTTCTTTAGAGAGTTCGCTCAAAACGTTTTAGGTGCGGTACAACGCGATTTTGGAGAGAAATCACTTTGAATGTATACGGATTGTGTCCAGATCCATCCAAAGACAGCTGTCTGGAGTTTGAGGAAAGAAAGGTGGTGGTTCCGCAGGGGGAGCCGGTCCCCCAGCCCAAGTTCTCTCAGAGCAGTTTCTCACAGAGCGAATACCTGGTGTACCGCGAGAGCCAGAACTGCATCCGGTACCTTCTCAAGATGAAGATGTATTGACCATTAGGCCCTCTTTAGAACCTAGCCATATTGCACACATAGGCTGCAGTTATTTTTAGGTGGCATATTATAATATTGCATGATATTCCCTCTCATATAACATTCCACTATTAGTGATGATGCAATAGTTTGCATGCCTTTCACATGCGCAGCGCCACAGTTAGGCCATGTGCCAGCAAACTCCCCACACACATCAATACATGACATTTATAGTCCCACTGTCTGGTCTTTCAGCATTGCGCTATCCAAAACTTTCGCAGTGAATCCTTCAAAACTGCTGAATCATGCAGTGTACGTTGGATAATAGAGCAAGGAATGGTTTTCGATGATAATATGATACAGATGGTTTTCAAACCACAACTGACAATGACAAAACCACTGCATATGGTACATCAATAAATATCAGCTAAAGAGGGGGAAGGGGTGTGGTCTATTGTCCTCCCTGCTGTTTGGTCTGCAGCTTCCTCTTGAGGCTCTCTGGCATCTCGGGCGGAGATGGGCGGGGCAGACGGAACAGCACCTTCACTGTGTCATAGATGAACCACTGGAGAGCAGTCAGTGTCCCGATCATCAGGATACGGGGCCCCAGACCCTTCCACAGCCCTGCAGGGTGTCACATGTACACACATTGTGATGCCACTGGTTAGGAAAAGCTGCACAGTGCAACCTCTGAAAAATGATCCTCCGAATAAATGACACTTGGTATTGTCTCTATACTATGATACCTCTGAATAAAGGACACATGCAATGTCCCTATGAGGTGCCCCTAATTCAGAGCTTTCGCTGTGTACTATATACCTTTCATGCCAAGGTCCCTTGCAGCCTGCACTGCAGTGCTCCCAGCCTCCGAGTTGAGTTTACTGACAACGGTGTCGGCTGGGTGGCTGACGAGGGCACAGAACACTCCCGGCAATGTAGCCTCCTGCGAAGGTGACAACCAGTTGAGCCTGTTTGCTCATCTGGTCTCGCGGGACTGGGACCACGTGCTTGTAGAGGAACTCCACTGTTCTTTCGAAAGCTGCAAACTTCATCATGGTGTAAGGGATCTGGCGCAGCCACAGTGGAGGCAGGCCCTTGTAGAACCTGAGACGACAGCGGAGAGTGAGACGGGTGAGACGAGAGAGAGAGAGACCTACCCTCCCAGGCCTTCTTCTTTGTAGAGTTTTGGAGCGCACTCCCGGAGGGTGTGGCCCCAGCCGATGCCTGTCTGGACTCTGACCTTTACAGCCTCCATGGGAGAGAGAGCAATGTCGGCAAAGAACTCGGCACTAGCACTGGCAGCCAGGTAGAGCATGGTACGATACGTGTACGTCTTTTCCTGTGCATAGAGAGAGGGTATAAATGAGGGTTGGTGAAGAGATGTGGGTATACCTCTCCCAACATGTTGGCGTAGAATATTTTGAAGACTTCGTAGAAGCCGAACTTGAAGAGGCCTTGCATGGAATAGCCAAAAAGAGTGGGGGCCCACCCTCTGGCGAGAGCTCGTACTCCGTCCTCAGAGGCCGTGAGGCGCAGGGCCTGGAACATGTTGCGGTACTTGGCCGGGTCCACCTGAATAGACGAGTGTATGTTGACACATAGGGCATCATTCACTGGCTCACACTGCTCCTTGTACAGTGGCGTGTTAGACACACAGACTGAGGTCAATGGACCTCTTGTGTGTGTCTCACACCAGCCATTTACCAGCTCTGTGGGCTAGAGGCTCACCTGGATCCTGCATTTCACCAGATCCAGAGGTACCAGTGCCGTGTGCGTGAGTCCGCAGCTCAAGATTCCTCCAAACCCGCAGATGGCGTAGTACTTGGCCGAGCCAAACTCGCAGCTATTCTGGTCGCCTGGGGAAGGGAGGGGAGGTGAATGAGACGAGAAATGAGAGGGCGGAGCCTCACTTCCAGAGCCGCTGGCGCAGGCGATTTCGCCTCTCCTGCTTCCCTGGGAAGACCGGATTGTTGAAGACGTTCTTCTTGCTCGTTTCCCACAAGCTGGTCATGGCGTTCTAGCTTCCAATTGACTCCTAACAGGCAACTCCTTTCTTTCTCGTGTCGCTGTCTCGTTTGATCGGGGAAACGGACGTGTCGCGGTTATAATGAACGACCGCTTCCAGGGAAACGGGACTGCGCATGCGCACTAGCGGCGCGGCGGGGAAATGGCGGACGTTGCAGAGTCAGTGCAAAGTGGAGTGAAGAGGCTGTGCAAGAGTCTGCTGGACCAGGCCTTCAGATCTGCTTATGAGGGCGACTTTTTGCTGACTAGTCTCCAGCCTCCTAGCAAAAATACGCCCTGGGACGAGTGGAAAAGAGAAAACATTCTTCGGATACTTTCTCAAGTGACGTATGACCTCCTGTTACTACGAAAATGGGCGTGGTTTGGTAGTTGGAGCCACACCCCTCTCTCCCCACTGTGCTGGTGTCGGGCGTACAGCTATGGCTACCACACACGTGGAAAAGAGAGGGAGGGAGAGAGGCTCAGCTGTGCACTGGACACATTCATTAGCAACAGTGAGTCTGTCTTCTTCCCCCTTGCCCACCTCACTCATTCCCCCTTTCTCTTGGCGCAGGCTGCAGAGTCCTAGTGGAGAGAGATGCAATTCTCACATTCCTGGTCTCTGCTGGCTGGAGACATAAACCAACTGCCAGTCCAGGTTTGGTGCATGGCTCATTTGAATTGAGCATTTTGATTGGTCAATAAAAAACCAAAGCGTTTCTAGCACACCATTAGATAAAACATTTAGGGAGCACATTTTCTCTATTGATATTGTAGGAAACAATCTTGTCCCTCTATCTCTGTATGAACCTTGCTCTCCTCTGCAGATGGATTCCTCAGTTGATAGTGGAATCCTCTGCCCGGACCTCTGTTCAAGGTCAGCCTCTGTCTGCTCTTTCTCTTCATCTCCTCCTCCTTGTGCCCTCAGCTCTATGTTTGAAGATGCCCCTGGCTCCTCATCACAGCTCTCGTCCATCAGTAATGCTATAGACCACAGCTCAACAGTGGGTTAATTACACTCGCCCCTGCCATTAGTACCACCTCTCCATTTCCAGCTCTTCTCGTCTCTACCAGGTTCTGGATTCAGAGGCTTCCTCTCATCCCAGGTATATGTAGGTACATACAGTATACTGGATGAATGAAAAGTTGAAAGCTTTTTTGCCATATGATGCTCAATATGCAGAATTGCTAAAGTTGGACCGAAAGTGTATTGCCTGTACAATTCTTTCAGTTACACCTTTCTTAGCTGAATTCACTTGTTTTTGACGTTGTCCTCAGTATGTTGTGTTTGTGTTGCCATGGTGCAGAGTCTAAGAGAAGACAGACGCCAGGTCTCAGCTCCTTGTTTGACGGTCTGACTCACTCCACCACTGGGTCACCGAATTCCCTCCTCTCCCTCCCCAATCTCCCCTCACACCCCTCCCTCCTCTCACTCCTCACTCTTCCTCTTCACAGCTCACCACCCACTGTGAGCAGTACATACACTGTACAAGCACATACAGGACTTGTACTTATGACTATATAATGGTGTTTCCTTTATAGACTAATGTGAAGGCCTCGCCTCCTCCCTCGCCTCCTTGCTCCCCCTCTTCCTCCTCACTGTGGAGTCAACTGTCTACTGACAGTGGGTCCTCACGTTCCTGGGAAGGCTGGCATCATAGGTACACATCACTGCCAGCTACTCTAAATAATGCCCCCTCCTCCAGCAGTCGTCCATTCCTGACTGAGGCTGGAGAAGAAGCAGTCAAACATTCTCTCTTCCTCTCTGCGACCCACCTCCCTGTTTCTGTCGGAGAGCCACGCCCACCCGACACACCCGAGGCTCCGCCCAGTGGGCGGGGCCAGGAGAGAGGGAGTGTGGCGCAGGCATTTGAGTCAGCAGTGACTAGACTACAGCAGTACTGGCAGACTGTTACCGACACTTACCACAGTCAGTAAAATTAACATGTTCATGTGTCCTCTCTAGTAGGTGACATTTATTGTACAGGTGTGCCACCAATGGCAAGACATGTCGGACTCCATGACTTACAGCCTCTGCTGAGGTAGAGTGGGACACTTTAGAGAACTTTAGTGAATGCCTGCTGTTATCTTGTCTCTCTCTCTCCACAGTTTGCTGTCTTCAGTGCAGAGTGCCCCCATGTCTGTGAGTTATTGTAAGGAAGTTACTGTGACACTCTCTCTCCTGTCTTGCTGTCAGGGACTGGAGATAGTGGACAGGCTGTACAATCAGTGTTGTGGGGTCCAGGGAACTCCTCACTACCCTCTTCTCCTCTCTCTCTTCTCCCTCTCACTCACCCCATACACACAGTTAGCAGACCCCCTGCTCCATGTCAAATCCTCTGACTCATGTCTGTCTGGTCTCCAGTTTCCTCTCACAGTGGCTCTTCCGTGGCTGGCTCGATGAGAAGGAGGAGTTTGGTATCCATAGCAACCACCGTGCACTACAGTGCAGAGGTGAAGCACTAGTTCTTATAAACGGTCGTAGTAACCCTCCCACATTACCTCCATAGATCATCACTACTGGACTGAAGGGTACTCTGTCACCGAGGCATGTAGCCCGACCTTTCTCTCCAGACACAATGACACTGTTCTGGCCTGTGGGAAGGCTCTCAATCTCCTTCGACTTGTCCATCCACAGGTCAGCTCTCATTGGCCCCTCTCTCTCCTCTCCATGATCCTGTAGTTCCTGCCTGCCACTCCACCCACAAGGGGAAGGAATGTCTCATGAGTTTTGTTAAATGCTTATCGTATCCATTGCAGCATCCCGTCTGTAGTCAAGAGGTTAAATGTCCACCAGTTGCCGTGGCAACCTCCTTGGAGATGCTAGAAGAGTTAACTCGGCAGTGCCAGGTGAGGGAATGATGATGTTGTTCATTGATTGCATACAATCTTATGCAGGCCTATCTCGATGGCGTTGTTGAGAAAGTGAATGAAGACAAGAGAAGACGTCTTCTAAAGGTGGGCCGACCGACATCAATGACACTCGTCATGTTGAGGTTGCCCCTGTCATTATAGGCTGAAGCCGAGGAGCGGGAAGCCGTGGAAGTGGTTCTGGAGGCCCGGAGACGAGCGAGGGAAGCCATAGTGGCAGCGAGGGAGGTGGAAGAGGGGCTGGAGAGACAGAGACTGAGAGAGAGACGGGAACAACTCCTGGAGCTCAAGACCAGAGCCACCGAGGCCAGACTGGTGAGAGACCACGCCCCCTGCCACACCCACTAATTAGTGTGTCTTAGTTGAGGATGGAGCGAGAGAAAGAGGAGAAGGAGAGAGACCGAGAAATGGTGGCAGTTCTGGTCGGCAGAGACGAAGCTCTCACTGCTCACGAGAAGAAGCTAGCAGAGGAAGCCAGGCAAGTGACAGTGATGTAATTTTGATAAAATAATGACATTGTCTTCAGGGCGGAGTTGGTCGCTCACTACGAGGCCCTAGAGAGAAAGGCAGAGAAGAGGAAGTGGCGGGCGGAGTGGAGGGAGGCAAGATGGAGGCTTGCTGGCAGGAGACGTGAGTGGATGGAGAGAGAGCACTGGGAGACTGGGGGAGAGGAGGAGAGGGGAGAGGGTGATGTATTGATGGCTGAGAAAGAGACCTTTAGTGATGAGGTGGTGATGAAGGAAGTGGCGATGGTGAACACAGAGTGTAAAGTGGCAGAAGAAAGACATGATGCAGCTTCCAGTTCACCACTGACATTTGTCCCAGCAGAGAACTTGTCTTCTGATGGAGTGGTAGATGAACTTTCCACCTGTCTTCCCGAGACTAGCAGCCTGCTACCTTCACTGGTTGAGGTTGATAATGAACAGGGGTCTGCTAATCTTCCCCCTGCTGTTCCCGTGGTAACTCGAGGACAAGCCCCGCCCTCTACTATTGGAGATTTGATTCAACTATGGAAGGGGTGTGGCTGACCAAACCCACTTGCCATCTACTATTCTGACTCAGCAAAATGTTTTGTCATCACGAGGACAAGCCCCACCCTCTACTATTGGAGATTTGATTCACTATGGAAGGGGTGTGGCTGACCAAACCCACTTTCCACCTACTATTCAGACTCAGCATTTGTCGTCACGAGGACAAGCCCCTCCCACCACAATTCAGAATATCTTGTACCATCTGACCTCTGATGAAGCCACACCCCCTGAACCGTATGAAGCCACACCCACCATTGGGGAATTCCCCTGTGCCCCACCTCAGCCGTACACTCTCTCATATCCTCAGCTAGGTTAGTCTGTGGGTGTTGCGAGCAAAGTTTATGTTTTGACGATGGATTTTGTGGGGAGAGAAAAATTAATGTTGGTATATACTTTTTCACTACTTACAGTAGTTCATTTGTTCCCCCCACACACCAGATGATGCTCCCCTCGGTGACATTCTGACTCCTGTCATTGGCCCCAGTCCATTCCGACATGGAATAGAGACTGACATCATGCTATTGCCCCTCCCTTACCTCCTTGACCACACCCTCTCCCTCCCTCTCCTCACTCAGTGAGTGTACACGACACCTAATCCCATTTCACGGAATTTACAGAATCATTTTCACAGGAACTATCTGGTGAACTCTGCACTCCTTGATTACTTCCTCACTTCCTGTCACGTGACCACCCACTTCCTGTCTATGAAGAGGTTCCTGTTGCTGGAAGATGGGGAGTTTGCTCACACTCTCTCCTCTCACCTCTTCAACAAGGTCTCCCCATACTTTAAACTTTACTGGACGACCATTGATGTTTCTTTACGATATACACATAGTATAATTCTCTGGAGAATGTCTGTATTGTGTGGCTGCAGCTGCGGAGTGGGGGCGGGGCCAGGATGACATCACCTGCATTCCTGAACCCTCTCCTCCAATCAGCTCTCGACTCCAGTCTCCATGGAAACTCGCCGAATGCCGAGTTGCTCACATTTGCAGTCAGCGGTTCCCCTCCTGCACACACTCACGGTAATCACTCTCTCCCCACTTCCCACCCTCACACCTCCCACCATCTCATTAGCTGTTGACGCTCTAGACTTCCTTCAACTACAGTATAAGGTTAGTCAATTCTACACCTATTTGGAAATATGTGTTTCATCAGTATGTAAATACTGCCATCTGTATTGCTCACTGCAGGTCGAGTGGCCATGTAATGTGGTCATCACTGAAGACTGTCTCAGAAAGTACAACAGAGTAAGATTTCAGTTTGCTCTATACTCTCACACATGTTCCACAGGAAAATGGAAAGCATTTCAGTGTATAGCCACTTAAGACTGTTTTGCATGTCACGTGAGTATTGCGCAATAGTGTCTCCCTACCTCTCTCCTCAGGTGTTCCATCTCCTGCTGCAGCTGCGAAGAGCCTCGTGGACCCTCAAGACTGTCTTCTCTCTCATCCAGCAGTGTGAGTTGCAGTCATGTGACTGTCATGTGACACTCCTCTGAGGTCATGTGACTGGTTCAGGTGAGGGACTGGACAAGCAGCAGAGGAGACAGCTTCAGATTCACAGGTATGCCGATACTTGGTTAGGGGTGTGGTCTCACTGCTTACATACAGACATGAGTTCCAGCATTTTGTGGGTGTTATGGAAGGTTACATAACCAACCAACTGTTCTACTTGTCCTGGAGGGAACTGGAAGAAGACCTGGCAACCAAGGTCCCATCTCTTCTTCCTTTATAACTTTTTGCTCGAATGTTTCAAATTCCAGGTCCACAGTTTGGATGATCTAATTAGAGCCCACCAGATGTTCATTGACAAGGCCATTTTCAGGTGAGCTCTGATCTCTAATTCCATCAGTCTCCTAACGAGAGGGGTTCCCCCCACAGATGTCTGCTGAGCAAGAAAGCCATGGCTGTGATGAAGATAATCCAGACTGTTTTCTCTTGCATCCTTCGGTTCTCAACCACTCTTTCCTCGTCCGCCCTCCCCTCCCCCCTCCACCTCTTCCACTCTCTCTCCCGCACCCACCGCAAGTTCCGCGAGACTGCCGGTCTCCTGATGAAAGGTATATATGAAAGTGTTTTCCTATAATTATACCTCCTTTCTCACCTCCCTAATCTCTCTGCAGTCATCATAAAGCTGGTAGAGAGAGGCTACCAACCACATCTGGAAGACTTTCTACTCAGACTCAACTTCAACAATTTCTATGGCTAGCATTGTACGTTACGTGTTCGATACTGCTACGTACTGTTGCGTAATTTCATCGTTACGTTTACGTGAAATCTCGTTCGGTATGTCGTGAGAGGCGGACATGCCATGGCGAATTTTTGTGAGGTAAGTGGAGGGACAGAGGCTCCATTTCACCAGTTTCCGATTTCTCCTGTCCCCAGACGTGCTCTGAACCAGCTAGCTGACAGCCAGAGGCTAGCCGAGACGGCGCCGCTCAGACGAGCGGCCCAGCTCCTTGTCTTCCTGTGGGTGAGGCTGGGAGAGAGCGCCGGGCAGCTGGGAGGACTGCAGGCCCGCCGAATGGAGGCTAGAGGTCACGGGAGGCTCGTGCGAATAGCCAGAAACTTTGCAAAGAACCTCAGGGAAGAGGTCAAGAAAATCGATGGGAGTGGGCGGGGCTAGAACTTGGGACTTGTGCAAAAATGTGCAGTGATTCTTGTAAACATGCATGAATGTTTTGTTGAGTGAGAGGTGGTTTAGTTCATGACTGTGTTCTCGAGAGGTTCTCTGTGGTTGGTAGCTGATCCTCTGTCCACAGAGGGTTTGAGGGAGACGTGGCTGTAGTGATGTGTACTGGCAGGCCCTTCAAAGTCAGCGACGGTGTGTCCCTGGCCTTGCAGCACCCACTGCGACGTCATTAGACCCTCTTTACCCACGGGACCTCGAGCGTGGATCCGACCGGTGCTGATACCGACCTCTGCCCCCAGTCCGAACCGGTAGCCGTCTGAGAATCGTGTACTAGCATTGTGGAAGACGCAGGCACTGTCAACTCCACTCAGGAACTGGCGAGCAGCTTCAGCTGGAGGGAGGAGGGAGAGACTAATATCTTGAGTTTCAAGTATACAGAGACTGCATACAGCCATACACCTCACACGCGACAGATACTGTGCAGCAGCGTAGAGGACACACGTGATCATGCAATAGCAAAACAACACCACAGCTCACCGTCTTCAGTAATGATGCAGTCGGTGTGTCCACTGCCATAACTGTTGACATGTTCCACAGCCTCTTCCACTGACCTCACGACCTCCACGGTGACCTCCAGTCCTCCGTACTCGGTGCCTAGTGTTGCCACGGGTGACGGGACAGGGAGCAAGGTGGCCAGAGTTGGTCCTGGGTACACTGTCACCTGTCAGAGGAGGAAATAATTGTGATTGATGGGAGACTATTTACACATATCGGACAACTTGAATGTTTAACCGCAATATTTACACCTAATGTGAACACATTAACAATTCTAATTATGTGCGTGAAAAAGTGAATAAATCATGTTAATGATGTGGCACTCACTCCATTGTGTTTGAGGGATGAGGTGAGGGCAGTGAAGGCTGGGGTGTCGAGGAGGTCAGAGTGCACCAGAAGACTCTCCAATGCATTGCAGGCTGCAGGATAGCTGCACTTGGAGTCCAATACTGCACAAACCATTATCAACATGTGAAATGCAATAATAGTGGGGGAAATCAACTGCATATTGTGCAAAGAACAATGTCAAGTTGCATTCATGAAGCATCTTACCGATGCGAAGAGCCTTCTCCAGATCAGCGTGCTGGTCAAGGAAGACATGGCAGACCCCCTCAGTGTGGCCCAGGACCGGAAGTCTCCCACTGGACATTTCCATCACTGCTCTCACCAGATCTTGCCCTCCCCGCGGAATGGCAAGGTCTATCTTACCCTCTAGTGTCAACAGCTCACTAATCTCCTCCCGACTGTCCACCTGATATTATATCTATGTCACATGACAGTCACATGACTCGAGGGGTTCTAACCAGTGCCACAGTTCCAGCAGGGACCACTGTTTGTAGAGCCTCTTGCACTAGAGAATGGAGACATCTGTTGCTGTGAAGAGCCTCACTCCCTCCCTTCAGTAGCAGTCCATTGCCAGTAGCTATGGCAAGTCCAGCCAACTGCAGCCACAAACAAAGTTTCAGTCATGTAGCAGTGAATGGAAGTGACACTGAGTGCTAGGTATTCCCTACACGGGTCACCTGAGGCAAGCAGTCAGGACGAGACTCAAACACAACCAGCACCACTCCGAGAGGGACTTTCCTCTTCACCAGCTCCAACCCTTCCCCAACTAATACCCTCTCCACCTCCTCACCAACTATGTCTCTGGAAACCACGCCCTTCTGTGTAGGGAGGAAGTAATGAGAAGAGTCACATAAGTAACTGTGAAAGTTTGATGGCACAAGGGATCCTAATTTTAATAGAGAGTTGAATAAACAGTAGCTGACCTGCCAGTTGCCTGAGGCCGTCAGCTAGAGAGGCCAGTCTCTGTGGAGAGAGCGAGAGTCTGGCTCTGAGAGGACCCGACAGGTCACTGGCTGAATCCAGATCTCTCTGGTTAGCAGCCAAGATTTCCTCCTCCCTCTCCACCAGCAGTGAGGCCAGGTGGTGGAGAACTGAGGCCCTCTGCTCTGAGGAGAGACCCTGCAGAGCTCGACTGCCACTCCGAGCTGCAGGGAAAGTCAACGAAACTTTACTGCGATTGACACGCTGACAATTGGACCAGTTTTTTTTTTTATAGCTATTCATGAAGACCAGAGAAAAACGTTAAAGAAAGCTGTGAGCGTGTCCAATAATAAACTCTATCTGCAGAGAATCGATAGCGTCACGCGATAACCTTGATCAGCGAGTTGCTCGGCTGAGACAGTCAGCTCGCTGTGGCCGTTGCTTGCAACTAGTGTCCCAACTGGTCTTCCTCTCACAATGTCCAGGATTGTCCCCTCTCCCTTTGTCCCATTGGCAATCACCACAGGGGTTCCCCCCTCCACAGCCTTCACTGCAGAATTGAGCTGAACAGGACAAACAGTCAGGGTATTCAGTGGCGGCCAAGATCACTTGAGAAGCTGTAACTTTGTCTCATTAGCAGTCCAAATAAGATGCTTTTAACTCCTTTGGACGATGTATGATAAAAGGACTTTAAAATGATATACAAAGAGTTGGATTGTTTTTCCTTGCCTTTAGGACTTATCATTGCTCGCCGTGTCTTAAAATGTTCATTGTTGTTAACATACATGTGTAGGTACATCTTGTCAAAGACTGAGAGGGACGCCCATTACCTTATTCTCCATTCCTCCAAGTCCGACACGGGACTTTCCCCAGAAGGAAACCTGCATGGGGTGTTCAGGATAGTAGGTCCTGATGAGTCTGGACTTTGAGTCTGACGGATGACCAGTGAAGAGTCCTGCAGGTCAATACTCACGTCATCATCAGACAGACGGAGAAGGTCTTACCATCCACATCAGACAGGAAAATGAGGAGGTCGGCACGAGTGGATATGGCCACCAGAGAACTCAGACAATCATTATCAGGAATACTCACCACCTGCCAGCCAAATGGAGAACACGAGCTCAGGAGATGAGGGTGAGAAAGAGAGTGGCAGACACTCACATCTTGGAGGTCGGAATTCCTCTGAGGAGGTGGTGAGTGGACGTCGTTGCCGTTGAGGATTGGAACCACCTTCATGCCGAGGAGACAATCCAAAGTCTGCAAGAAGTTCTGGGGACCCTCTGGAGCCAGGAAATCATAGCCTGTCAGAAGAACCTGTGTCGAGTAGGTGAGGTTAGGGGGTGCGGTAACTGGGATTGGGGATTCGATGTACCTGCGCGCAGCTGATGCCGTACTGAGCAAACATTGACTCATAGAGAGCCATGAGCCCTGCCTGGCCTGCAGCGGCGCACGCTCGGGGCTCCAAGTCTCTCCTTTCCGAGTTTGGCAGGAGAGCCGAGCGCATGCTCTGCGACAAGAGTTTCTCATGCTTCATTCTCTGTTTCCCAAATGCCACAGCTCCACTGGTCACCAACACTACCTCCTTCCCGTTGTTATGGAGCCAGGACACCTGGTGGAGGGAGACAAAGACCATTGTCTATGGCCGACGGTGTTATTATTAGGTCCAGCTGAGCCAACGTGGGTAGTAAACAATGGCAATTATTTACCTTTCGCACATCATCCCGCATGTAATGGTATTATGTGTGCAAAACTGCACAAAATTGTTACCTGCTCCACAATGGACGCTAGTCTTCCTAAAGCTAGTCCACACTCGTCTTCTCGTGTGATTACCGCAGACCCTAGTTTGACGATTATCCGATTTGCCGACGACAGTTGCGCTCGACGCATCGGTCGCTTCGCCCTGGACACAACATCATCTACTACAAGTTTAGTAGAGAACTTTCGTCGAATTTGCACCAATCTCCTCCACATTCTGTCCTTGAGTTGACGCTGGAAAGAATCCGCGCTGCGCTGCAAGTTTTATGCTACTTTATGCGCATGCGCAATTGCGGCAACAAAGAAAACCAGTGGAGCATGCGCAGTACAGGTGGTGCAAAAGGGAGATGGCGGCGAGACAGAAAGCCACAGAGAGGACGTTCGAGGCTGGGCCGTGGAAGATATCTGTCCGTAAGAGCCACATCCTCAAGTCGGTGTGCGAGGGAGGGGAGCAGGGATGCGGGAACGAGCCGTGTCACGTGTGCAGGTGATAACTCGGTCAGTAAGTAATAGAGAGAGAGGGTCCTGATCTCTATCAGATTCCAGCGAGAGCTGCGGGCTCTGCCTTCTCTGCCTGAGATGGTTTTCCCAGACTCTTGGCTGAGACTAGATCACGTGAGTGGGTGTGGCCTGGCATTCTATGCATTGGATGCTCTGCGGAGGGTTGACACAACACAGGACTCGCTCAAAGTGGCAGCGGCTGACGACTGGAGACAGTCCAGGTGTGCCAGTGTCATGTGACTGTCACATGATGAGTCACACCCCTTTCCTCCAGGGGGCAGAGTCTGGCGAACATGAAGGGAGTTGTTAAGCCGTTTGACTGGACGTTCACCACTGACTACAGTGGGAATCTCCTCTCACTGCCCCACACCTCCATACAGGTCAGATACAATACATGTCTGAGAGTTCAATTTTCTTCAAAGTTGGTCTTCATTCTGAGTACGGTACTTGGGGTTTATATGCAAACTTTCATTTGAGTGTTTGTAATTGTGCTGATTAGGAAACTCTTTTCTACACACCATTTTAAAAATGTTCTAACTCAAGAGTTGACTGGTAGGTGGAAGAGACAAGTGAAGGGATCGACTACAGCCAACTGAAACAACAGGAGAGAATACATTTCTACGATGATGTCATTCTCTACGAGGACGAGCTCGCCGACAATGGAACTGCTGTACTGAGTGTCAAGATAGTGAGTCTTGCCTGAGGCTGAGGCCCAGCCCGCCCACTCCCTGTCTCCCTGCTGCAGAGAGTCATGGCAAGTGGATTCTACATACTGATGAGGTTCTTTCTCAGAGTCGACGGAGTCATCGTTAGGCTGAATGATACAAGAATCTACCACCAGGTCAGCTCCTTGCATTATTGTTCATCAACAGATTGCAGCCATGTGTTTGTCTCCCTGCAGGCTGGGACTGACTTCCTCACTAGGGAGATCTGCTCAAAGGAAGCAAGAATACCCGACTTGAAGGTATGGCAAGTCACGTGACCAGTCACATGATCTCACATGATCTGACATTTGATCACAGGTTCCAACCTCAGTTTTGACAGACCCTGACAAATTGAACAATATTCTGCCAGGCAACAAAACACTTTTGCACAGACTTATTCTACCGAAATAGCACGACTATTACACTGATGAGAAATTGAATATGAGAATAGGTGAATGGAAATTGGACTCTGTCATCTGGAGACTAGCTGGTCCCAGAACTGTCTGACGGTGTCCAGCACTCCAGAGGTGGAGGGAGGGGGAGGGGTTGGGAAATGTCCTTGGTTCAGCAGATGACGAGCCAACTTGAACCTTTGTTCGTCCACCTCTGGGAACCTGATCAGGTTACCATCGTCTGGGGAGCAGAGGAGGAAGATGGAAGGAGGAAGATGAGACGAGGGCGGGACGAGGGGGAGGACTAACCTGAGTCCTCGGCAGAGGTGTGGAGGTGTCGGAGGGAAAGAAGGGAGCATGCTTGGGCCTGGGCGGAGAAATAGGCAGAGTCACAGCCATCCCAGGTCTCTGGTGTGTAGAAACAGTCTTTGACACTGCACACTACATTCCTTAGAGGGACAGGAGGGAGGGGGTGTGGTTAGTTACATCGCCAGTTGACGAGGGAGAAGGCTAACCAGATGTGGTGCTGTGTTCTGTCCCATCCTGGGAAGACTCTCAACATGTTCACTGTGCTGGACCAGGATCACATGACTGTCATGTGACTGCTGGAAGAAGTACTCACCCATTGTCAGTATGGATATACGGATGGTAAACTTTGGACTGGAACCGCACCATGGGTCTCTGGTCCGGGAACCTGCCCCCCCACAGTAACACTTCACCGATGACTATCAATAGTGAAACAAACCTGTCAGGAATGTAGAGAGTGAACTTGAAGATGCCTTCTCTGAATGGCCCAGAGTGAATGAACAGAACTCCATGCCACTCTGGCAAGAAAGACATCATAAGGCGAACCAAGGCCACAGGACTAGTTACCATAGAGAGATTTGGAAGATGGTAGAACGTACACTCCTGAAGGACAGTTCAGACACAGCAGTTTGCTGAGAACAGAGAATCGGCCAGTCAGCTAGATGTTATTCCAGAGTAGGAACTCACTATTCGATGAGCAAGTCCAGCTCGGTAAACTGGCCGGCCAGGTCCACTGCTCGGCCACTAGTCAGCTCGTCTGACGTGTCCTGACCCGTCATCTGCTGTCTGTGCGGTGTTCCTGGGCCTCGCACCGCCTGGGCCAGCGAACTGTGGAAAGAACTCCACAGTCCGCTACCACTCGTCTCCATCTTCCTCTATGGGCGGGCGTGGCTTCACCCACGTGGGTGGGTCGGTTCAGTAAAAGTACGAGGATTTTTTGACGTGGCGAGGATGCTGCCTGCACTGCGATTGCGGGGAATACTGAATCGCTCAGTAAACTACCTTCTCCCATCTCTCAGACCTGCCAGCAGTGGTCAGAACCTCCGAACGAAGGGAAAGGGAAGAAGTAGGTTTCAGTTCAGAGTTCGTGCAATGGATGATGACGTAATGGTGATGTAATGTGCAGACCTGAGGACTGGACAGTGGAGGAGGTGGGGGAGAGACTGGGTCGCGTAGAGGAGCAGGTTGCCAGAGGAGAGACCCTGCTTCCCAGACACCTAGCCACACTCCTTGCCCCCATCCGCCTTCACAGGTCAGTACGAACTAGGATCACGTGACAGTCACGTGACTGGGATGATACAGGAATCCTGATGACCTTAGCAGAGTGCTGGAGGTGGTTCGTAGGTCAGGGATCACCCTGGACGAGGGTCTGGGGAGTGCGCTAGTCTCCAGTCTGGCAGAGAGAGGGAGAGTCGACGAAGTACGGGAGATGGTGGAGCAGGTTGGTGGGCGGAGCTAGCTAGGTCTGTGGTACTGTTTGACCTCTGAAAAAGGACCCAGCAAACAAAGGAATCTGAATATGAAACACTTTCAAAGTGTCCCTTATTAACAAGTTTGACTGTACACCAGATGCAGGGAAGACTGCGTGTCCAGAGCCAGTCATCCGTCCTTGCGATGGCGTGTAGCGAGAGAGACGCGGACCTGGCAGTGGAGTTCCTGGCCAGCAGACAGTCCCCCCAGCCTCTTCCTGCCTCCCTAGTGAGAGATCTGGTGGCTCTGTCCAGAGAGACTGGTCGACCAGACCTGGTGGAGCAGCTGTTAGGGGTTGTCAGGGAGACTCGTCAGCCACTGACTGGAGATGGAGTTGCTCAACTGAGGCTCTGGGCCGCCAGGTAACAACTAGAGATGAAACATTACTCTCTCTAGGGAAACCTAAGGAAGATGCTTACAAATTTTAGTCTCTAAAAGTTTTTTTAGATCTTGTGAAATTGACTGAAGGGTTCGCACTGTGACATATAATATGTTTGTCTGCTCTGCAGTCAGCCACAGCCGTACACATGTGAACTCACCACAGTCAGTTCAAGGTAACCCCGCCTCTTTGATTCTCTCGCTATTCTCCATGCCCCTACTCCCAGTGGGGTGTGTACTAATTGCCAGGGGCGACTGGAGAAAGCTCTGACAGAGGGTGACCACCAGAAGCTGCTGAGAGCTGTGACTGAAGCCGTCCACTCTGAGGGACTAGGGTTTTCTCCTGAACTCATCTCCAACTTGTCTCGACTCCAGAAGAGACTCTCTGCAGTCTCCTCTCCATATAAAGTGGTGGTAGACGGCCTCAACGTATCGCGAGTCTCGTCCAAGAACTTCAGTGTCATGCAGGTACGCCATTACCGGCTTGTTACACTGTTACCTAGGTTACCTGGAATGTCGTTGCCTAGGTGATGGACATTGTGAATCAGCTGACAGGGACAGTGGGTGGACCTGTTCTGGTGGTTGCTAGGAAACACCTGGCGAAGGAGATGGACCAGCTCCCATCGTTCTATTCGTCAGTTCCTCGCAGCCACGACTTTCATGTCTTCACCACTCACATCAACGAGTGAGCTACACAATTGGAACCTGCAATAATACATGTCACACTTGGACTGTGTAATTGCCATTTTACAGTCTTTGGGAGTGAAGATTGCTAATTCTTGTCTCTCCTCCTCTGCTCCAGGATATCAGATGATATTTGTGTCATATACGCAGCACTCACTACAGGCAGACACTGCTATATTGTGTCAAATGACCACATGTCAGACAACGCCTCAATGCTAGGTCCTGAGGACGCCAAACTGTTCTCAATATGGCAGGCCAGCAGGCAGATTACGGTCCAACCAACCACTGTCAACCTACTGGTGGGTGTGTAACTTTTTCAGAGGGCCCAGCTAAGTTGTGGGCTTCTATTGCCAAATGGTGTTCATATAGTTTTATGGCTAAATATTTTTTTTACCTTAGAATTTGCGGGTTTGCCAGTTGAAATGGTGCCTGGCAAGGTGTAAGTTTCTTTTTTGGGTTATCCCCCTCGGCGCGCATGCGCAGCGAGGATTACTGCACGTAGTTGGTCTGTGTGTGTCCGCGACTATTCTTGCACTACAGGCTACGAGGCGGCCTAAGAGCAATACCAAACGCTTCAGTGTTACAAGCGCATGAAAAAGAAAATGGCGATTTTTCTGAAACGACAGCGTTCGAGCGCGAGAAACTGGCACAGTCACACACCACGTAGCGTGGCCCAACCCATCAATTAGTGATGCGCATGTGCAGGCTCACCTCGCTTGCTCTGGTCTGTGTACGTACCTCGGAGGCACAAGAGGCCGCAGCGAAGGGCGTGTATCGACTCCCGCATGCTATCTACTACCATGGCTAGCCCGTGTCAGACTCCGCGTCAGTCCGCGAGTAAACGGTCCATGCGCAGTTCGCCGAGGGTTTGCACTTTAGTGCTTCATTTACGCTGTTCCCATTCAAGTAATGGTGGTGGTCTGATGGATAAGCACCTCCCTCTCTTGATCGCGAGGTCCCAGGTTCGATCCCGGGTGTGCACGCCTTTTTTACAATGATGTAATAGGAGTGTTGGTATGCTACTGGAACCCTCGCTGCGCATGCGCGCCACGGGTTAATTATAATTATATTTTACTCCAAATCTAGATACCTACGGAATCAACACACTATATACTATCATCCACACTCGCGTGGGATTTGCGAGTATATTTCACTAAGTGACCTTTAAACGCTGACCTCACGTGTGTATGGAACGTTTTTTCATCACCTCTCCAGGCCAGCCTGAGTGGCTAGGTGGTTAGAGTCGTGGGGACTGACACCATAGGTGCGGGGTTCGTATCCCGATCCCGCACTGAAAGTGTCAGATGGTCCAGAGCATTGGCTGGGAACAGCTCTGGTTCCTCCCCTTACCCACAAATCTACCACTGACCCATGTTTCGGCATAGCACTGCGTCCGTAGACGTCTGTCTGGAGAGATGAAGGGCTGGCCGTTATTTTTTTTTCTTTCCAACCTTGGGTAAATATTTTTTTTGCACTAAACAATCCACGGGTAATACGAATATTAATAGAGAGATAAAAGGTTGGCAATTTTTCAACCTTATATATTTTTTACCCTCAAACAGAAATAGAGCCTGCCATTTTTTTTCCAACATATTGCATAAACATGCTGTTCTTTTTGATGCATGGACCATCAATTGTGGTGGTGCCAGCCACACTTGTGTATGGGTTCTTGTGTATGGTTTCCACATTTCTATATAGTGTGCGAGGGTTTGCACTTTAGTGCTTTTCATTATGTATAGTTCTAGGAGGTGCTATAATAATCTGAGGGCCTATCAGTCCACTCCCCCCCTCCACTGCAGTATCCAGGTGACTACAGCAAGTCCACACAGGCCAGCGAGGAAGGATGGCACATCCCTATATCCCTCTCCTCCAAAGCCACACCCACCAATGACACATGGTTGGTGGACGGTCGGAGACGATGGAATGAAGATGAAGACGTCAGCCACACCCCCCAACCAGACTGGCTCTGTCTCAGGAGATAAAACTTATAAAACTGATGGACATACTCAGTACAATGAAAAATGACACTTCCTTATAAAACTAACTCCATCAGTCGCTACCATCAAAAAAATAAGTTAAAACACTTGCCTAAAAGGCAAGCTGCACGTAGCATGTCATCTTTAAAATGAAGCCAGCACGGCCAGTCATTGTTGTGTGGTCAGTGGTTGGAGTCAGGAAAGGGGACAGCAGTCAGTTGTGAGAAGGTTTGGTCGATGCATGACTTGAGGTCAGAGTACGAGACGATGAGGACACTTTGTTCATCTCGTGAGTGGAGCAGAATATTCTCACTCACACCAGAATCCAGCTGGAGGGGAAGTGGGGTGGAGCACATCTTAACGTCAAGTTTCCCCCACAGCTCTATACCAAAACATACCTTGTTGAGGGACTGTACAATGTGAGCTAGGTCCACCCAGGGAGCGCCTGATGGCTGCACCTGGTGGAACAGATAGTCTCTAAACAACTTGAGTAGGTAGCGATCCCCAGTCTCAGCCCATTGAGGATCTCCATCATACCTTCACCAACGGAGCCAAACATAGTAGCAATGGCTAATAATAGTAACACGACCTCACTCTGGTCTCTCGGTGATGGTCCCAAGTTTGGCGAGAAGTCTGAAGAGTCGTCCGTTCTCCAGTTCCTTGGAGAGCTCGGCCTCCAGCCAGTCCCGCTGCAGCTGGGCCTGCTCCAGGCAGTGGTAGACACGCCCACCAATCATGGACAGCACCTCCACAATGCTGTGAGGAGGTCCCTCTGATCCTGACCTAAGACAGTACCTGTGTGAATACCATAATACCATTACTGGTGTGGGCGGGCCTGTTATTTCAATTTTACTGAATGTAGTGCACCACTTTACTTATCCCATGGCTAACCACATAAAAAATTTTAAGGTCCAAAACAAATCTTTGGGCCCAGTTCGATTATGGCATATTGGCTTGTTTTCACGACGTATCTCTAAAACGAGGTCGTTTACGGCAAATCGCCTTATCACACACAAACAGACCAACTATGTTAACCCTCGCTGCACATACGGACACCTCTGAATAAAGGACAGTTTGAATGTCCCTTGTTCAGAGGTTTCACTGTACTGGACAATATGGTGGAGGTCAGGGCTGAAATGAGATGTGAGATATTCCAGTGATTGGTGGAAATTCTCCGGCTGGGTTGCCGTGGGTGACTGGAGAGCCACGCCCACCAGGAGCTGCCCAATACCGACAAGATCCTGCTGCTGTAATAGGTCAGTGATGATGTAATGAAAAACCACAGTATAAATGGTCAACAAATACATATATACCCTTAAAACTTTTGTGCCCCTATGTTTTTTCAGCTCCAGATTTTGTCAGGAGTAGATATTAGTCTGGTGTGTGTGTGTGTGTGTGTGTGTTTGTAGCTAACCTGTTGTAGGGTTGGATCAACTGGGGTAGAGGTGGAGTCAAATGTCAGTATGTCCATGATCCCTGCACAGTTCATGAACAGTCTGGGACTGCAGCAGGTTTCAGCCTCATGTCAAACAAGAGAAGACAGAGAAGCTAACCTCCCAGAACCAGTGACCAAGATCTTGGTAGAGTCCAGAGTATAGAGAGCCAGACCAGCTGTGTGCACAGCCCTCACGGCTGCAGCCAACTGAACGATGTAGTCCCAGAGAAGGCTCTCGGGCAGGGCCCGTGCATGCCGTCCTCCCTGAAGATGTCTCGAGTCCAGAGTCTCTGCACCAGGCAGGTAGTCATAGACAAACACCACAGCTGCAGAGAAGAAGAGAGGAGGGAGGGAGACAAGTAGAATGATAGCTTTGCTCCCAGTCTCACAGTTGTCGCCAAAGGCTTTGGTAGTGAACATTTCTCTGAGAGAGACGAGACTCGAGTGTTCGACTTTCCTCCACTTGTCAAACTGCTGCACAGATTTGTGAGTGGTCAGACGCACACCTGCAGACACACAGACACACTCCCAGGACACCTCCACCAGACTCTGCTCACCATGCAGTCTCCTGAGGCAGTAGAAGAGACCGTCTTTTGAGGAGGTTGCTCGGTAGCAGGTGGAGGTGTGGCCAAAGAGGCGACGGAGCTCCAGATCCTGAGCCACTGGTTCCAGGGGATGGAGGGAGTGGTAGGAATCCACTTCAGATGGGCCGCCAGTCTCGTCTGCCACCGCCTGACAGCCTGTCTGTCTCTGGATCAACTCCTGGGGTTTAGGAGAGGGAAAGAAAGAGAAGGGGCGAAGTGCGCAAAGTTGAAACCCTTATTTGATGTCCAAGGTGTTGCTTATTCACCACATGTACATACTTTTTTGAGACCCTCGGAACAGAAGAAGGTAGGCTGACTGGTACTCTTCCCTCTACTGCGGGCAGTGTGAGTGGGATCTTGGACATATGCAGTGTATGGAGGCTGCAGTGGGAGGCAATACAGAGTGACACAACGCCGGCAGTAGAAGACTGGACCCTTACTTGGTGATGGGAGTAAAAGTAAGTGGTCCCTCCAGCATCCACCTGCACACAGAGAAAAGATATCATCGATTGACTGACAAATGCCCTCACCTGAGCCTGCGCTGGTGCAGTGTTGAGTTTGTTGGTGCGCATTTTGTTAGCTGCTGCCTTGGCTGGAGGGGGTGGCTGGAGGGACCCCATTCCATACTGCTTGACGTGGGACTAGAGAAATGGAGTGGTATGTGGGAATGAGGTGGGAGTTTGGAGACTGCAGACCTGTCTTAGAGAGCTGTAGGACGAGGGGCCTGGCCCTCTCATCACTGGAGCTGCGATAGAAGTGAGGGTTGGAGGTACTGAAAGAGAGAGAGGTGCGTATAATGTACCTGATGTTGATTTTCTAGGCATAATGGGCTGCGGATGAGCACTGGAGAGAGAAAGGAGAGAATGTATACAATGGCGTTGGAAACACGGATGAGACTTACTTCATGGAGTGGGCAGGGAACGGGGGACGGTCCATCTTCTGCAGTAGAATGCACAGCAATTTCCGCAGACCATCTGGTCTCAATTGAAACAATCACAAAACGAAACACTTACCTTTGTGGTGTCCAGCGGGAGAAGACCCATGGGCCCTGCACGTACACGACAGGTATGAGCGCAAGCAAACGCCGGCTCCCTAGCAAGCAGCTAGGCCCAGGAGATCTCGCCTGGAGGAGGCTTCCGATGTGGGTTTGAAGGCTGATGGCCGGTCCTCACATGCAGAAACTGGCACTGGTCTCCGTACTGGCAGTGACCGCTGGCCATGTAGTAGCGGCACACATTCCTCTTTGGCCCGCGGTGCATGGTAGCACCGTCGGCCCCCGCGGCCCCTAGCTTCTTGCCTCCGGGGCTTTTCTGGTGGGCTTCAATTAGAATATAGACCAGGTGGGCTCCATTTGGAATATGCACGACCAAGCATGTTTCTTGTTGCAGAGTCTCCGCTCTTTCCGTTTGTAGAAAAGAGAGATGCGACGTCCTCCCCGACCACAGAGAGCACACAGACAGTGGTAGAGACTGATCTGAGCCAGGAAAACTGAAGAAGAGTCGGGATGGGCGTGGGTCTTGGGAAAGTGGGCGGTTTGGACGGTGCTTGGTTTCTTAGTTCTCTTCGTACTGACGAAGCTACTGGTTCTATGGAGAACACGTCAACAGATGAAACTTTTCGGGTACTTTCGCCTGCAGTACCGTCCGGTGGTGGTGGGATTCTTCCACCCGTACTGCGCGTCAGGAGGAGGCGGGGAGCGGGTTCTGTGGCACTCCATTCGAGCTCTCCAGAAACGCTATTCCTTCGTCCGTTGCGTCGTTTATACGGGAGACGTAGACAAGACCCCTGAGGCCATTCTGAGCATGGTCCAGAACAGATTCAAGCTTCAATTGAGAGATGTGGACTTTGTGTATCTGAAGAGGCGAGGGTGGGTGGAGGCGAGGTGCTGGCCTCGGTTCACGATCCTTGGACAGAGTCTGGGCTCCATGTTACTTGGTCTGGAGGCAGTTCTGAAGCTGGCACCTCACGTGTACATGGAGACCACAGGCTATGCCTTCACTCTGCCAATATTCCGCTGGCTCGGGGGAAGTCGCACGGCAAGTTATGTCCACTACCCCACAGTCAGCTCTGACATGCTGGAGACTGTGGCCAAACACACTCAGTCCTTCAACAACTCGAGTGCTGTCAGCAAAAGTCGAGCCCTGACTTTTGTCAAGCTCACTTACTATCGTCTGTTTGCCCGTCTCTATGGCTTCATGGGTCGCCGTAGCGATGTGGTGATGGTGAATTCATCGTGGACCCACGCCCACATTCGCCAACTCTGGTCTCCAAGGCAACTGTATATTGTCTATCCTCCATGTGACACAGCAAGTTTCAACAGCCTCCCTATTAGAAGGTCCTCGAAACCCTTTCGAATTGTCTCTGTGGGACAGTTCAGACCAGAGAAGAACCACAGGAGCCAGCTGAGGATCTTACGTAATCTTATGCAAGAGGCAGAGGGTTGTGCGGTTACCCTGGTCTTGGCGGGAGGTTGTCGGAACACAGAGGACGAGGAGAGAGTAGCTGACCTGCAGCACATGGCACGGGAGCTGCATGTGGCGGACTGTGTGGAGTTCAAGATCAATCTCCCATTCTCCAGTCTCAGAGAGGAGCTGGGGAGAGCTGCAGCTGCTCTGCATACAATGGAGAACGAGCATTTTGGGATCAGCTTGGTAGAGTGTATGGCAGCTGGGTGTGTGACGGTTGCTCATGAGAGTGGAGGGCCTCAGCAGGACATCCTGTTGGACTGGGAGGGGCAGCCGACAGGGTTCCTGGCCAGCAGCGAGGAACATTTCTCCTCCTGGCTCCTGTACATACTCCACATGAGTCAGAGTGAGAGAGAGGAGATAGCAAGTCGGGCGCGGACTGCTGCACACACCAAGTTCTCTCTTGAAGTCTTTGAGGCTTCATTTCTCAGAGCATCTGAGAAACTGTTTGGCTAGACAACATAAACCCTAGTTTTTTCCCATTACACTTTTGTACACATACAATGTCTAGCTGTTATAATAATGCTAACTGCCCTATATAGAACATGTCTATCTGCAGATATTATCAGTCTAGACTGCGCCAGCTCCTGAGATAATCTCTATGAGCTCTCTAGTGATGACTGCCTGGCGTGTTCGGTTGAAAGTGAGCGTCAAACGGTCAATCATCTCCTCTGTGGAAGAGAGAGAGTAGATGAGAAGCAATAAAGGGGTTCCCCACACTATACTAACTGGCATTCTTGCTGGCTGAGTCCATGGCAGTCATCCGAGAGCTCTGTTCAGAGCATGCTCCCTCCTTCATGGCGTGGAACAGGAGATTGGCCAGGTCATTTCATGGTAGCACTGCAGCACATCTGCATCCACGTCGTCGTAGAGCAGCAGGTTCTCTGTCCAGCCAGTGACACTCACACTAAACAACGGAGTCAGACAGGAGAGCTGGCTTACCTGATTCAGTCAGGGTCTTCAGAGGGACGAATGGCTGCAGAGTTGTCTGGTACGATATGACATTCCTAGCGAGGGTATATGCAGAGTTAAAAATGCAGAGAAATTGAGGGAAATGCTAACTTGAATCTGTTGTAGACAATCTCTGCGGTGCCAAACTCCAGTCCACTGTTGAGTATGGCATGAGCAATGGCCGTGCTCTCCACAAAGACGGGAGGCTTTTTCCCGACCTCGTTGAATGTCATGAACAAATTGTCCCTCATGGTTCGTTGCAGGATCGTACGAACCTGCAACAGTGGGTGGAGTCAGTGGGCAGGGCCTGCGGTGAGGTAATTACCTTGTCCCCTACACAGACAAAGTAGGTATTGGCCGAGGAACTCCTCTGTTCCATGATTGGTCTCAGAGTTCTGGCCAAGTTGGAATGGATGCTGCCACATAGACCTCTGTCGGAGCTGATCACCACAAACAGATGGTTCTCACTTCTCTCCTCCTCCACGACCTCTGCCTTCTCCAGCACAGCTGCAGGAGGTCACATGAACACCTCACAACCTCAGCCTCTCTCTCTCGTACCTTGTGCAGCTACACCATAGGTCCTGGCAGGCTTCAGCTGCCGCTCTGCCTGAGCATACTTGGCAGCTGACACCATCTTCATGGACTTGGTGATCTTCTCTATGTTTTTGACTGACTTCAGTCTAATGGACACTGTAAGAACCAGCCATGACGCGGAAAAGTCGGCACAGTAAACGTAAGGAAGAGAACTCACGTTCTTTGAGGGTGGCCATGCCTCTAGCGCCTTGCTGCCAGTGCCTATGGAGCACAATACTGTCATGAATGGAGTCTCTTGCCTGAAAAGATCTAGCCTAACATCCCAATGTTGCATGTAACTAACCAGTTGGTGCGAAAAGACTGCACGCCTCTAAATGCTACAGCCGCCATCTTTATGCTGTCTTGGTGTGGTATGACACCGGGACGCGTTGAACGGTATCTGGACCGAAGGGGGCACTAATAAGAATTTGAGGGCATAATAAGAATGTCGGGACGACAAGGTGAGTGTTGTTATACTGTTTCCTACCTTTCTATAGCACCATTGTAGGTGGCAAGAAAAAGCCTCTGAAGGCACCAAAGAAGGACAGAAAAGAACTCGATGATGTATGCTTGTAGAATTTCCGTCAAGTGTTACAGCAAGTATTCCATTAGGATGAGGTCGAAGCTCGTCAGAAACAAAAGGAGGACCAAAAGAAACTGAAAGAAGCTCAGGCTAGAGCAGCTCAAAAGGGCCCAATGGGTGAGCACTTTCCCCCAGCAACCAAACTGCCGTACCTCAACATTGCTTTACTGTAGGTGCGAGCGGGATAAAGAAAAGTGGCAAGAAATGACTGCATCTTTTATAACACTTCACCATTAGTCATGTATGAACATCCAAATTCAAAATAAAATGCACTGTCAATGGAACTATGAGGCAGCCAGTCTCTCAATGACTGCTCTGTATTCAGTCTCCAGCTGGTAGTAGGCACCGTGGAGTTTGGTGAGATGTTCCTCCTGGGAGGACGAGGAGGGGAGGGGGTGAGTGAGGGCCAGCTCGGCAGGGTCCAGTAGTCGACTGAGTCTGCCATGCTCTTGTAGCTCTCTCTGTAGAGGGCGGGGGTGAGAAGAAGTAGCTGGAGGGTAGGGCAAACCTGATGAGGAGCATTCAGCCTGTTCTTCACTGCCAGTCGATAGTCTCTGTACTGAGCTGGGTCACTCCTGTCAGTGGCTCTCAGTCTCAGGATCTCGTACACTCTCCTGGCCTGCGTCTGAGGGAAGGAGGTGCAGTCAGCATTTTGCTGCTACATTGTGCATGCACCTTATGCAGTTTAAGAGTGTCGGTGGCAGCGGCTGAAATGACTCCCTGGAAAGGACCGTGGATGGTGGGAGGTTGGAATGTCGGCAGTCTCAGAGCATTGCGACAGTCAACAAAGTCTCGCAGTCGAACAAACGTCTCTGATGGGTCCTCCACTGTGATGTCATGGGTGGAGGGATCTGAACACAAATCACTGCAGATCTCCTGCAGTAGTTCAGCTGTCAGGACCAGAGAAAAAATATCATCACCATACAGACAGTGGGTGTGGCTTACCTCCGTGGCCCCGCCTCTGGTAATGAGGCAGTACCAGGAGCTGACTAACTCTTGGTCTCTGGCGATCAGGGTAGCAGTAGAAGAGATAGACTGAGGCAAAGGCTACCAGAGAGTACCGAGGCAGTCCTGCCTCCCTCACGTGCCTGTAGCTGTATACAGGACATTGCCTGCTGTGAGAGAACAGGGTATTGTGACTAACACCAGATAGAACATCCACTTGTCATCCTCTTCATCTGTGGACAACAGACAATGTGTGAGTCATTGAGAACTGAATGAGGGTGTGTTCTGTACTGTGGCATGAACAGACAGGAACACTGACCAATGTAAGAGGCTGCCTCAATGAACCATAGGAGAAGAGGTTGTAGTCGAGACAAGTAACTCTTCATTCCACGATCACTCAGACCAGCCTTTCCAGGCAAGGAGGAGGGGGATAAAGGAAAGAGAAGAGGTGGGGAGCAACGAACCTTGAAGATAAGGTATGAGGCGTCGTCTTGCCTGCTGTAAGAATGCAGCTGCTGGCCAGGAGGGGTGAAGGCGGACTGACTGGCGAGTGCAATACTAAAGCTGTCCAGACTTCGGTAGTAACCTGCACACAGACACTCCACCTTACACTCACTACCACGTAGACCCCCACCTTTGGGTAGCCACTTGTCGAGTGAGCTGAAGATGTTGTCTGGCTTCACTCCATGTGTCTCCCATGGAGACGGCATCATCATAGCCGAAGTCAACACACATGTCCAGGGTATCTGGAGTGTAGTACATCTGGAGAACCAAATATCAGTGAACAGTTCATCCACCAACCACAGTTCAAAATTACCGTAATACTCAAATTCTGATAGCCGAAAATTGATTCCCTGCATTCACAAGAGTTTGACATCGTTAGTACATGCATTTCACCTCACTTTTCTCCAAAAACTTGGTGTGTGAATTCAGGTTTCACAATAGTGCTTTCTCCTTCTATTTCACTAGCATTGTGAACTGTAGTGTTATTTGAGAGAAGGCAAGAGTGCGCTCCAATTAGAATTCATAATGGCGCCAACCCCAGTTGTCGGAAAAGGCACCAAGGATGCAAAGTGTAACTTTGAACGCAAATGCAGAAGAATAATATGACTCCCCTTACCAAACTTAAGCTCTAAAGCTTCGGCGGCGTTACTGACAAAGCCGTTCAAGTCCCGGGTGCTGAACATCGTTCACCTCGATTCGCATAAATAGAAATGTAAAATTAAAATCACAAATACGATTCTCGATTGTGTGTGTTGTGTCGGTCGACATGACGTGGAGGTATAAAAGAAGGCAGGAGGGGGGTTGTGTGCGAGGGTTCTTCCGACGTTGTCGGTGGTTTCTGAAGGACGTGGTGATAGCCGACATCAACGCGGCCATGGGGAGCTTGTTCAGATCAGAGGAGGTAACATTGGCCCAGCTGTTCCTTCAGAGCGAGGCTGCCTATGCCACTGTCAGAGAGCTCGGAGAAGTGGGCCGAGTCCAGTTCAGAGACGTAAGTATCTGGCCGTGTGGACGCAGTGTGGTGTGACAGTGGTCTTTCTTCCTCAAAGCTGAACCCAGAAGTCAGTGCCTTCCAGAGAAAGTTCATCAACGAGGTTCGAAGGTGTGATGAAATGGAGAGACGACTCCGTGAGTCCTCAGCTGACAGTCTGGAGCATCTTTCCTATCCTCTGCTTATTTCAGGTTTCCTGTCGACAGAGCTGGGTAAAGCAGGGAATGAGCCCCGACCAGCGGGAAACGTGGAGGCCCCTGATCCCCAGAAGATGATTGATCTTGAGGTGAGGACCTTCTCACCTGGCTGTGCCACTCAGGGAGTGACCTGCCACCTCCACAGTCCAAGTTTGAGGCTCTGGAGGTGGAGCTGAAGGAAATCAACGCCAACAAAGAGACTCTTTGCAGGAACCTGCTGGATCTCATTGAGCTGCAGCACATCCTCAAGAAAACCCAGGTCTTCTTTCAGGAGGTCAGTTCTCTCTTTCTGTCCTCGTCTCTCACAGCCTTTGTTCTGACAGGCAGAGGCTCAGAGCATGCGGCCAGGCAGAGAGCGGAGACTGAGAGCTAGGGATGCCGAGTCTGACAAGAGAGGTGAGTGTGTGAGGGCGGTGAATGTGTGAGGGTGTGTGTGTTTGTGTGCGTAGGACTCCTGGTAGACAGTGAGCCTGAGACAGCTGGTGGCGGAGGTCAGGCAAAGTTCACGTTTGTCACGGGAGTCATTGCTCGGGAAAAGGTCCCGGCATTTGAGCGGATTCTGTGGAGAGCATGTCGTGGAAATGTGTTCCTGCGACAGGCAGACATAGAGCACCCTCTGGACGATCCTGTCACTGTGAGTATTGACGTTGTATGATATAATGTGACATCACAGAGGAGCTCTGCAGGGTGAGCAGGTGCACAAGGTGGTGTTCATACTGTTCTTCCAGGGAGACCAGCTGAGGACCAGAGTCAGGAAGATCTGTGAGGGGTACGTCTCTCTCTCCACTGCCAGTCAACAGTGGTGGCTGTAGTTCACAGTCAATGGTGCCTGTTGCTCATAGTAGCCACTCTATTCAAAACTCATGTCTACCATCTGTACCAATTCTTGTCCTCTGTCAACACTGATGTTCTGCTGTGTTTCTTTACACGCCGGTCCTGTTGTCAGTACTTGCATAATGTGTCTGTGTGGCTCACGATGTGTGTCTGTGTGTTAGGTTCCGAGCCACCTTGTACCAGTGTCCCGAGACTTCCGGAGAGAGGGAGCAGATGACGGTGGCTGTCAGCAACAGGATCAGGGACCTAAAGAGTGTCCTGCACACCACAGAGCAGCACAGTCTGACCCAACTCCAGGAGGTTGCTCTGGACATTGACTCCTGGCAGACCAAGGCATGCCGTCCCCTCCCTTCCTATTTCACTCCTTGACACTCTGCTGCATAACTGCAGGTCCGGAAGATGAAGGCAATCTACCACGCAATGAACATGTTTAATCTTGACGTGACTCAGCGCTGCCTCATTGCCGAGTGCTGGTGCCCAGTAAAAGACATTCCAGAGGTCCAGGCGGCTCTTGCAAGAGGAACTGTAAGTCAACTCTCTTGTTGTGCATGAGTCTATGTGTTCTCTGTGCAGGAGAGAAGTGGGGCAACTGTTCCGTCGATACTCAACAGAATGTCAACCTCAGACCAGCCACCTACCTTCTTCCGTACCAACAAGTTTACGTCTGGGTTTCAGGCCATAGTGGATGCGTATGGAATAGCGACGTACCAGGAGGTGTCCCCCGTACCCTACACAATCATCACCTTCCCCTTCCTGTTTGCCGTCATGTTTGGGGATGCAGGCCACGGACTGCTGATGGCGGTATTTGCTGGTCTCCTCATTCTGTTTGAGAAGAGACTAGCCAACACTGATGTGGGAGGAGAGGTTGGTATATACTGCTCCTGTCTGTACCTGTGCATTGAGAATGAGGTGTTTTTCTTCTGCAGATGTTTTCCACCATATTTAATGGTCGCTACATCGTCTTCTTCATGGGGCTGTTCTCCATCTACACTGGCATGATCTACAACGACGTCTTCTCCAAGTCACTCAACTTGTTTGGCTCATCATGGGACCCCGGCTACCCTTATGGCTTCGGGAATGAAGGGTATGCAGAATGGATCTGCCCTGACCTTGCTAGCTGAAGGTTCTTTTTCCCGTGTGTTCAGCGAACCTCCACAAGTTTACAACATAGAGGACTGTCTGGGTAATGAAGGTGTGGAGATAGGAGATGGGGAAGACCAGATGTCAGAGTTCCCCACAGCAGCCATGGAGTACCATACACCTTACCCCTTTGGCCTGGACCCTGTATGTCCCTCTCCTCCTTCTCTCTCTTTCTCACCTCTAACCGTCGCTACCCCCGCTCCCAGGTATGGCAGGTGTCAGAGAACAAGCTGGTGTTCACCAATTCTTACAAGATGAAGATGTCCGTCATTTTGGGAGTGGCTCAGATGTTCTTTGGAGTCATTCTGTCAACGTTCAATCATGTGTACATAAGTCTCCCGACCACCATTGGCCCCATTCTTTACGTACCTTTCTCCTGCAGCCACGCCAAGAGCTACATCAGTCTAGCTGTGGAGTTTGTACCTCAAGTACTGTTCCTACTGTGCATATTTGGCTGGCTGGTGTTCCTGATGGTAGCCAAGTGGGTCACGTTCTATGCCAATTCCAGCACGGTTCGTTCTCTTGTATATAGTGTGTGCTGTATGACAGTGTATGTCTAACAGGCCCCTAGTCTCCTCATCACCCTCATCAACATGTTCCTGGAGTTCACCAGACTGCCCTCTGACTACGTGGTGGAGGGAAGAGACGCAGGCGAGAATGAGTACTCAGTGTTTGGACCCAGCGTCCAGCTGGCAACCCTTCAGGCCATTATCCAGAAAGGACTAGTGATTGCTGCCGTGTCCTCGATCCCTGTCATGTTACTGGTCAAACCTTTCTACCTCAAATTTCAGCACAAGAAGAGGGCAAATGTGAGGTTCTGTGTTACATGTGGTCAGCGGAGAGTATGTGTGTGTGTCTTACAGAGTGATGAAGAAGCTCGGCAGACACATATAGCAGAGCAGGTGGGGGGAGAGGGTGGAGAGGTGATCCACACAGGAGCCCAGAATGGGAAAGTAGGGGAGAAGACAGAGGGTCACGGGGAAGGAGAGGATTTCGAGTTTGGAGAGGTGTTTATTCACCAGGCCATCCACACCATTGAATACTGCCTGGGAACCATCTCCAACACTGCTTCTTACCTCCGACTGTGGGCCCTTTCCCTCGCTCACGCCGGTGGGTACCCTACACAACTATATATCTTAATCCCCCCCTCCTCCAGAGCTGTCAGAGGTTCTGTGGATGATGGTGCTCCAGATGGGAGTGTCCATGGGAGCTCAGCAGCCTGCTATCGGGGTGGCAGCTCTCTTCTTCCTGTTTGCCTTCTGGGCTGTCCTGACTGTGGGTATACTGCTCATCATGGAGGGGCTATCTGCGTTCCTCCATGCCCTCCGCCTCCACTGGTGTGTGTTCCATCTTGCCTACCTTCAACCCTCCCAACACCCCCTCTCTCCCTGCAGGGTAGAATTTCAGAGCAAGTTCTATATTGGTGCAGGCTACAAGTTTGTACCATTCTCTCTCGATAAGAAAGCTATGGAAGGAGAGACCTAGCTAGCGGCCTGAAGCCATACAGCTATAGCATCAGAGATATAGCAGATCATCAGTAGTTGATATTGTAGTCATAAGTCATCAATCTCATGGCAGTGTCAGTGTGTGTGTGTGGAAGAAGGGGGAGGGGTCATATATCTGAAAGTGAACCTACGTAGTTTGCAGGTGTATTGGTTCACTTTTTGAAAATCAAAGCAAGCGGACCCGGTCGAGTGCTAAATATAAGCGCATGCGCATTATCCGCCAGCGATAAAATGGCGACTATATATAGGTTAGACGCGGAAGCGAGGTGTCTACGCTACATTGCAACCCGAGGGGCTGTGGAATGTTGGCGTCCCGAGCGTAGCGAGGGCGCTACCCACATGCCCCGAGGGTTGCAATGTAGCGTAGACAACCGAGCTTCCGCGTCTAACCGGTTTAGACCGGAGTATCTGATTGGTGTTTGCGCGTTCAAATGGGTAGCAACAAGCTAGCAACGCTGCGCTCATTCCTCATTCCTTACCTTCGGATGGAACAAGACGCTTTTTTTACGTGTGAGACTCCGAGGAGACAGCCCCCGCCCCCCGTCAAAAATCGTTTACGTCATCATAAAACGCCCTCATTGGTGGTGCGCGTTTGAAAGGGTTAGCAACGCACGGCAACGGCCCAATGTGTTTGTGTATCGCCAGAGCTGAAGAAGCCGACGCTTTTTTCGTGGAATATTGACGTGATTTCTGACTTTCGCGAGCTCCGGAGACTGTCCACAGACTTCTTGCAGGTGCACTACGCATTTTAAAAGAGCTACTTTGCCAGTCGCGCCTTCTACGCTTACATATACCGAACGCGGAATCGGCCGGTTTGCGCAGATAACGACTTTTGAGAATAGCCATTTTGTACGGGGAGTTTGCTGTAGACCACCTGCAAACGCCATTAGACACCTGAAACGAGGTGTCTATGAAAAATAACCCCCCCGCAATTCTGTAATCTGATTGGTCAATTGCGCGTGACTGCGGTCTAAATACCGGTGTCGCGCGCGGTACATTTCATCCCCCCGAATTTTTATCCGACCGGATAGGATATTCTATCCCCCCGGATAAATTTTCCTAGGATATTCTATCCGCACCCGGGATATCTTATACCCCGTGCTGTGCGTTATTAGGAGTGTCTAAACGCAGGCGGGGTGTGTTGTTTTGAGGTTCTGTGGGGGATTTCAACGTTACAGAATGCGATGACAGCCTTGTTTGGAGTTACACCAGCGGACTGTAGAACACTACCGGATATCCCACAGCGAGCGTGGGGCTCAGGTTCGCTAGATGCGCAACCGTATGCGCAGAAACTTTTCTTAGAGCCAGGCTTTAGTGAGTTCTGAAATCTGATTGGTCAATCAGAGGAATACTATTTCACTTAGTATTCCGCTGACTGATCAGCGGACTTCTACATATAGGAATCCTCCCCGAGGCACATTCCACTGTGATCATGTGCAGAAACATGGACAGAAAATTCAAGAAGACGCTAATCAGCTCTGCATAGAAAGTGTAGCTAGCTCGAGACGCAGCATCCAACTGCAGGCAAGCTAACAGAGTGAAAGAGAAACGCTTGTCGGCTCTGCCGGCTAGCTGTCACGCAAGAGTAGGCGGGGTCGCTGCGCGCTTTTTCGCACAGCTAGTGTGCGCGTGCGCTGGAGCTGTAGCCAGAGCAAGCTAGGTCTCCGTAGTCATGCGCCGCTACCTGCTAGAAGACCGAGTACCTGGTTTTTCGTGAGAAAAAACCGCTCCAGAAGCTCCCACACGCTTGGCGTCTTTCGAATTGAAGGCGCGGTTGCCATGGCTCTAAATCAGTTAGGCGCCAATTCTCGAAAACCACGCGATTTAGAAAGCCTCGGGCCCTCTAGTAGCGTCCTCGCTGCGCTCGGACAGCTACAGCCTGAGGGCCCGCGGCTTTCTAAATCCGCGTAGTTTCCTCGAATCGGCGCCTAACTTATATTTATTAGAGGGATAAAATATCCGGACCCCGGATATTCCACACTAAGAGTATTCTATCCGGCCGGATAGAATATACTATCCCCCGGATAAAATACATATAGGTTATACTGCGCGTCAATGGAAATACGCGATTTAGACGGCACGAGGGGCCCTGAGCTGTAGCTGTCTGAGCGCAGCGAAGACGCTACTAAGGGCTCCGAGGCCGTCTAAATCGTGTATTTCCGTTGACAAGCAGTATAACCTGTTTAGACGGAGGCCGTGCCGGCCTTCAAAATCGTCCAGGTCCGCCGTCTTCCGAAAGACTCGCTCTTGCCGGGGGAAGCTAAAAAGGTCTTCAGTTTAGTTTCTTTTTGCATCTTAGAGAGGCCTTTCGTCGAAGAAGCATCGGATATAGCGAGTTTGAAGTCGTCGCGGCGAGCTCTCAGCGACAGAGCGAGTTTCTTTGCGCGGAAGCTTGCCACACCCCCATCGAAGACGCCATTTTTTGGCGGGCGTCTCCATGGAAACACGCACTTGGAAAATACGGGATTTAGAATCCACGTTTTACGCAATCTGATTGGTCAATTTGAATCTCCCGACGTCTAAACGGGGGATAAAATATACTGTGACACCGGTATTAGCCGTACAATGGTGGATGCGGAGCTATCAGATACATTAGTTGCCCATGGGTTAGTGGCAATCGGCGAATACACGAGCACGTAAGCGATGTTGTCGATGACATGTAGCGGGCATATATAAATTCATCGACAACGTGCCCGTGTCTTTGCCGGTTGCCACTAGCCCGTGGGCAACTAATGTATCAGATCTGATGGCTCCGAGGCAAGCTCCAGAGTCAAGGCTGTCTACTTGCCATGTTCCAGGTGGTCACGAGTGGGTCTCGTGACGGTCATGTGTGCACCTACCTCAGCGCGCGCGCGGGCAATGCCAACGAAAAAAGAATCGTCGCCTCTTGTTCGACAATTACAAATACGGATGCTTACTGAAAAAATGAAAAGCACTGAAGTGCAAACCCTCGGCGCATTGTGACGCGCACGCGTAAGTAAACGCATGCGCCGTACCACTAATTGATGGGCTGGGTTTAGTTTTAGCTGTTACTCGTGGTCTCTTCCCAGCTCGCGCAGAGTCTGACGCGGGCTAACTACACTACTAGATAGCATGCGAGAGGCGATACACGCTATGCGTTGCATCTTCTGGTGCCTCTGATGTACGCAGAGCACGCGGATCGATCAGACCGTGGTATATAAGCCTTCCCGTCCGTTGCTTATTTGCATATTGGCTTTTTCGCGCTCTAGCTCTGCAACGGAGCAGTTTCAGAGAAAACCCCACATATTTTCTGACCTTCATTGCCCGTTCAGTAGGTGTTATCCTTTGTGAGACGAACGAACTCTCGAGAAGTGAGATGACGAGTAACAGACAGACACACAGACAGACAA